ATAAATATAAGAAAAACTAAAATACTTTATAAAAATTAAAAAAATAATAAAAAAGTACCTTTTAATAAAATAAAAAAATCTAAACCTAAGAATATTAAATTAGTATTTAAAAAAAGCTAATTAACCCTGTTTATAAACTATATATTATAAAAAAGTTATACTTCCTTATACTATATATAAGCTAGTTCTACTTAGTAAGCCTCTTCTTTATAATAATCTAACTTCTCTATCTTTTTTATACTTCATCTATACTTAATTATCTTTATATTATAATTATAAAGTATATAATAAAGCTTCTATAAACGTATTAATTGAATAAGTACTTTATTAACTTATTTCTATTGCTTAACTTACTAATAATAATATTTTATTAATACTTACTTAATTAACTTCTTTTACTACTTTAAATACTTTAGCTTTTTTATAATATAATTAACTAAGAATAGTTAGTAGAAGAATATATAAAAAAAAAAATTATTTATAAAAAAATATTAAAATAAATAACTTATTATAAAGATAACTTAATATATAGTAGTAATTATACTTACTATAACCCTTAACTACTATATACTTAAGTCTACTATTAAAATATTATATATAAAAGATAGCTTTAAAACTAAAGGTCTAAATAAACTTAAATTAAAACTTATAAAACTATATAGTCTAGGATTTAGCCTTAGTTTTAAATATATAATTAAGTATGATAAATAATTTAAAAAGAAAATACTTACTTAAATTAATAAAGGGGCTGTAATACCTATATAAAAAGCAGCCTAGGCCTTAAGGGTAAAATTAATAAAAAGGGAGTATTATATTATAAACTAATATATTTATAATTATAATAACAGGTCTATAGGGTAAGTACTTAAATAAAAAACAGACCGTCCTACTTAATTATATAAGTATTTATAATATACTAAGTAAATACTTAGTAAATAAAAACCTAATTAAAAAAATATTTACTTATAATAATATAAATACTAAATAAACATTATATTATATATACCTTTTATAATGCTTATTTAAAATAGTTTAAATAGCTAGTTATAAATATAAAATAATACTTAATTATACCTATAGAGTATTATCTACTAATTATATAAATAAACCCCCTATCCTTATTAATTACCTATTAGTCTAGCCTAGCCTATTTACTAATATAAACCTAGCATAAGGTTTATCCTTTAGGAATCCCTCTTATACTAACCCTATAGGAGCTCAGCTTATTATATATAAGTCTTTTTTATATTTTTTTATTATAAATATCTCTATATAATATAACTTACACCTATATAACTCCAGGAGCTTTCAAGGCTATTTTTTAAATAACTACAGAAGCTCCTATTTAAATAAAGCCTTTATAAACTTTTAATTTATCTTTTTAAATATTAACTAATATTATTCTAGTTAATTAAGTATTTTTTAAATTACTACCTAACTTTTTAAAGTTTTTAAAACCTTTTATTAAGTTTATATAAAAAATAATAAAATTTTTAAAAATAGTATTTAATACTAAGTATATTTATTTAACTACTGTAAATAAAAAATTATTATTATATTATACTAAGTAAAAGTTAATAATTATAATTATACTTAATATTATATTTTATTTAGCTTATTACTATATATTAATTTTTTTAATTTAATTTATAAATTTATTTTTAATAAAAGATTTTTTTTTTATTTAAAGTAATAGTTTTTTTTATATTTTTAAAAATAAAAATTAAAAAGCTTTTTAAAATTATTTATATTATAATTAATACTACTACTATATTTAATTTTACTTTATTAAAGCTAAGTAAAAGTATTTTATTTACATTAATAACTTCTTTAAAAAAAAATTTTTAAAAGTAAAGGAAAAGATTATAAACTTTTTTATTTTTAAGCCTAAGGGGGTTACTTCTTTTTAAAGTTAAAAAACTATTATAAATCCAAGGGTAATAAAGTTTATTTTATTTTAATTATCCAAAGGGTTTATAAATATTTCTATTTCTCTAAAGTCCTTAGATAGGACCGTAAAAGTAAAAATCAAGGTTATTTTATTTAATAGCTAGTTAAACGGAGTAAGGGTTTTTAGTAGTTAGGTACCCAAAAGGTAGGGTACCTGTAGATATAGGAGGGAAGCTTCCTATATACGCTATAGGTAGTAATGGAGGATTTTAACCTTGCACGGGGTTCAAAGCGAACTCCGCACATATCCACCTTTCTAGACGTTTACAGGGTAATGCTTTGCGTCTCAATTAATATCCAAATCACGGCATGTAAGTTTAGACCAACAGGATGGACTAGATCTCCAGGTGCAGCGACTCGTAAAAATGTTCGAGAAAGAACCCTATAGTTAGTTCTTAAAGAGGAAAAGACAGATTGCCACGATTGACGTATGGATCATTGAAGCGAAACCATTTGTCAGAGCTCCCTAATGAACTTAGATGCCACGCCACAGGGATGGTCCAGCATCTCCCTTGTAACTATAAATACTCACAGATGAAGAAGTGGAATTCGGTAATTCGCTGCGCCGAGCCATGTATGGCCAGGCTGGCCAAGACATCTCATAAAGTGCGCATCAAGGTTCATCCGGTGAGGCTGGAATAGTGCTTTATGACATTTGACAATCCCGATGTCTCGCACATGCAGATGAGCAGTCGTGTTCTTGCCTTCGGCCGACGGACCAAAGTCGTACGCTGAGACACGGGAGGAGATGAGCAACTGTTCACACCCATACGAATGCTCTCATTCGGTATAATTTTAAACCGATCAGCTATAATATGAGACATTAGGACTGTGACCAAAGCCGCAGGGAGCCTATCGTGCAGGATTGCGTTTCGAACCTAGCAAAGAATAGCTAGTCCTATACTGACAAACAACACTAGAGCCTATAGTTTACCATCACAATTGCCACCGCGTCTGTCGTGACATTACGTGAGCACCAAGAGGTTGTCTTGGATCCCGCGGCTCATACTCGTATGATCCTATCCAGCCATCGTATCTATACTGCGGAGACGCAGGTTGGGCTAGCGTAAAGGTTGAGAGAATCCAGACGAAACTCATTATGTCTCATAGAAATGACGCCTACGTTTCTCAGCCCTTAAAGTTGGTCTAAGGGCTGTTCGTGACACCGTCCACAGCATGTAAGTCCCGAAAGCGCCATCAACGCTTCCCACGTAATATCTCCGGGCGGCAGTTGTCAGACAGTGACCGGCGTCTGGAATAGGCAAAGCTAGTGATACCCTGAGAACTGGCGTCTGACGGGATGGTGGAGATCCCGGCGTTACTAGGGTCCCCTGTCGGTATGAATTAGTATCCCGTAGCGGGTCGAAGCAAGACAGGAGACAAGCTTAAACAAGCGGCAACAAGAGGGCTGTCGAAGCGCCGACCTCTCCCTTTACCCGCATATGTGTGGCTTGAAAGCTGAAAACCGCCTCTTTCATTGCGAGATTCATCTTTTGTGGTTTATCATAGCTACTCTCAGAGGCTTTTCTAGACGAGCCAGAGCCGTGGTGCGTGGGATTCACTGTTACGATTCGTGGGTATGTAGGTAAGATTCGATACTGGCAACCATCTTCCACACGTTTATCCGACTCCCTTGGATTATGTGTGATTATGTGGACCCTGCTCATGCAGCTCAACTCGTGCAGTAGACGTGCAGTATCAAAAGCCAAGATTCAAAATTTCTTAGCATGTACCATGCTGTCAAATAGCATGTCTTCTTACGATGTCTTTATTTTAGCCGGAATCTCACAGCAAACTTGACAACAGATAAAAGAACTCCAGCAAGAATATTTGATAGTACGCCGATTTGGATTTACAAGAGGTGATTTAATAACTCGAGTACGACAAGGTACGCTGTAGGGTAGTTTCTGCGCAATGAAAGCTCATAATCGAGGTCGAACCAACTAGAAGAGCGGGTAGATACTTGAGACCGGTGAAATTAAACATAATTAAATTCAGGTAGTGTGCTACATGAATTATCTCCGAGACCCAAGGTGCCACTTTCTGGCCAGCCGCGTCTCCGCTGGAAGACACGCGAGACATTGCGAGTCTGCTGCAAGCTGATCCTTGACCGCTATGGCGGCTTCATCTTCAGCTAAGCCGGGGGATCCCTGTCGTGGGCCGTGAAGCCGCCATCCAGCCCGGTATTAGGTGCTCAGATCTGACTTGATCTTGGAAGTAGTAGTACATGAAAATCCTGACTACGAGCCCACTTTCTCGCGTACTCTTGCCCACCACAATGTCTAAGACGGCCACTCGCTGCTACGACCGATTAGTATCAGTATCGGAATCTATGTATTCCCCTGCAGTTTGCTGACCCCGGTGATTCACACACGCACAAAATAGCAGGCCGTACTATGTACGTGCCAAGCCTTGTCCGTGTGCCGCAACTGTAATACAAGAAGTACTATGTATTGTTGATAGCTGGGAGGAACTGATGGCTAGGCCGCACATTGTCTGTCAGAGTAGCACCGTAGCCGCTACGGATACCCCATGCATATCATAATGCTCGTAATAAGTAACGAATGCTAGGGTACCATCTTAATAATATCTGGTATCTACTCTAAGACGTGGAGACTACATACTGGCCTGATAATAGCTACATTGGACCGCTGCGTCTTTCAACTTAGACTCTCCACATTGAGATTCTCGTTCCTACGACGAGTACGCAGACGTGCTGCTTTGAAGCACCTCGCCTCACCTCGATATAGACATTGTTGTCTACTCGAACTTCTTTCCTGGAACCGTTGTACATAATCGGAAGGATCTTGTTCTCTTCTAGATCGCTGATTCTTCAATTTTTACAACACCTATTGCTTATAACCATATAATTAGAGACATTCCTGATAAGGGTGTTCCGACCGACGAATCGATCTTGGAGAAACGAGAAACGAGACCATTTTTTCTGCCCACCGGTATCGACAGCATCTTTGGCATACACACCGACATACCCAATATAGAACAGAGGAAACGCAAAAAAAGTGATAATTAAACGCAAGTGAGAAAAAAAAATGGCGTCGAAAGCTGAATACAATAATGGGGAGAAATCTCAAACCCCAATTGCCATCTGCGGTGTTGGTATTCGGCTCCCTGGAGGCATTCATAATGCTGGTCAATTGTGGGAGCCCATTGCCAACAGTCGTGACTCTCAGAGTCCGCTGCGACTGGGTGGCGCTGATCAAAAAGAGGTGGATATTGTTGATGCCTCGTTTTTCTCCATGACCGATGAAGAGGCCAAGGGCTGTGGTCCACAGCAAGTGAAGCTTCTGGAAGTTATTCGCGAGTGCCTTGAGGATGCATGCGAGGTCAACTACCGGAGCGAAGATGCTTGTGTTGGCTGCTACATCGGCATGTCTGGAGAGGACGATGTATCAATGGTATTGTCGAAAAATGATATGAAGGGACCAAAGTTTGTTTCACATTTTGCTCCCCAGAGTCGTGTATTCTGTTACTAACATTATTGTTTCCTTTCTTTCTTTTAGCGTTGTGGTTACGTCGACACCATCATCATCTCTTGTGGCTTTACACAAGGCTTACTGCGCTGTGCGATCTGGAGATGCTAGATCTGCAGTAGTCGCAGGCTCCAACTTGATGCTGGGTTCCGAGAATGAAGCAGAAATGGGTGAGGCAGTGTCAGCTGTATATATCAAGACGTTGCCTGATGTCATCCGTGATGGTAACCCAATTCGTGCTGTCATTCGAGAGTCCAGTGTAGAAAGCATTACGCGTGGCCAAAGCTCTGGATCCGATGCACCTGACGAGGGTGCATCCAGTCTTGCAACCTTGATCAAGAGCGTGGTAATTCTGGAGAACCGGAATATTCCTCCAAATGTTTCTTCTGAGAGAATCAGCATCAATGCTTCTCACGCTGAGGGATACAGCGCTCAATTCGTTATCGACTCCTACTTTCAACCTCCTTCGCCTAGATCTGAGACTCGACAGGAACTTGTTCTTTTTTCTGCACATAGCGCGTCGTCTTTGGCCAAGCAAATCGAGGAGCACCGTTTGTATGCTCAGGCTCACCCAACTGATGCAGCGGACATTGCTTACACTCGTGCCCTGCGGCGCGAGGCTCTGGAATACAAGGCCTTTACCATTCTCTCAGATTCATCTTTCATCAATACCTCAGCCTCTGTCAAGTCTTCTGCTCAGACCCCCACTATCACCATGATTTTCAACGGTCAGGGTGCCCAATGGGCGGGGATGGGTAAGGAGCTCATCCAAGCTGACCCAGAGGTCCGAGAGGATATTGAGAAGATGGATGCCGTTTTGAAGAAACTGAAGGTACCATCTACCTGGTCGATTAAAGATGAGCTCCTTCGTGATGCTGCCGATCCAGAGAACCAGATCAACTCGTCGCAACTCTCCTACCCTCTGAGCACCGCGCTACAAATCGCAATAGTTAACCGCTTCGAACGCCTCGGTGTTACGCCTAAGGTAGTCGTTGGTCACTCTAGTGGTGAAATCGCTGCGGCTTATGCTGCGGGCTTCCTTTCTTTGGAAGATGCTATCACAATTGCTTACTACTATGGCTATGTCACTACTAAGAACCAGAAGGATGGTGGCATGGGTGTGGTCAGCTTGAGCGTGGAAGAAATCAAGGAGTTTCTGGAACAGAGTGTGGTGATTGCTTGCGAAAACTCTCCTTCAAGTACCACTATTTCTGGTGATCGTGAAGCAGTTGAGCGAGTATTGAAATCGGCCAAGGCAGCTAAGACTGATGTGACTGCTCGCGTTTTGCGCATTGATGCTGCCTACCATTCTCCTCATATGGATTCGCTTGCAGACGATCTGCTTGGCCTTTTGAAGGCTGAAAACATCGCTTCATCGGAGCCTAAGAGGAACAAGGCTATCTTTGTGTCTAGTGTCAGTGAGAAGGTCCTTGAAGAGCAGGGTGATTTTGGTGCCGCGTACTGGATCTCCAACTTGGTGTCCCGAGTTCGATTCAGCACTGCTATCTCCACCGTCTTCAACTTATGCGCTGAAGAGCCTCTCTTTTTGGAAATTGGCCCACACTCTGCCTTATCTATTCCTCTGTCACAGATTTGTGCGGCAACAAATGTCCCATTCAACTATGTTTCGTCCCAAACACGCGGCGCAGATGGTGTAGTGAGCTTCCTTTCTGCTGTTGGACGGCTATGGCAAGAGTCAGCTGTTCTAGAGCTGACTCCATTATTCGCCCATGGTAAGGCAATTTCCGGATTGCCTCCGTATCATTGGAGCCACGATAGTCCTGACGAGGGCTCCGACGACGCCAATCTATCTGCTCGTGAGAAACGGTCGCGCGTTATTGAAGACTCTAGTTATTTGGAGACTGAGCTTGCGGATGATGAAATCCCTACGACTGAGCTGGAAATCGTCCTTCGAGCCATCTGGGTTGATATCCTCCAAAACGTCATTCAGATACGCAGACAAGATATCGGCAAGAAACATAGCTTCTTCCAGCTTGGTGGCGACTCCTTGACAACTATTGAGCTTGTTACCGCTGCTTACCAGTATGGTATTCGTTTGAGCCCGGCTGCTATTTCTGATAATACCCAGCTTGCTCAAATGGCAGCTGTGGCAACAATTGAGGAAGATCGCGCAATGACGGCAGAAGCAGAGCCATTTAGCTTAATTACTGAAAAGAATGTTGATGATGCCAAGGATCAGATTCGGAAAGAGTGCAAGCTCACGACAACTGAGGTAATTGAGGATGTCTATCCGTGTACAACTCTCCAAGAAGGCTTCATGGCTTTAGGTATGAAGCAGCCAGGTTCTTATATTCACAGAGTTGTGTATAAGTTGATGCCTGATGTCGACGTTGATCGATTTATGGCTTCTTGGGAGGCTACCATTAAGCAATGTGGCAGCTTGCGTTCACGAGTGGTTATTCTCGGTGGTCGAACTTTCCAAGCTGTGATGACTGAGGATACTGCTTGGGAACATCTCCCATCTGGTTTGGATATCCACACTTTCCTCAACCAAACGCGAGATATTGGTATGAGCTATGGTGAGCGTTTGAGTAGGCATGCTCTGGTTCGAGATAGCAATGGTAGTGTCTATTTCGTGTGGCTGATTCACCACGCGGTATTTGACGGTCTTACTATGCGAATCGTTCTTGATGCTCTCTATCACGCTTACCATGGCAATGACACCAAGGCTCTGCAGCCGTATTCCAGCTTCATTCGTTATGTTGAATCGCTTGATTTTGCTGCCTCTGGCGAATACTGGCAAAAGGAGCTGGATGGTGCTCAGCGGGCTCATTTCCCTCTTGCCAGACTTTCTGCTACTTCCGAAGACAAAGTAATGAAGAAGACGATACCTTTCCGCAACACGATGAACTCTTCTATAACCACCGCTACAATTCTTCGTGCGGCATGGGCTCTTCTCCTCGCCCGCTATTGTGACTCTGATGATGTGTGCTTTGGTACCACATTATCAGGGCGTCAGGCAGCGGTTCCTGGATTGAATGAGATTCCTGGACCCATGATTGCCACTGTTCCGATTCGCATCAGAATTGACCGCGACATGAGTACAGCCTCTTTTCTTGAGAAAGTTCAGGCTCAAGCTGCAGAAATGGTTGCTCATGAACAGTATGGTCTTCAGAATATCTCAAAACTAGGCCAAGATGCCCAGGAAGCTTGCGACTTCTCCAACCTGATCGTCATTCAGCCAAATAACCATCTTACATCTATTGTCTATACTGCCTCTGATGCTATTCTGCAACAAGGACCTGTTGAAAAAGCTCTCTCAGAAGAAGCTATGCGCAATTACTTCAACTATCCCCTCGTTTTGCAGCCTCGTATTGGTGAGGATAGCATTGAGCTGGATTGGACCTATTACGCGGATGCAATCACTGAGGGTCAGCTTGAGGCCCTATGCTTCCACTATGAGCACATTATCCAGCAACTGCTTGCAGCCACTGATATGCTTCTAAGTGATCTATCGGTTTCTGGCTCGTGGGATTTAGAGCAGTCTCTTAAGGCCAATAGTGAGGATACTATGATTGTCGACTTGTGTCTTCATGACCTCATTGAGAGACAAGCAGAAAATCGCCCAAACGCCACCGCTATTCAAGCCTGGGACTTAGAGCTAACGTACCTACAACTTAATAGTGCTGCCAACCGCCTCGCACATTATCTTGTTAAATATTGTGGGGTCAAGGATCAGGATCTTGTACACGTCTGCTTTGAGAAATCGGCCTGGTTTTTTGTGTCTATTATTGCTGTCAATAAAGCAGGGGCTACATGGGTTCCTCTTGATCCCTCGCACCCACTTCAGAGGCAGCAACAGGTTGTCTCGCAGACGAAGGCGACTCTGGCCTTGGCTTCTGCCAACAATGTGGATATGTGTTCCAAGTTGGTTGCTAACGTCGTCGAGGTGTCACATGTTTTGGATGAGAGACTGGCTATGACAGAGGCGAGCTCATATGGACCGATCAGTAATGTGTCTCCACGCAATGCAGCCTATGTTCTGTTTACTTCTGGAAGTACCGGAACGCCAAAGGGTCTGGTCATGCAGCATAGAGCTGTCTGCACTTCACAGACTGCCATCGCTAAGCGTCTTGGGATGACATCTAACGTTAGAATGCTTCAGTTCGCTTCTTTCGTATTTGATCTCTCTATTGGCGAGATTGTGGGTCCCTGGGTTGTGGGCGGCTGCCTCTGTGTTCCATCTGAGGAAACAAGGATGAATACAGGTAGCTTGGTTGACTTCATTAACACGATGAAAATCACCTGGGCATATCTGACTCCTTCCTTTACACGGACCTTAAATCCTAATGACATTCCTGGTTTGGAACTGCTCTTGTTTGCTGGTGAAGCTGTTGGACGAGACGTGTTTGAAGCTTGGTTTGGAAAGGTGCGGCTAATCAATGGTTGGGGTCCTGCTGAGACTTGTGTGTTCTCAACTCTCCATGAGTGGAAGAGTCTCGACGAATCTTCATTAACAGTTGGTCGACCAGTCGGTGGTCACTGCTGGATTGTTGATCCGCAGGACCCGCAACGATTGGCTCCTATCGGAACTCTTGGTGAAGTTGTTATTCAGGGACCGACTATCCTTCGAGAGTATCTGGCTGATTCGGCCAAAACCGAGGCCTCAATCATCCGGAATCTCCCTGAGTGGGTACCAAATCGTATCACCAGTCACTGGGATCGATTTTACAAGTCTGGCGATTTGTGTCGATATAACGCGGACGGTACTATCGAATTTGGGTCTCGCAAGGATAACCAGGTGAAAATCCGAGGCCTCCGTGTTGAGCTTGGAGAGATCGAGCATCACTTCCGTGAGTCCTTGGAGGGCGTTAAGCAGGTGGCCGTTGATGTGGTAAACAGAGATGGTGGCGCAATTATTGTGTCCTATTTCTGTTTCACAGATGAAACTCGCACTGCTGGCAAGAACTCCGAGACGAACGTGAAGGATGTATTGGCCCCCATGACTTCTGAGCTTCAAAGCCAATTTACTGCCTTAGTTGGTCAGCTCAGCGTGACGCTTCCTCGCTACATGATACCGACACTGTTTATCCCTTGCCAGTATATGCCTTTTATTACCTCAACGAAGTTGGATATGAAGCTCTTGCGACTTGCGTTTTCCAAGCTTAGCAAGGAAGACGTCTCAAGATACTCTCTTGTGGATAGTAAAAAGCGCAAGCCGGAAACCGAAATGGAGACGCGTATCCAAGCGATCTGGGCCGACCTGCTGAAACTATCGACCGACTCCATTGGTCGAGACGATAACTTTTTGAGGATGGGTGGTGACTCTATCGCTGCTATATATTTCGTTTCCGCTGCTCGCGACGCCGGAATATCCATCGCTGTCAAAGACGTTTTTGATGACCCTCGTCTTTTCCAGGTAGCTTCCAAGGCTACTATTCTTGCCAACAAGGGCAAATCTTCTCATGTCGAGCCTTTCAGCCTCCTCACGGAAAATCTGAGCAAACTTATGCAAAGTAATGCTATTCGAACCAAGTATGGCCTTGGGAAAGACCAAATCATTGAGGACGCTTATCCTTGTACGCCTCTTCAAGAAGGACTTATGGCCCTCACTGCAAAACAACCGGGCTCTTACATATCGCAGTGGTACCACCGAGTCCCCAAGCACATCGATATTGCTAAATTCAAGGCTGCTTGGAAAACAGCTGTGGAGCGCAACGCCACACTAAGAACCAGAGTTATGCTTGAAGACGGCTGCGCAGTTCAGGCTGTCATCACAAACGATGACGACTGGGAGAACACCACTGGTCATAACCTTGAGTCCTACAAACGCTTGATTCCCCAATTTCATATAGGATATGGAACTCGCTTAACCCGATTTGCTATTGTAGAGGACAAGCATGATGTCTACTTTGTCTGGGTCATTCACCATGCTATTAATGATGGTTGGAGCATGCGCATCGTCTTGGACAGCATTTACAACACGTACTACGGCCGAGATGTTTCCTCTATATCCCCTTATTCTAACTTCATCAACTATGTTAGCAAGATGGATAGCGAGGCAGCCGCCAGCTTCTGGCGATCGAACCTTTCTGGTGCTCAACGACCTAGCTACCCTGCCGCTGGAAAACGCCTTGCTGCCGATAAGACTGGGGGCGCGGTTCGTGTTGTTGACCGTCTGGTATCCTTTTCTGATCAAAAAGATGCTTCAATCACCATGGCTACTATTATTCGAGCTGCCTGGGCAATCGTACTCGGTCGTCATTCCGATGCTCGTGATGTATGCTATGGCGCCACTGTTTCTGGTCGCCAGGCTGCAATGGATGGTCTTCTGTCAACTCCTGGTGCAGTTATTGCCACTATTCCAATTCGAGTTCGCTTGGAGGCTGCAAAGCCTGTGAGTCAACTGCTACAAGATCTCCAAGCCCACGCGCTGGATATGGTTCCATATGAACAGTATGGTTTGCACAATATCTCTAAGCTCAGCCCTGAAGCTCGAGAGGCTTGTGACTTTACATCTCTACTGGTTATTCAGCCCAAGGAGCAAGAAAGTACCATATTCAATAGCAAAGATGGTCTGCTGCAGGCAGAGGTCGAAGAAGATCATCTGATGATTGAGTCCATGAACAACTACTTCAACTACCCAATGGTTATGCTCAGCTACATGGCTGAGGAGAATGTGAATCAGAGATTTTTGTATAACCCAGAAGTCTTGTCTGAAGCTGAAGTTGAAGCCGTTTCTTATCAGTTTGAACATGTGGTACAGCAGCTTTTGAATCCTGGAAACAAACTCATCGGTGATGTCTCTGTTGCCGGTCCTTGGGACCTTGAGCAGAGCCTAAAAGCAAATGACGACATTCCTGACATTATCGATTCTTGCCTTCACGAATTGGTCGACAAACAGGCTATTGAACGGCCAAATTCCCTTGCTGTTGTAGGCTGGGACCGAAGCTTTACCTATATCGAACTGGTTGAAGCGGTCAATCAATTGTCGAACTACCTCGCCACGAATTTTACCTTTAAAGCTGATGAGTTGATACCTGTTTGCTTTGAAAAATCGTCCTGGTATATCGTCTCGATCCTCGCAATCAACAAAATCGGGGCCGGTTGGGTTCCCCTCGATCCATCTCATCCCGAGCAACGCTTGCGCCAGATTGTTAGTCAGACTCGAGCAAAAATTATACTCTGTTCCCCATCTAACGCCCATCTTTGCAACGCATTTGGCCTGTCTGTTATTGAGATTAGCCCTTTCTTCTATCAGAAGCTTACTGAGAGCGATGTGACCGGCACCACGGGGCCTGCCATTAAAGTGACGCCTCGAAATATTTGCTACGTCCTATTTACGTCGGGTTCTACAGGTACCCCTAAGGGATTTGTGATGGAGCATGGGGCAGTATGCACATCGCAGACTGCTATCAGTCGGAGGCTTGGAATGACTGCCGATGTTCGCATGCTACAATTTGCAGCTTTCGTTTTTGACCTTTCTGTTGGTGAAATCGTGGCGACATTGATCTCGGGTGGCTCCGTATACATTCCGGACGAAAACACACGATTGAATGACATATCAAACTTCATCCAGAATAACAAAATAAACTCAACAATCCTTACGCCATCGTTCGCTCGTACTCTGAAGCCAGAAGACGTCCCTTCCTTAGAGCTCATGGTTTTGGCAGGCGAGGCTGTCGGTCGCGATGTCTGTGACAGCTGGTTTGGAAAGCTTAGATTCATCTGTGGCTGGGGTCCTGCAGAGACCTGCGTTTTATCGTCGCTTCATGAGTGGCAGTCCATTGACGAGAGTCCTCGTACTATTGGTCGGCCTGTTGGCTGTTTTTGCTGGGTTGTAGACCCAGAAAATCCGCAGAGATTGGCGCCTACGGGTACCGTCGGCGAGATCTTTATTCAAGGGCCGACTCTGTTGCGTGAATACCTTGCAGACACTGGGAAGACCAGATCATCGATGGTATATGATCTGCCGGCTTGGGTTCCACGTCGTGAGTCCCAGCACTGGAGTAGATTCTACAAGTCCGGCGATTTGGGCTATTACAATCCAGACGGTACACTCGAATTTTCAACCCGCAAAGATACACAGATCAAGATTCGCGGCCTCCGTGTTGAATTAGGCGAAATTGAATACTATCTGCAGCAAGCTATTGATGAAATTCGTCAAGTCGCAGTCGACGTACTTAGCGGTGACAATGGCTCTAATCTCGTTGCTTACTTCTGCTTTAACGAGGACACCAAGACAGCTGATGCTCGTGTTCAAGCTGATGACAAGGGTCCGTTCATGTCGATTAATGAAGACCTTCAGACTCGCCTCATTGCCGCATCTGGCGAACTGAAAGTTGTTCTCCCGTCTTACATGGTCCCAGCCTTTTTCATTCCTTGCAGCTATATGCCATCTAGCACATCCGCCAAGCTTGACCGCAAGGCGCTGAAGAGATATGCCGATCTATTATCCGTTGATGAATTATCGGAATACTCACTCAATAGTGGCAAAAAGAGGGCACCCGAGACTCCGATGGAAAGCCAGTTGCAACAAATTTGGGCTGAAATTCTCAATATTTCTATGGAATCAATTGGACGCGACGATAGCTTCCTTAGCCTCGGCGGTGATTCCGTTACTGCTATCCATTTAGTCAATGCTATGCGACAAGAGGGTATACTGTTGACTGTGAAGGACATCTTTGATGACCCCCGCTTGCTGTCTGTAGTTAGTAAGGTTACAGAGATGAACGAAAAGGCCGAGATTCAGGAGATTGAACAATTCAGCCTTTTAGATGAAGACATACAAGACCTTGTTCTCTCCGACGGCCTTCGAAAAGAGCTCAACCTTTCTGAAATGCAGGAAATTGAAGACGCTTATCCTTGCAGCAAACTTCAAGAAGGTCTCATGGCTTTGTCTGTGAAGCAGCCTGGATCGTACGTCGCCAAGTACACTTATCGTCTTCCGGATCATGTCGATCTCCAAGAGTTCAAGCAAGCGTGGGAATTCACTTCATCTACTATCGAGGCTCTCCGCACTCGTTTTGTGATGATTAATGGCTCTTGCATCCAAGTTGTTATCAACGAAGAGCTCCCCTGGGAGACTACCAAGGTCGATGACGTTGGCACGGCTATAGTATCCGCTCAGTCGCTCCGAATGACGTATGGTACGCCTCTGTCTCGTTATACGATGCTTAAAGACCAAAATGGGACCAATTATTTCATGTGGGCTATACATCATTCGGTTCACGACGGTTGGTCGTTGAGGATTATTCTGGAGACCTTACGGCGAGAGTATGAGGGTAGAAGTTCGCCGGTTATCACGCCGTACAATGGCTTCATTAATTATACTCTAAACTTGGACGCTGATGCGGCCGCTGATTACTGGCGAGGCCAGCTTGAGAACGCAAAACGGGCCAGCTTCCCAGCTGCTGGTGTTACTTCCGGCGAGTCGAAGCATAAAACACGCATGATGACAAATTCCATTCCTTTTCCCACATCTACAAACCCGGCCATCACTAAAGCGACGGTTTTCCGGGCAGCTTGGGCACTTATTCTTGCCCGCTATTGTGATACCGACGACGTGACCTTCGGTTCTACTATTTCTGGGAGGCAGGCCGCTGTTCCAGGTCTGACCGAAATGGCTGGTCCAGCTGTTGCTACAGTTCCAGTCCGTGTCCGTCTCAATTACGAACAGCGTGTGTCCAAATTTCTTCAGGATGTTCAAAGCCAAGCCTCTGAGATGATTCCTTTTGAACAGTATGGCTTGCAGAATATCTCAAGATTAGGAGCTGATGCTAAAGATGCTTGCGATTTCACCTCCTTAATGCTGGTCCAGCCAATGCAGCATCTGACTGGGGAGGATATCGACACCATTTTAGAGCCTGTCTTTGAGCAAGATGATCAAGAAGATCAGGTGCAGAATTATTTCTCCTACCCTCTTGTCTTACAGGGGCATGTCTACGACGACAAGGTCAAGCTTGTCTTGATCTACGATTCATTCGTTCTTCCTGAATCACAACTCTTGGCATTGTCTCATCAGTTTAACGGTGTTGTGCAACAGCTTTTAAGCGCTGACGATTTCAAGCTGGGTGATATATCTCTGGCTAGCTCTTGGGACCTTGATCTCGCTGAGGCTTCCAACGGCGATGGTCCTGATATCGTTGATGACTGTGCTCATCTCATGATCGAGCGACAGACTGAACTGACTCCTCAAGCCCACGCTGTTCACGCCTGGGATGGTACTCTCACTTATAGTGAGCTTGACCGTGCTGCTAATAGGCTTGCCAATCTATTAGTCGATAGTTACGGCGTCAAAGTCGGTGATATCATCCATGTGTGTTTCGAAAAGTCTCTTTGGTACGTGGTTTCAGTGCTCGCAATCAATAAAGCCGGTGCCGCGTGGGTACCAATGGATCCGGCACATCCATTCCATCGCCTCCAACAAGTCGCTAGCCAAACTGGTGCCAAGATCGCACTCACGTCTTCTATTCACAGACCTCTATGCTCCAAGCTGCTAGACATTGTTATTGAAGTGTCTTCGGCCTTGGATGAACAACTAAATAGTGATCAAGATATCAGCGATATCAAGCCTGCTGTTGCAGTTGCTTCTAGCGATGTCGCCTATTTGCTCTTTACATCTGGCAGTACCGGCGTACCTAAAGGTATCATTATGGAACACGGTTCCCTTTGTACTAGCCAGCGTGACATTGCAAAGAGGCTCGGTCTTAAAAAGAGTGTCAGGATGCTTCAATTCTCGTCCTTCGTTTTTGACGTTTCTGTGGGAGAAATTATGCTTTCTCTTATGCATGGTGGATGTGTTTGCATTCCATCCGACCATGATCGTCTAAATAACCTAGCCAAGTTCATAAGGGATACTGAAGTTTCTTGGGCATTCTTAACGCCATCCTTTGCTCGTACACTCCGCCCTACCGAGGTCCCCAGTCTTGAACTCATTGTCCTTGCTGGAGAGCCCGTTAGTCAGGATGTATTCGACCTCTGGTTTGGCAAAACGAGGCTTGTCAACGGCTGGGGCCCAGCTGAAACTTGCGTGCTAAGCGCTATTCACGAATGGAAATCTGCTGATGAATCACCGTTGACAATTGGGCGCTCTGTTGGTAGCTTTGCCTGGATTGTTGACGCAGAGAATCCTCGACGCCTAGCCCCGGTTGGATGTATCGGAGAAATCGTCATGCAAGGACCTACGCTTCTTCGTGAATACCTGGCTGATTCAGCCAAGACTCTTTCATCAACGTTGACCTCGTTACCTAACTGGGCACCTCGCGCAAATGATAGGAACTGGGGTCGTTTCTATAAAACTGGGGATTTAGGTATCTATAACCCCGATGGAACCATCCATTATTCTGGTCGCAAGGATACCCAAGTCAAGATTCGCGGCCTCCGAGTCGAACTTGGAGAAATTGAGCATCATATTCGTAACTCGCTTGACACAATTCAGCAGATTGCTGTTGACGTGCTCCGATCAGAGACCGGAGCCAATCTTGTTTCTTACATCTGCTTTAGCAATGAGACGAAAACACCCGGACCAGACACCGACCCTGAAGGGGCTGATATATTCCTTCCCATGACCGAAAGCATCGAACACGAATTGAACATCGTCCTTAACAAACTGAATGCTCTGCTTCCCCGCTATATGATACCAACCTACTTTATCCCTTGTGACTACATGCCTCTTATCTCATCTGGGAAATTAGACAGACTTAAGCTCCGCAATAGCACGGCCGCGCTGATTCAAGAAGAATTAGAAGCTTACTCATTGACTGATGCCAACAAGCGCGCTCCTGACACAACCATGGAAATACGCTTGCAACATCTGTGGGCTGAGATTCTCAACATTCCTGTTCAAACTATTGGCAAAGATGATAGCTTTCTCCGTATTGGTGGTGACTCAATTGCCGCTATCCGCCTGGTCTCTATGGCTCGCGAACTCGGCATTACTCTCACTGTGGATGCTATATTTGAAGACCCACGATTGTCTTCTATAGCCTCTACGGCTGGCGCAGCCGACCAGGGTGAAGACGATTTGGGTCCTATCCCTGCCTTTTCCCTCCTCGACGACGGTATTCGGGACGTGATTCAATCCCCTAGCGTCTATGAAAAGTATGGTCTTAATAAAACCCAGGCAATTGAGGATGCGTATCCTACGACAAAGCTGCAAGAAGGGTTCATGGCTTTATCTGCCAAGCAGCCTGGCTCGTATATCGCAAAATTCCTGTATCGCCTCCCCAATCATGTTGACATCTCCCGTTTCAAAGAAGCCTGGAGGCGCACGGTGGATGCCTGCACGAATCTTCGCACTCGAATAATCCTTACTGAGGGCACCAACACGCAGATAATCATTCATGATGACTTCGAGTGGGATTCCCTTGAATCTCAAGACCTCCACTCGTATCTCCAGCTGCACCAGGGAATAGCAATGAGCTACGGTTCTCGGCTCTGCCGTTATGCTCTTGCAGCGCACACAGATGGCAACATGTATTTCATGTGGAGCATTCATCATGCTGTTTTTGACGGCTTGTCAACCCAAAAAGTCTTGAGGATCCTTGAGAAGGCCTATGAGGGTATCGAATCACTTGAGGTACCGACATACGCCCGTTTCATCAAGTATACGCTGGGCCTTGATACAGACGCCGCCGCGTCATATTGGAGAGAGCAATTGCAGGGTTCTCGCAAAGCCACTTTCCCGGCCTCCAATGGAGTCTTTAATAAGACTAGCATTACTCGAACTTTTGAAAGATCGATTAAGCTTCCTCCTGTGACTTCGTCTGGAATCACTATCGCTACTATTGTGCGATCTGCTTGGGCCATAGTCATCGCTAGGTACAGTGATACTGACGATGTCACTTTTGGTACATCTATCTCTGGTCGTCAGGCCCCAGTACCTGAACTGATGGATATGGTTGGTCCGGCTGTTACGACTGTCCCTATAAGGATTCGGGTAGACCGAACACAGCCAGCGTCTGGTTTCCTCCAAGATGTTCAAAAGCAAGCATTAGAAATGGTTCCTTTCGAGCAATTCGGTCTGCAAAATATCGCCAGAGTCTGCGAAGACGCTATAGACGTGTGTGACTTTACATCATTATTGGTAATCCAACCAATGCAGCACATTTCAGACTCTAACAGCAGCAGATCTATCCTAGTACGCGCAGATGGAGAACTTCAGGAGAAGGCGGAGTCCATACAAAACTACTTCTCCTACCCGCTGATTGCTCAAGCTCATCTATATGAAAATCACATTAATCTCGTTTCCATATACGACTCAAATATCCTCGCTGAGAGACAGCTTGAGACCCTTTCTCAACAGTTCGGCCATGTTATATGTCAGCTTGCAGCTGCCACTAGCGAGAATACTCTGGAGTCAATATCTATTTCTTCTTCTTGGGATTTGGATCGGTCTATTGCCCTTAATAGAGAAATTCCTGCAATCGTTAATGCGTGCGTGCATGAGCTTTTTGAACGCCAGGTTGAGCGTCGGCCCGATGCTGTCGCCATTTCTGCGTGGGATGCTGAGTTTACATATAACCAGCTCAACTGTGCTGCAAACCGACTAGCCCATTATATCATTACATCTTATGGAATTAAGCCAGATGATATTATTCACGTGTGCTTTGAGAAGTCAATTTGGCATTTTGTTGCTATTCTAGCCATCAACAAGGCAGGAGCAGCATGGGCACCCCTTGATCCATCCCATCCAGAACAACGCCTCCGTCAGATAGTTGATCAAACCAGAGCCAACCTAATTCTGACTTCTCCAAGCAACTCTGATCTTTGCTCAGCTTTAGTTGAGAACGTGCTTTTAGTTACGCCAAACTTGGACCGGGAGCTGGCCAAGACGACTGATTCCGAAGCTCCGAATGTTGTTGTAAAGCCCGACAACGCTGCATATATTTTGTTCACGTCTGGCTCAACTGGCACGCCTAAAGGCTTTGTTATGGACCACAGGTCGGTCTGTACTTCACAAGTCGCTATAACTAAAAGATTAGGCCATACATCTAATGTCCGAATGCTCCAATTTGCTTCATATGTGTTCGACATGTCAATTGGCGAAATTATTTCCACCTTGATTAGCGGCGGTTGCATTTTTGTGCCATCCGAAGATGTTCGAATGAACAATATCACGCAATATATGCGGAATAATCAAATTAATTGGGCGTTCCTTACACCTTCATTTCTCCGCACCCTGTCGCCTAAGGACATTCCGGATTTAGAAGTACTTCTCCTTGCCGGTGAAGCTGTTCCTAGAGAAATCTTGAATACTTGGTTTGGTAAAGTACGCCTTATCAATGGATGGGGACCAGCTGAGACCTGTGTTTTCAGTACCTTGCATGAATGGAAGTCAGTAGACGAGAGTCCCTTGACTATAGGCAGACCCGTTGGTGGATTCTGCTGGATTGTGGACCCCGAAGACCCTCATAAGCTAGCACCTGTCGGCACATTAGGCGAAGTTGTTATCCAAGGTCCGACTCTGCTTCGCGAATATTTGGCCGATCCAGAACGTACTGCAGCTTCTTGTATCAAGGCGCCTAAGTGGGCACCTCAGCCCGACTCTCAACATTGGGGTCGCTTCTACAAATCTGGTGATCTATGCTCGTATAATGCTGATGGAACCTTCGAGTTTTCTTCTAGAAAGGATACCCAAATCAAGATTCGAGGCCTTCGTGTCGAGCTGGGCGAAGTGGAATACCACATCCAGGCCACATTACAAGACGTTCGCCAGATTGCCGTCGACGTGTATAATGACGAGCGTGGTACGAATCTCGTGGCTTATATCTGTTTCACTGATGAGATTCGTGTTGCTAGTGTCAATCGTGACGCTAGCAGCCCATTCTTCTCAATTGATCAAAAGCTTCAGAATCGACTGAACGCTCTGGTCGGTGAACTTGGGGTGGCACTACCACGATATATGATTCCAACTCTTTACATCCCCTGCAGCTTCATGCCGTCAATTACTTCCACTAAATTAGACCGTAATGAATTACGCCGCCAAACACTCCTCCTTACGCGTGAACAACTGTCAGAATACCTTCTGCAGAGTGGAAGTAAGAGAGCTCCAGAAACTGATATAGAACGCAAGCTTCAGCAGATCTGGTCTACTGCCCTTGGTATCTCGCCGGATTCAATTGGTCGTGACGACAGTTTCCTCGGCCTTGGCGGCGACTCGATAAAGGTAATTCAGCTTGTTAGCGCTTGTCGAGATAAAGGCATTTCTGTATCAGTCAAGGATATCTTCAACGACCCTCGGCTTATTTCAGTAGCAAAAATTGCCAGTTTACTAAGTTCTGTTAACGATGTCACCATTGAGCCATTCAGCTTAATAGACGACGAGCAGAGGCGCTTTTCTATTGCTGAGAGCGCGAGAGACGAATGTAACCTAGGACCTGAAGCGCTTATTGAAGATGCTTATCCTTGTACAAAGTTCCAGGAAGGTCTCATGGCTTTGTCTGTCAAATCCCCCGGCTCTCATGTCGCCAAGCATGTTTATCGACTGGCTGATAATACCGATATCGAGAAGTTTAAATCTAGTTGGACTCAAACTATCTCTCTCTGCCCTACGCTACGGACACGGATTGTGCTCTTGGATGACCAGTGCATTCAGGTAGTAATCAAGGAAGATACGAAGCTCGAGATGTCTGCCACTTCCGAATTCGATGTTGCCATGGTCGAAGCTAGCAACGTGCAAATGACATATGGTTGCTCCTTGTCTCGGTATACAATATTCCAAGGAGCAGACGGTATCTACTTTATCTGGACTGTGCATCACGCTGTTCATGATGGATGGACTATTCGTCTTGTCCTTGAGACACTTCAGAAGTGCTATCAGAGCTCAAACAATAGTTCGCTGAAACCATATTCAGCTTTCATCCAATATGCAACCGATGTGGTTCAAGACCCTGCCACCAAGAAATACTGGTCCCAGCAGCTAGATGGCGCAGTACAGGCCTCATACCCGCCTCGCCCCAGATCCGAAACGCAACATAAGGCAATCACTGGCATGATGACAAAATCCATTCAAATGCCCAGAATTTCCCAGTCCTCAATCACTGTGGCAACTGTTCTGCGGGCCACTTGGGCTATGATCCTTGCTCGTTACTCTGACACTGATGATGTCTGTTTTGGTACTTCAGTATCTGGTCGTCAAGCATCTGTTGCGAACATCCTGGATATGCCCGGCCCTATTGTTGCTACTATTCCGGTTCGTATAAAACTAGATGAAGAGCAGACAGTGCTTGAATTCCTGGAGAATATTCAGTCGCAAGCCACAGAGATGATTCCATATGAGCAATATGGTCTACAAAATATCGCAAAGATTTCCCCCGATATCAAAGATGCCATCGACTTCTCATCTCTTCTAGTCATCCAGCCAAGATCTCACTTAGACTCAAGTAATGGAGATGGTGATAATGACAAGATTCTTATCCCGACCATACAGAGCGATGAAGACTCAGCAGGCCTTTTGCAAGATTACTTCACATACCCATTAATCATCCAGGGCCACGTATTCGGCGATCGGATCGACTTGATATTTACCTATGATAGCACTATTTTGTCCAAAAATGATCTTGGCCGACTAGCAGGTCAATTTGAGCATATAGCTCAGCAACTCTTTGATTCCGATCACATCAAGCTTGGAGACCTCTCCTTGGCCGGCCCACAAGACATCCAGCAGGCGATTGCGTGGAACACGGAAAACCCTGAGATTATCGAAGACTGTATCCATAAGTTAATTGAAAGAAACGCGGCTTCCACCCCGAACGCAATTGCTATCGACGCTTGGGATGGAATGTTAACGTACGCCCAGTTAGACCAGATGGCCAATCGTTTAGCTCACTATCTTATCAAGACTTTCGATATAAAGACTGATGATCTTATTCTTTGCCTCTTCGAAAAGTCTTTACGGTATGTCGTCACAGTTCTTGCAGTTAATAAAGCCGGTGCTGCTTGGGTCCCACTTGATCCTTCGCATCCTACGCAGAGATTGCAACAAGTGGCAAGACAGACCAAAGCAAAGCTGCTTCTTGCTTCGTCCTTGCAACTCAATTTGGGTAAGGAGCTATCGAACACTGTTCTCGAAGTCGGCCCGATTTTGGACGATGCCCTGATCAAAACAGAGCCCAGTACTCAAGCTCCAGATGTAGCGGTTTCTCCCCGCAATGCCGCGTATGTACTGTTCACTTCTGGCAGTACTGGAACACCAAAAGGACTAGTGATGGAGCACGGAGCTGTCTGTACTAGCCAGACTGCTATTACTGCCCGTATTGGCCTTCACAGCGGTGTAAGACTACTGCAGTTTGGCGCCCATGTTTTTGATCTTTCTGTTGGTGAGATTTGTTGCTCATTGATTCGCGGGGCTTGTCTTGTCATCCCGTCAGATGAGATTCGCATGAATAGTCTTGCAAAGTTTATACATGAGAAGAACATCAACTGGGCAATTTTCACACCCTCTTTCATCCGAACCCTCGAACCCACCGATGTCCCACATTTGGAATTGGTCATCCTCTGTGGTGAACCTTCTGATAAGAAGATATTAGAGAAGTGGGTTGGCAAGGTTAGATTGTTCAATGGATGGGGCCCGGCCGAAACCTGTGTATACAGCAGTTTACATGAGTGGAAGTCGGCGGCCGAGAGCCCTCTCACAGTTGGTAAACCTGTTGCCTCTTTCGTCTGGATTGTTGATCCCAAGCATCCCCTTCGGCTTGCTCCGGTGGGCACCATTGGAGAGGCTGTCATACAGGGCCCTACTATCCTGCGTGAGTATCTCGATGATCCTACAAGAACGCGGGCCAGCATCCTCGAATCAATTCCGAGCTGGGCTCCAACCCTTGAGCCGCAACAACGGTGGAATCGGGTTTACTTGACAGGCGATCATTGTAGTTACAACCCTGATGGGACTATTGAGTACCATGGACGGAAGGATAACCAAATTAAGATCCGAGGGCTTCGTGTAGAACTTGGAGAAGTTGAGCATCAAATTCGCAAACTCTCGGAGAATCTGGTTCACGTCGCCGTGGATGTTCACAAATTTGAAGCAGGCTCAATGTTAGTTGCATACCTTGGATATTCCGAAAAGAATTTGGATGATCCAGATGCGATATTTATGCCTCTTACCGATGATCTTCAAAAAGACCTTGATGCTATGGCTAGCCAACTTGGCGTTTTGTTGCCCCGTTATATGGTACCTACTTTGTATATCCCATGTTCTCAGATGCCTTTCTTGACATCTGGCAAACTCGACATGGGCCGACTCCGCAGACTCACTTCTGCATTAGACCAAAAGCAGCTACAATCTTATGCGTTAGAAGACACACAAAAAGAGGCTGCTGAAACCGAGATGGAAATTCGTCTTCGAGACATTTGGGCCAGGATTTTAGGTCTTCTGCCTCAGTCAATCGGCCGCCGCGATAGCTTTCTTCGCATTGGTGGAGATTCAATTGCTGCTATTCAACTGGTAGCAGCCGCCAGCAAATCTGGCATCTCGTTCTCAGTTAAAGATGTCTTTGATGACTCACGACTTTGGAAATTGGCAGAACTTGCATCTTCTCGACTCAAATCGGATGTTGTGGATGTGATGGTTGCACCATTTAGTCTACTTAGTCCTAATCTGGATCAGACAGCTGTTACAGCTATTGCAAACACACAATATGATCTACCTAACGGCATCATTGTAGAGGACGCTTATCCATCAACAAAGCTTCAGGAAGGTCTTATGGCAATATCTGCTCGACAGCCAGGCTCGTACGTTGCAAAGCAGGCTTTCCGATTGGCCAAGAATGTTGACATCGATACCTTTAAAGCGGCTTGGGAGCGTACTATCGAACTTTGTGGCAATCTGAGAACTCGTCTTATGGTTATCGGAGATTTGAGTATACAGGTTGTGATCAAAAATGAGGAAATTCGATGGGACATTTCCAGTACGACTCTGGAGGCGTACCTGTCCCAAACGTTTAATATGGGATACGGTGATTCTCTACTCCGCTATGCCATCGTCTATGAACCGTCAGGCGAAAGCTACTTTGTTTTGAGCATTCACCATGCCGTATTTGATGGTTGGACGCTGTCTATGCTTATGACAACGCTAGAGTCGATTTACCACGGTGTTGAAGCTCCCCTTGTCCGGCCCTATGTTGAATTTGTGAAGCATATTATGGACATCGATAAGGTTGCGGCTTCCGATTATTGGCGTGACCAGCTTCAGAATGCAAAGCGCGCCTCGTTCCCGCCATTTTCGTCGTCTCAAGCAGCCCAATCTGTTACTCGCATTCTTGAGAAGCCTCTCAACTTTACTCATTCAGGTACCTCAGGTATTACCAAAGCAACTATTTTGAGAGCTGCGTGGGCGGTTGTTCTATCTAAATATTCCGATACCAGTGATGTGACCTTTGGCGTTAACGTTTCTGGTCGTAATGCTGCGGTTGCTGGAATTGAAACAATGCCTGGATTAGTGGTCGCTACGGTGCCTGTCCGTGTACGATTACATCCTGAACAAACGGTCGCGGAATTCCTTGAAAGTATGCAGACTCAATCAACCGACATGATTCCATATGAGCAGTTTGGTCTGCAAGATATCTCTAAGCTTAGTCCTGAAGCTAAGGATGCTTGCGATTTTTCATCTCTCATGGTTATTCAGCCCATGTCTAGCATTGTCGGTAATGCAACATCTATTCTTGTACCCCAAGACCTTGACAAGGATGCTACAGAAGAGAGATTACAAAATTATTTCTCTTATCCCCTTGTTATTCAAGCTCATATAAATGATGATGGTGGGGTCAAGTTGTTGCTCATATATGATGCCAACGTTCTTGCAGAGAATCAGCTCCAAGCATTGTCCACCCAATTCGAACATGTGGTCCAGCAGTTGCTTACCCAAGATGCCGAGGCCAGGCTGGAGAACATAACCGTTGCCGGACCATGGGATCTGCAGCAGGCCATTAGTTATAATGTGAAAGAGCCTGGTATGGTCAGTGCTTGTGTACATGAGCTTATTACCCAACAAGCACTCAGGGATCCCCATCATGAGGCCATCTACTCAAATGAAGGCACAATGACATATGCTACTTTGGATCGTCTCTCGACCCTCCTAGCCCAGCACTTGCATGGACTTGGTGTGAGGCCCGAATCTGTTGTTCCGTTCTGTTTTGACAAGTCATCGTGGGCGATCGTCACCATGCTCGCCATTCTAAAAGCTGGTGGTGTATTCCTACCTCTTGACCCATCACATCCTCGCAACCGCCGGGAAGTTTTGGTCCGAGAAGTTGGAGCTGAGATTATGGTTGTCTCACCTTCATCATCTGTCTCTTGTGAGAATTTGACACCTACCATGGTAGAGCTTACACCTCAATTGTTTGAAGAGCTTTCATCGATTTATGATGCCTTCCGAGAGATTCAACCCAAGGTTAAACCTAGCAGTGCAGCCTACGTTCTATTTACCTCCGGCTCTACTGGTAAACCAAAAGGTGTTTTGATGGAGCACTCTGCATTTGCCACCAGTACCTTGGGACACGGTCGCGTATATAACCTCAGTCCGTCTTCTCGTGTCTTCCAATTTTCCAACTACATTTTTGATGGAAGTTTGGGAGAGATTTTTACCACTCTTTCATTCGGTGGTACGGTTTGCGTGCCATCCGATGACGAAAGACTCCAAGGAGCTCCTTCTTTCATGCGAGGAGCCCGAGTAAATACTGCCATGTTAACACCTTCGTTCGTTCGGACCTTTACACCTGAACAAGTTCCATCATTACAGTTGCTCATTCTTGGCGGAGAACCTTGTTCTAAAGATCTTCTTGAGACGTGGTGCGATCGCCTTCGTCTGGTCAATGGCTATGGGCCAGCTGAAGCTTGTAATTATGCGACAACACATGATTTCAAAGCTACTGACTCTCCTCGCATAATCGGACGCGGCTTCAACAGCGCTTGTTGGATTGTTGATCCGACAGACTACAATGAACTGACTCCCATCGGTTGCATTGGAGAGTTGGTTATTCAAGGAAATGCCCTTGCTCGTGGCTACATAAATGATGCCGACCGCACTGCAGCTTCGTTCATAACTCATATGGACTGCTTGCCCGAATCCACCGTCCCCGGCCGACACAGGTTTTATTTGACTGGTGACCTTGTTCGGTATAACGTTAATGGGGATATAGAGTATCTTGGTAGAAAGGATACACAAGTCAAGCTTCGTGGACAGCGCCTTGAGCTTGGCGAAATCGAGTATCATGTCAAGCGATCATTGTCTAATATTGAACACGTTGCTGTTGATGTGGTTCATCGTGAGGCTGGCGATGCTCTCATTGCTTTTATCTCGTTTAAGGAAAAGATGGCATCTTCTGGCAACATCCTTTTGCTCAACGATGATCTACGCCTAGCCTTGGCTACTATTATGGAGCATTTGAAGATGTCTCTTCCGGGATATATGGTTCCCACCAGTATCTTACCTGTGAAGAGAATGCCATTCATCACTTCGATGAAAGTTGACCGGAAGAAGTTAATTGCCACTGCCGCCGCTTTATCATTAGAACAACTTACCGCTTTCTCTATGGTGAAGCGTGACTACATCGCCCCCAGCACTTTCATGGAGAAGAAGCTGGCGGGTTTGTGGGCTCAGGTGCTCAAAATCGATCCTAACGATATTAGCAAGAATGATAGTTTCCTTCAAATTGGCGGTGATTCAATTTCTTCAATTCATCTAGTCGCACTTGCACAACAGTCTGGTGTTGGTTTAACTGTGGCTAGCATCTTTGCCAATTCTAAGCTATCCTCATTAGCCTTAACAGCTGAAGAGGGTATCTCACAATCAGTCCATGATGTGGCACCATTCTCAATGGTACCTACGATGGATCTGGATTCTTTACTGGAAGAAGTTCGTGCCAAGTGTGGGTTATCCAGCACTGCCGTTATTGAAGACATCTACCCTGTGACAACATTCCAAGAAGGTCTTATGGCATTGACTGTCAAGCAATCAGGTTCTCACGTGGCCAAAAATGTCTACCGGCTCTCTGAGAATACTGATATCGCACGCTTTAAATCTGCGTGGGAGGCCACTGTGGAACTATGCAGCAACCTTCGGACTAGGATCGTACTCTCAGGCGACACCACTATTCAAGTTATCTTGAAAGATGTATCTCCCTGGGATGACACTACGAATATGACCCTCCAGTCTTATCTCCAGGGTAATCAGAGCCACATTGGCTATGGCTCTGCATTGAGCCACCACGCTCTTATTGAACAGGCCGATGGAAGCAGCTATTTTGTGTGGTCTATTCATCATGCCGTTTTTGATGGCTGGACTACTCGCTTGGTCTTAAACACCCTCTTTTCCGCGTATATGGGTGATTACCCTGCCCCATTTACCTCTTATGCTCATTTCATCAGCTATACTACGAATCTTAATGCTGATGCCGCTAAGGCCTTCTGGACCGAGCAGTTGTTGGATGCTAAGCGGGCGCCATTCCCTGCTGCCCTCTCCCGCAATAACCAGTCTAAAACGCGAGTACTTGAGAAAGCCATTGAACTGCCGCAATTTCAACAGACCTCGATCACTATGGCCTCCATTCTGCGTGCTACATGGTCTATTGTCCTCGCACGACATTGTGATACCGATGATGTAACTTTTGGAACTGCAATTTCCGGAAGACAGGCTCCGGTTGCTGGTATAACCGAAATGGTAGGCCCAGTTGTTGCTACTGTCCCGGTACGCGTTCGACTGGATAAGCTTGCGTCTGTTCCGGAATTTCTTCAGGGTATTCAGAATCAAGCTTCTGAAATGATTCCTTTTGAACAATTCGGCCTACAGAATATTGCGAAGTTAAATATTGAAGCTAAAGAGGCTTGTGATTTTGCATCGCTTTTAGTCATTCAGCCCATGAAGAAGCTGCTTGATACGGGCAATAACAAAGCCATCCTGGAAGACATGAGTGCGACGACCGAAGATTTGGAAGAGTATATGAAAGATTACTTCTCCTATCCTCTTGTTGTGCAAGGTCATGTGTATGAAGACTCAGTTAACTTGGTCCTTATATATGACGCGGACATTCTATCTGAGCAACAATTGCTCGCTGTAGCTCATCAATTTGAGCATGTTGCACAGCAGCTTGTTATGGAGGATAGCAGCAATAAGACTCTCGGGGATGTGTCTGTATCAAGCTCTTGGGACATCGAGTATGCTATACGTCAGAACAACGAAGTACCTGATCTTATTGAATCTTGCTTCCATACCCTCGTTGAGCAACAGAAAATGATTCGACCGGAGTCTCCTGCCGTCCGCAGTTGGGATGGGAATTTTACATATAGTCAACTCGATCAGGCTGCCAATAGGTTGGCGAACCACCTTGTGGCAGAGTATGAAATCAAGAATGACGAGCTTATTCACGTTTGCTTCGAGAAGTCATCTTGGTTTGTGGTTGCTATTCTGGCCATTAATAAAGCTGGCGGTGCTTGGGTTCCATTAGACCCTTCCCATCCTACTCAGCGGCATCAGCAGGTCGTTGGTCAAACTAAAGCTCGGCTTGCTCTGGTCTCGCGTTCAAACATTTCAACGTGCGTTGACCTTGTAGAGCACGTGGTAGAAGTTTCGTCTGCTACAGATGAAATTTTGAACAAGGCTGAGCCATCTGATCGGGGCCGTGGTCGCGAAATTTCTCCCTCCAACGCCGCCTACGTGCTTTTTACTTCCGGATCCACCGGTACTCCAAAGGGACTCGTAATGGAGCATAGAAGCCTTTGCACAGCACAAACGGCTATTATAAAGCGTCTGAGGCTTCCTTCCAGCGCTAAGACACTACAGTTTGCTTCTTATGTATTCGATGCTGCGGTTGCTGAAATCGCTTCCACACTTATTACCGGCGGGTGTTTATGTATCCCGTCAGACCACGACAGGATGAACGCGCTGCCTGAATTTATTCGACACAACGGCATCAATTGGGCTTGGATTACACCGTCATTAATTCGAACTCTTAAGCCCAAAGATGTACCAAGTCTAGAAACGGTGATCCTAGTAGGTGAAGCTGTTACTAGAGATATCATGGATGCTTGGTTTGGCAAGGTCCGCCTAGTTAATGGATGGGGGCCAGCTGAGACCTGCGTGGTGTCTACCCTTCATGAATGGAAATTCATTGATGAATCGCCTCTCACAATTGGGTCTCCCGTGGGTGGTTTCTGCTGGATTATCGATCCAGAAAATCCCCAGAAAATCGCCCCAATTGGAGCAGTGGGCGAAATCGTTATCCAAGGACCAACAATATTAAGGGAATACCTGGACGACCCGGTTCGCACATCAGCTAGTACGGTTAAGAACCTTCCTGCATGGGCCCCGAGCCGTAAAACTAAGTATTGGAATCGATTCTACAAGTCTGGTGACCTTGCTTTTTATAATGCAGATAGAACCATTCAATTTGTGAGTCGCAAGGACACGCAAATTAAGATCCGCGGTCTCCGTGTTGAATTGGGCGAAGTTGAACACCACGTCAAGACAGCCCTGAGCGGCGCTCAACAGATTGCTGTCGATGTCATCAGATCCGGCATCGGTGCTAGTCTGGTGGCATACTTTTGCTTTACCGATGAAATAAGAATTACGGGTACTCGTGCAGGCTCTGATGATAGTGGTCCATTTGTCCAAATGGATGATGAATTACAGGGTATTCTCACCAAGGTGATAGGCCAGCTAAACATCTTATTGCCGCGATATATGGTTCCAACATTCTTTATTCCTTGCTGGTATATGCCTTACATTACTTCAAGAAAATTGGATAGAAATGACCTCAAACGACGAACTGCTGTACTCAGCCAAGAAGAGCTTATGATGTACTCTCTTCAAATGGGGAAAAAACGCACACCACAAACGATAATGGAAAAAGACCTTCAAGCTATTTGGTCTGAACTATTATCTCTTCCATCTGAGAATATTGGCCTTGACGATAGCTTTTTGCGCTTAGGCGGTGATTCAATTACTGCTATCCACCTTGTCACTATGTCCCGCGAGAAGGGCATCTCATTGACGGCTCAGGATATTTTTGATGACCCGAGATTGTTTGCTGTCGCCTCACATGCTAAGAAGGCGGATGAAGATGAACAAGACGCTCTCGTAATCGCTCCCTTCTCGCTTCTTAGCGAGAAATTACAGCAATTGGCCATAGCCGATGATGTTCGCGCCCAGTGTAATTTGTCATCTGGAACCATTGTGGATGCCTACCCGTGCACCGCCCTGCAAGAGGGCCTCATGGCATTGTCTGTCAAGCAACCTGGCTCATATATTGCCAAGTTTGTCTATCGCATACCTAGTTATGTGGATATTACTCGTTTTAAAGCTTCCTGGGAGCAGACTGTTAGTCTTTGCGACAACCTTCGAACCCGGATTGCCCTTGTTGATGGACGAGCCACCCAAATTGTTACTGATGAGCCCGTCACCTGGGCACACAGCCTTGATTTGAGTACCGCATTTTCGGATATGAGGTCAGCAAGGATGACTTACGGATCTTCCCTGTCTCAATTTGCATTGGTCCAGCAGAGTGGTGACGATACTTTCTTTTTGTGGTCAATTCATCATGCTATATTCGACGGCTGGACAGTGCCAATATTGATGAACACATTGCATGCTCTCTACCGTCGCGTAGAGCCAGCGCAACCCGTATCTTATGCTCGATTTGTTAAGTTTACTATGGAAGTTGACAATGAAGAGACGGTCAAGTACTGGAGAGACCAATTGCATGGCGCAAAGAAAGCCACGTTCCCTCCAGTTACGCCTTCTCGACCTAACGCGATGAATGTTCTGGAGAAATCCATCAATTACTCCCGGACTGTCGGTTCATCAATTACTAGGGCCACCCTCTTACGAGCGGCATGGGCTCTTGTACTTTCTCGATACTCTGAAAGCAATGATGTAACCTTTGGTACCACAATCTCCGGTCGTCAGGCTCCTGTCGATGGTATCACTAACATAGCCGGCCCTGCTGTTGCAACTGTTCCTGCTAGAATTCACCTTAACAAGCAGCAGACTGTATCTGCTTTCTTAGAGAGTGTCCAGAATCAAGCTCTAGGTATGATACATTACGAGCAATATGGTCTACAAAATATCTCAAAGATCAGCTTGGATGCCAAGGAAGCTTGTGATTTTACCTCACTTTTGGTTATCCAACCCATCGATCAATTGGAATATCGCAGCGATGATGCACTTTTGGTTCCAGCTGAGTCGTCTATTACTGAAGAGGCAGACATCATGAAAAACTACTTCTCATATCCTCTTGTTATCCAAGGTCATCTTTATAAAAACACCATCAACCTCATGCTCAATTATGATTCCCAAATCCTATCGGAAAGCAAGATGCAAGCCTTATCTCATCATTTTGATAATGCTGTTCAAGCACTTACTAACAGAGGTGACATGCTTCTTGGTAGTATATCTCTATCAAGTAGGTGGGATTTTGACCAGGCTCTTCAACTGAATAGCAGAACGCCCAACGCTGTTGAACGGTGCTTCCATGAAATGGTTGACGAAGTTGCGTCGGTTAGAAAAGACTCTCTAGCCATTTCTGGTTGGGATAAGTCGTTTACCTATAAAGAGATGACGGAGACAACGAATCGCATTGCTCAGTATCTTATTGCCGAGCACGGAGTCAAAGTCGGAGATATTATTCATGTATGCTTCGAAAAGTCGGCTTGGTTCCTCATCGCTACTCTAGCTATCAATAAGGCTGGTGCAGCCTGGTCAACTCTTGACCCATCTCATCCAACTGAACGATATCAGAAGATCATCAGTCAAACTGGTTCTCAGTTAGCACTAACTTCGGCTGTAAATTCTCACAGGTGTATGGGTTTATTGCCAAAAGTCATTGAACTGACACCTGAACTTGATGCCAAATTGGCTCTCGATAGTCAATGGAGCGCCGAAAGACCAGCCGTTAAAATCACCCCCAGCGATGCCGCTTATATCTTATTCACCTCTGGATCCACAGGTGTACCAAAAGGTGTTGTGATTGAACACGCGTCGCTCTGCACCAGTCAAACTTCTCTATCACAGGCTCTTAAATTTCAGGAACAGTTTAGAGTTCTCCAGTTCTCATCTTACTCATTTGATGCTGCATTATTTGAGATTGGCTCCACCTTCCTCACTGGTGCTTGCCTGTTTGTTCCCTCATGGGATGAACAGATGAACCAGTTAACAGAATACATCCGGAAGCATCAGATCACCTGTGCGCTTCTAACACCGACTCTGGCTCGAACTATCCGCCCTGAGGATGTTTCTTCTCTAGACATACTATTAGTTGCTGGCGAGGCCCCTACGCTTGATATCCTCGATACCTGGTTTGGTAAAGTCAGACTTATCAACGCTTGGGGTCCAACTGAATGCTGCGTTGCTGCATGTATTCACGAGTGGACTTCAGTCAGCGAATCGCCTAGAGTTATCGGTCAGCCAATTGGCGGCTCTTGTTGGATTGTTGATCCAGATGATGCAACACGCATGGCACCCTTAGGAACTGTTGGAGAAATCGTAGTACAAGGCCGAAATCTGCTACGTGAATATCTCTCCGATCCTATCAAAACCGCTGCTGCTACAGTTACAGGTCTCCCCCAATGGGCTCCAAAGCGTGATTCTCTTCACTGGGATCGCTTCTACCTCACAGGTGACTTGGGCTTCATCAATGACTCTGGGAATATAGAATATTGTACCCGTAAAGACACTCAAGTTAAGATTCGAGGACAACGTCTCGAGCTTGGAGAGATTGAGCATCATATTCAGGCTCATCTCGAAGGTGTCCGACAGGTCGCTGTAGACGTTGTCAAATCTGACGCTGGCTCAACGCTTATTGCTTTCATTAGCTTCTCTGATGCCAAGGAACCGACCAGTCTTGACGAAAAGACCATTGGAAACGGGATATTTTTGCCACTTGAAGGAAGTCTCCAAGCTACAATTAGTAGCATGATGGGAACACTGGGTACACTCATGCCCCGATACATGGTGCCAAGCGCATTCATTCCATGTGCCTACATGCCGCTGGCGACTTCAACCAAATTAGATCGCAAGAAGTTGAAGGAACTGGCCGCTTGTCTTAGCCAAGAGGAAATGGTTGTCTACTCGCTCGCCAACGAAGAGAAAAATGCCCCTCAGACAGCTATGGAGAGCCGAATCCAGAAACTGTGGGCACAGGTCTTAAATCTCAGTATTGACGCGATAGGACGCGATGACTCCTTCCTTCAAATTGGTGGCGATTCTATTTCTGCAATTCAATTTGTTTCCGTCGCTCGAGATGCCAACGTCAAAATCACTGTCAGAGATGTCTTTAACGATCCACGGCTGTTAGCTATTGCGTCTAAAGCCACTGAGATAGGTGAAGACGGTGAGGAAGTGGTCCAAATCAAACCTTTCGGTCTTCTGGACCACTCTCTTAAAAACGCCGTTCTCAGCCAGAATATTCAAGATCAATTCAACCTTCCAACTGATAGGGAAATAGAGGATGCCTACCCATGTACGAAACTCCAGGAGGGTCTCATGGCTCTCGCTGTTAAGCAGCCTGGATCGTACATTGCTAAATTTTTCTATCGAATTTCTCGTAACATCAATATCTTACTCTTCAAGGCCACTTGGGAGGAGACTGTTCGCCTGTCGCCCAACCTCCGCACCAGAATCCTCAATATTGGCAGCATGTCCATCCAAGCTATCCTGAAAAATGATATTTCTTGGCAATCAACCAGAGGAGACTCTTTGCGTTCTTATATGCGTGCCGCTGAAGCTTCCGAGATGACTTATGGCTCCTCGTTGACCCGATATGCCCTTATTGAAGACGGTGGTGAAACCTATTTTGCATTACTTATGCATCATGCAATTTTCGACGGTTGGGGCCTAAGGACTGTTATGGCAATTTTTCACTCTCTCTTCCGCAACCAGAGTCCTGTGGTTGTACAGCCTTATGAACGATTTGTCCATTACACGTTAAATATTGACAGTAATGCTGCAGCTGATTACTGGAAGGCTCAATTCAATGGTGCAAGGCAAACACTTTTCCCAGCAGCCTTATCATCTGCACAGGAGAAGAAAAGAAATACCACGCTCACCTTTGAGAAGGCAATTGAACTGCCTAATATGAGCAAGACTTCAGTCACAAAAGCCACTATGCTTCGAGCTGCCTGGGCTATTGTATTATCTAAGTACTGTGATTCTGATGATGTTACCTTTGGTACCACAATATCTGGTAGGCAAGCGCCCGTTCATGGCCTTGCCGATATGACCGGACCTGCTATTGCGACAGTCCCCGTCCGCGTTCTCATTGACCGTGCCCAGTCTATTGCGGATTATTTACAAACTATTCAAAGCCAGGCAAACGACATGATTCCCTTTGAACAATTCGGCTTACAAAACATTTCCAAACTCAGTTCTGATGCTAAAGATGCCTGCAATTTCAGCAGTCTGCTTGTAATTCAACCTATACAATCACTATCCTATGCGGATGAAAGTGCAGACGCTATTTTTGTCCATGCAGAGGTTGACAAGGAAATTGGCGACACAGTTCAAAATTATTTCAGCTATCCATTGGTTATTCAAGGGCACATGCATGAAAGCTTCATCAACCTTGTTCTAATTTACGATACGGATGTGCTACCCGAGAACCAGATGATTGCTTTATCCCACCAATTCGAAATAGTCATGAAACAATTGGCCTATCAGTCAGATCAGGAACTGGGCTCTGTTTCTTTGGCTAGTGATTGGGACCTTGTCAATTGTATGAGGCAGAATAGCGATATTCCCGATATTGTTGATTCTTGTATTCATCAGTTAATTGAGCATCAAGCTACTGCGCAGCCAGATGCCCTTGCTATCGTGAGCTGGGATCGCGATTTTACCTACCGGCAACTTAACGAGGCGTCCAATAGGCTGGCACATTTCCTTGTCAGTAAATATAATGTTCAGCCAGAAGATTTAATCCCAGTCTGCTTTGAGAAGAGTGCCTGGTATTTTGTCGCTATTACGGCGATTAATAAAGCCGGTGCTGCCTGGGTTCCCCTCGATCCCTCACATCCAGAATTACGTCTCCGTCAAGTCGTTTCTCAGACCTGCGCCAAACTGGCTCTGTCATCTTCAGCCAATTCCAAATTATGTGGTATTCTCGTTGACAAGGTCATCGAAATAAACGCGGAGCTTGATAACAAGCTATTGGCAACTGAAGCCAGTGCGTATGGTCCTATTGTGGCTATCTCTCCACGTAACGCCGCATATGTGCTATTCACATCTGGTAGCACAGGAACTCCCAAAGGTCTTGTTATGGAACATGGATCTGTCTGTACGTCGCAGGTGGCCATTGCCAAAAGACTAGGTCTAACCTCAAAGGTTCGAATGTTGCAATTTGCTGCGTTTGTCTTTGATTTATCAATTGGCGAGATCATTGGACCGCTTATTTCCGGTGCTTGCATTTGCGTCCCATCAGAGGACACCCGCATAAGTGGCATCGTTGACTTTATTAACACCAAGGCTGTTACTTGGGCATATCTGACACCATCCTTTGTTCGTACAATAAAACCATCGGAGGTGTCTCACCTAGAGCTTCTACTACTTGCGGGTGAAGCTGTTGCCCGGGACATTTTCACGACCTGGGTTGGTAAGCTCCGTCTAATTAATGGTTGGGGCCCTGCCGAAACTTGTTGCTTTAGCGCATTGCATGAATGGCAATCTGCTGAGGAGAGTCCTCTTACTGTTGGTCGTCCCGTGGGTTCATTCTGTTGGATAGTTGACCCAGAAAATCCGTGTCAACTTGCGCCAACCGGTATCTTAGGCGAGGTTGTAATTCAGGGCCCAACAATTCTACGCGAGTATTTATCAGATAAAGAACGTACCGACGTTGCTGTTGTTAAAACTCTTCCCGAGTGGGCACCATTCCGCGAGCAGGCCAGTTGGAGCCGCTTTTATAAATCGGGAGATCTTTGCAAGTATAATCCTGATGGAACTATTGAGTTCTCCAGTCGCAAGGATACACAGGTTAAGATACGTGGCTTGAGAGTTGAACTAGGCGAAGTTGAACACGCTATTCAGGTCGCTTTAGATGGTGTCCATCAAATCGCCGTTGACATTTTCAAGGGCGATAATGGTACCAACCTCGTGGCATATTTCTCGTTTAGTGAGGAAACCCGCCAGATCCACGAAGCCGATCCCTCTGGGCCCTTTCAAACGATGGATGAGAATCTACAAGCCCGTCTAACAGCCGTTGTAGGGGAGCTGAACATAGCTCTACCTAGGTACATGATTCCAACTCTGTTCATCCCCTGCAAGTATATGCCTTCTATTACGTCTACCAAACTCGATAGGGGCGAGCTTCGGCGTCGCACCGAGACCCTCACTAAATCTGAACTGGCTGTGTTTTCTCTCTTAAGTGGTAAAAAGAGGGCCCCTGAGACACCAATGGAGATTCTTATTCAGCGCATCTGGTCAGAGATCTTTCATATGCCAGTCGATTCTATCGGTCGTGATGATAGCTTTTTAAGCCTCGGAGGTGACTCGATTACCGCTATCCACTTAGCGAGCGTTTCTCGGGATGAGGGTATCCATATTGCTGCAAAAGATGTTTTTGATGACCCACGTCTACTGGCTATTGCGAGTAAAGCTAAGGACCTGAGCATCGAGGCTCAACAACCTCTTGATATACTCCCATTCAACCTTCTTGGCGCTGAGACTCGCGACCTAGCTGTCGGTCCCAGTGTCAGGGAGCAACTGAAGCTGCTCGCAGGGCAGACCATTGAGAATGCATATCCATGTACCAAGCTTCAAGAAGGCTTGATGGCATTATCTGTGAGCCAGCCAGGATCCTACATCGCGAGATACGTCTACCGCCTACCCCATCAGGCCGATATTACTCGCTTTAAAGCTGCATGGGAACAGACCGTCGCTTACCATTCTATTTTGAGAACGAGAGTTATCATGATCAACGATACTTGCGTTCAGTTGGTAGTTAAAGACGGGGTTACTTGGGAGAACCATGATTCCAAAGATCTGGATGAAGCTATCCGTGTTACTCATTCTTACACCATGACGTACGGCACACCTCTTTCTATGTACTCCATTCATGAGTCCGAGTCCGGTGATTCGTACTTTTTGTGGACGATCCATCACTCAATGCATGATGGTTGGGCCGTGTCCGTGATTTTCAAGACACTTGATCAAGCTTACAAGGGCCACACATTAGGAACTCCTAAAGATTTTTCGAGATTTGTCAGATACACCATGGAACTTGAACAGAAAGCGGCTGGCAATTATTGGAGAGAACAACTTCAAAATGCAAAGCGGGCAAGCTTCCCAAAGACTAGTCTCGTGGTAAAGCCTACTGGCATTGACCAGAAGACTCGGACTATGTCTACGTCTATCAAATTCCCTTCATCCTCTACTATGCTTGTTACTAAGGCTAGCATTATAAGAGCTGCCTGGGCAATTGTTCTTGCGAGATACTGCGACAGTGATGATGTTTGCTTCGGAGCCACTATCTCCGGAAGGCAGGCACCTGTGTCTGGCCTCCTAGAGATGGCCGGCCCGGCAATTGCAACTGTCCCAGTTCACGTGCGGCTTGATAGAGATCAGAATATTTCTAGTTTCCTACAGGGAATCCAAGAGCAGGCTCATGAGATGGTTCCGTACGAACAATATGGTCTTCAGAATATTGCCAAATTGAGCAATAACGCGAGAGATGCTTGTGAATTTACATCGCTCCTGGTAATCCAGCCTGCACAACGAAGCGAGTTTAGCATGCGGTCTGATAAGGAAGCTCTTTTAACCCCAATTCAAGCTAAGCTTGATGATTTGCTTCAAAATTATTATAGCTATCCTCTGGTCCTTCAAGGTCATGTTTATGATGACCGCGCTGAGCTCGTTTTGATTTACAATTCAACTGTTGTTCCACAGCCACAGATGACTGCCCTCTGTCAACATTTTACCAACGTTATGCAGCAACTGTTGACAAATGAAAGTAGCGGTAAACTGAAAGATATCTCTGTTGCTGGCTCATTCGATCTCGAGCTTGCACGGAAATCTAATGGTGAGGGACCTAAGATCATTGAAGACTGCATCCACCATATTATTGCAAGTCAGGTTGAACAGACCCCGAATGTACTTGCTGTCGACGCTTGGGATGGACAGTTCACCTATGGTGAATTAGACCGCGCAGCTAACAGATTGGCAAACCTCCTCATTAATGACTATGGAGTAAAGATCGGCGACATTGTGCATGTTTGCTTTGAGAAGTCCAAGTGGTATATCGTGGCTATTCTGGCAATTAATAAAGCCGGCGCTGCTTGGGCTCCATTTGATCCTGCGCATCCTCTTCAGCGACTCCAAGCTGTTGCCGGTAGAACTGGTGCCAAGCTGGCCCTTGCTTCAACTGCCAATACAAGCCTCTGTGAACAAGTGGTTGAATGCGTCGTTGAAGTTTCGTCTACATCTGACAGAGAGCTTTTAAATTCCTACGGCATTAGCAAAAAGGGGCCCGATGTTAACGTCACCCCTACTGACACTGCCTACATTTTGTTCACGTCAGGATCTACTGGCATGCCTAAGGGTATTGTGATGCAACACAGAGCACTTTGCACAAGCCAAACAGCTATCAGTCGACGGCTGGGAATTGATCACACTGTTAGGGCACTACAATTCTCATCTTTTGTTTTCGATGTATCAGTTGGCGAAATTATTCAGTCTCTGATGAACGGTGCCTGTATCTGCGTTCCGTCAGACCACATGCGTCTTAATAGCCTCGATACTTTCGTCCGCGACTTCAATGTCACATGGGCATACTTGACGCCATCATTCATACGAACACTGAAACCCAAAAACTTCCCCAGTCTCAAGATGGTACTCTTAGCTGGTGAACCTACACCTCAAGATGTTCTCAGCACTTGGTTTGGCCTTCCTAACACGCGAATCATCAATGCCTGGGGTCCTGCGGAGACTTGCGTTTACAGCGCGCTGTACGAGTGGCAATCCAATACCGACTCTCTCTTAAAAATTGGTCAAGCGGTTGGTGCTAACATATGGGTTGTTGACGTTGAAAATCCTCAGCAGCTAGCACCCACAGGCTGCTTAGGCGAAATTGTTGTCCAAGGTCCTTCACTTCTCAAGGAATATCTCGCTGACCCTGAGAAAACTGACGCTGCTATTGTCGCTAAGCTTCCTGGATGGGCTCATCAACGCCAATCACCAGCATGGAGCCGATTCTACAAGACTGGAGACTTAGGTTTCTACGACTACAACGGCGTTCTTCACTATGCTGGTCGTAAGGACACGCAGGTGAAGATTCGTGGGTTACGTGTTGAGCTAGGTGAAGTTGAATACCACATTCAAAATTCGCTGATAGGTATTCGGCAAGTTGCGGTTGATGTCTTTAAGACCGAAAGGGGAGCCAATTTGGTTGCTTATTTCTGCTTTTCTGATGATACCAAGACTCCGAATCAGAACACCGATGCTGAGGGCAAAGATGTATTTATGTCTATTGATGCTGAACTGCAGGCTAATCTAGTCGAAATGCTGGCCCAGCTGAACTCTTCGCTACCAAGTTATATGGTTCCGACGCTGTTCATTCCTTGCAATTATATGCCTTTCATCGCTTCTTCTAAGTTAGACCGCGTCAAACTTCGTTATCTAACGTCTGTGCTCAGTCAAGACCAGCTTGAGGCCTATTCTTTGCTCGATATTGAGAAACGAGCACCTGAAACTGAGATGGAATTTCGTCTTCAGAAGCTCTGGTCTGAGATATTAGACCTACCAGAAGTATCAATTGGCCGAGACGATAATTTCCTGCGCATGGGTGGAGACTCAATTGCTGCTATCCGGCTGGCTTCAATGGCCCGCGACATTGGGATTAGCCTTACAGTGAATGATGTGTTCGAAGACGCCCGACTGAGCTCGGTTGCCGCTAAAGCTATTGATTGTGACAAGAATAGCAGTCTTCTGGCGCCGATTGAAGCATTCAGCCTCTTGCCTGCTGATATCGAAGATCTTGTTCTACCCACTGCTCTCGTTAATGGCCAATTCATCGAAGATGCTTATCCTTGCAGCAAGCTGCAAGAAGGCCTCATGGCTCTCGCTGTAAAGCAACCTGGTTCTTACATCGCCAAATATGTCTACAAACTTTCCGAACATGTTGACGTTAATAAATTCAAGGTATCCTGGGAGCGCACAGTTGAGATAGCTGGAGCCTTACGAACCCGGATCATCCAAAATAACGGGCATTCCATCCAAGTTGTCATTAACGGCGATATTACCTGGGATAAGACCGACGGCGATCTACAATCATGTCTCGTGCAATCTCAATCTCTTGAGATGGGATATGGTACACGGCTTTGCCAGTATGCACTTATTCAAGATAGCAACAATACACACTTCATATGGCATATGCATCATGCTGTTTTCGATGGTCTGTCAACACAGAATGTCCTGAATACGCTATTCAAGGTCTACAGGGGTATCGACGTTCCGCCTCTCCCGCCATATGCTCGATTTATCCAATACACCCTTCAACTCGAAGAGGATACTTTGGTCAACTATTGGAAAGATCAGCTTCACAACGCCCGAAAAGCGATATTCCCGCCATCAAGCGATGTTTCTCATGCTAAACATGCTGCTACTAAAGTGCTGCAAACGTCTATTGAGCTCCCCTCAAGCATGAAGAACTCAACAATCACAATGGCTACGGTAATCCGAGCAACTTGGGCTATCGTTCTTGCTAGATACTGTGATTCAGACGATGTGACGTTTGGTACTACTATCTCCGGTCGACAGGCGCCTATCCCGGATATTTTAGAAATGGTTGGCCCTATAATTGCTACTGTGCCAGTCCGTGTACGTATTAACCGCCAGCAGCTCGTCTCTGATTTCCTCGCAGGGATTCAAAAGCAGGCTGTGGAAATGATCGCCTTTGAACAGTATGGTCTTCAAAACATCGCTAAATTGAGCGATGATGCGCGCGATGCGTGCAACTTCAGCAGCCTTCTGGTCGTCCAACCTATGCAACATCTTGGTGGCATCAACAACGATGATAACATCTTCATTGACGCTGGCATTAGTGGGGATGATGCCCTCCAGAACTACTTCTCTTATCCCCTTATGATCCAAGGTCATTTATATGATGATCATGTAGACTTTGCGCTCATTTATGACGCGAACATCATTCCTGAAGCTCAATTAGTTGCATTGTCTCACCACTTCAGTCATGTAATGACGCAACTAACTACCAATAAGTCTGTTACTCTAGAAACAGTCTCAGTCTCTTCACCATATGATGTCCAGAAGGCCATGGAAATTAATTCTGAGATACCGGAAGTCATTGACGCCTGCATGCATGAATTGTTTGAGAAACAGGTCAACTTGAGTCCACAGGCTCCGGCTATTGCTGCCTGGGATGGTAATTTTACCTATAGTGAGCTTAATAGAGCAGCCAACAGGCTGGCTCATTATCTCATCAATGTCTACGGCGTCAAGCCTCACGATTTTGTTCATCTTTGCTTTGACAAATCAGCATGGTACCCAATCTCGATAATTGCAATAAACAAGGCGGGTGCAACTTGGGTCCCATTAGATCCTTCACATCCACTGCAACGATTACGATCAATTGTCAACCAAACCAAGGCTACCCTAGCCTTAGTCTCACCAGAGAACGTGGCTCTCTGCTCAGGCTTAGTTGATAACGTTTTGGAGGTAACTTCGGATCTTGAAGTTATGCTCCAGAGAGAAGACGGATTCAATAGTCCCGAAGTCAATATCTCTTCTCGAGCTGTGTCGTATGTTCTCTTCACCTCGGGTTCAACTGGCACGCCTAAAGGCTTCATGATAGAGCACGGTGCTTTATGCACAAATATAAACGCAATTGCTAAGAGAGTCCGCCATGGCTTAAACGCGCGGATTCTGCAATTTGCCGCCTACGTATTCGATTTTTCTGTTATGGAGATTATCCTGTCATTACTTCAAGGGGCTTGTATATGTGTGCCCTCCGAGCACGTACGCATGAATAGCCTAGTCGATTTTATCCGCGATATGAACATCAACTGTCTCTATCTAACACCATCCTTCTTGCGCACTATTCATCCAAGCAACGTTCCGAGCGTGGAATTGGTTTTTGTAGCAGGCGAGGCTTTGCCACGAGATGTCTTCGAGACCTGGGTTGGTCGCGTTCGTTTCCTCAATGGTTGGGGCCCTGCAGAAACGGTTATCGCCAGCAGCATTCATGAATTTGAATCTGTTGATGAGTCACCTTTAACCATCGGCCGCCCTGTCGGTGGTTTCTGCTGGATTGTCGATCCGAATAACCCCCAGTGTCTTGCACCAATCGGGACTCTTGGCGAGGTAGTGATCCAAGGACCAACTTTACTTCGCGAGTATCTTGGTGACCCTAAAAAGACACAGGAAACAGTTACGAATAATTTACTAGAATGGGCACCCCGTCCGGACAAATTCAACTGGAACCGATTTTATAAGACCGGTGATTTATGCTTTTATAACACCAACGGTATGATCGAGTTTTCTTCCCGCAAGGATACGCAGGTTAAGATTCGTGGTCTTCGTGTCGAGCTTGGTGAGATTGAGTATCACGTTCAAACCTCGTTTAAAGCAATCCGCCAGATTGTTGTAGACGTTATAACAACGGACAACGGCTCTAACCTGATAGCATATCTATGTTTCAACGACAAGATGAGACGACTTCATGAAGCCGATGTCAATGGCCCATTCGCCCCCTTCGATGCTGAGTTTCAAGAGACACTTGTTGAGGCTGTAGGTGAATTAAACGTGGCTTTGCCACGTTACATGATTCCTACATTCTACATCCCATGCAGTTACATGCCCAGCATCACATCTCTCAAACTTGACCGAAAGGAGCTTAAAAGACACGCGGCAGCTCTAAGCCAATCCGAACTAAACAAGTTCTCGCTACATGGCGTCAGCAAGCGTATACCCGTGACTCCTATGGAATTTCAGCTACAAAAGATCTGGTCAGCAATATTATCCATTCCGACCGACTCTATTGGCCGCGATGATAGCTTCCTTGGACTAGGAGGCGACTCAATTATCGCCATCCATCTCGTCACTGCGTGTCGCGAGGCTGGGTTTTCCATCACTGTAAAGGAAATTTTTGACGACCCTCGTCTATCTGCAGTTGCTTCCAAAGTTCACACCCTTGACGCTATTGACGAAGATATGTCTATCATTCCATTCAGTTTACTATCTGATCATCTCTGTGCTACTGTTCACAGTGATGACATACGATCCCAGATAGCATTATCCTCCGGTCAAACTGTCGAAGATGCCTATCCTTGTTCAAAATTACAAGAAGGACTGATGGCTCTGTCTGTCAAACAACGCGGTTCTTACGTCGCGCAATACGTGTTTAAGTTGTCGAGTAGCGTAGATCTCGTACGGTTCAAAGCTGCTTGGGAGCGAACTCTTCAACTTTGCGCTAATCTTCGAAGCCGCATTATCATCCTTGATGGTACTTGCGTTCAGCTATTGATCGATGGGCCGGCTGAGTGGGATGTCACATATCCAACAGATCTACAGGGTGCCATCGATGTGACTCGTTCTGAGATGACTTACGGTTCTCGTCTCAACCGTTATGCGTTAGTTGAGGATGCTGACTCTGGCAATTATTTCATCTGGGCGTCGCACCATGCTGTTCATGATGGCTGGACAATTCGAATCATCATGAACACTCTCTACAGCGTATACTTGGGCCAAGAGCTTCCTCGACTTCTGCCCTACTCTTCCTTTATCCGCTACACGCTTAATATCAATACAGAAGAGGCCAGCAACTTCTGGCGCGAGCAAATGCGAAATGCTAAGCGAGCTACCTATCCTCCAATGCCTCGCATTGAATCCCATACTGGCATCACTCGTATGATGAACAAAACTATATCTTTCCCTCCATCCGTCAAGACTGTTACCACAAAGGCTACTATTCTTCGTGCTACTTGGGCAATTCTTCTTGCTCGCTATTGTGATTCCGACGATGTCACATTCGCAACTACTGTCTCTGGCCGTCAAGCTCCTGTGACCGGTCTTACGGAAATGCCAGGCCCAGTTGTAGCAACAGTCCCAATTCGTGTTCGCCTTGATGCTGGTCAATCAGTTTCCCACTTCCTTGGTAATATTCAGGCTCAAGCAACCGAAATGATTGCTTTTGAGCAATTCGGTCTTCAAAACATCATTAAGTTGAGCGCAGATGCGAGAGATGCTTGCGAATTCTCTTCGCTCCTTGTTATACAACCTCGAACTCACTTGGATTCGATTACAGGCAAGGAATCTTCTGATCCTCTCCTAACGCCAGCGATTGAAGCAAGAAGCGGCGAACAACTAATGCAGAACTATTTCACATACCCTCTCGTGATACAGGGACATATTTTTGACAATTCTATTGAGCTTCTTCTTACCTATGACTCTACAGTCCTATCGGAAGTCCAAATGAAGGCTCTATCTCATCAATTTGATGTTGTTGCAAACCAGCTAGTTCATGAGTCTAATGATGCTCTTAGCTCTGTCACCATTTCCGGTGAATGGGATCTTGAGCAAGCAAAGAGATGGAATGTTGAAGATCCAGAAATCCTAGATACCTGTATTCACAATCTTATCGAGAAACAAGCAGGCATCAGACCAGAAGCACCAGCTATCTGCGCCTGGGATGGCCAGATGAGCTACAACCAACTCAACGACGCTGCTAATGGATTAGCCCATTATATACTTAAGGCAGGCGTCAAGACTAATGATCTAATCCACGTTTGCTTTGAGAAGTCGATCTGGTTCTTCGTTTCCATAATCGCAATTAACAAGGTTGGCGCTGCTTGGGTACCGCTTGATCCATCTCACCCTGAACAACGCCTGCGGCAGGTTGTGGGCCAGACTCTGGCCAAATTAGCTCTTGCATCACCTGCCAACGCTGCTCTCTGCAGTAAACTGGTTGATCACGTCATTGAAGTCTCCCCCAGTCTCATTGATGAAATTTCCGTGATTCACAATGGTCTGGGCAACCCCGCCATCAACGTGTCGCCAAACAGCGCTGCCTATGTTCTCTTTACTTCGGGCAGCACGGGAACACCAAAGGGTCTCGTTATGCAGCACAACGCTGTCTGCACGAGTCAAACTGCTATCGCCAAGAGGCTTCGCCTGACCCCAGACGTCAGAATTCTTCAATTTGCTGCCTACGTCTTTGATCTTTCTATTGGTGAAATCGTCGCTCCTTTAATCAACGGAGCCTGCGTATGTATGCCATCGGAAGAGATAAGAATGAATGGTCTAAAAGACTTCATCATGAATATGAACATTAATTGGGCGTTCTTAACGCCTTCTTTCGTTCGAACGTTGAGGCCTGAAGACGTACCTAGCCTCAAGCTTTTGCTTCTAGCCGGCGAGGCTGTGGGAAGAGATATCCTTGACGCATGGTTCGGTAAGGTACGGTTAATCAATGGCTGGGGCCCTGCTGAAACTTGTGTGTTCTCCACTTTACACGAGTGGTCTTCTGCTGATGAGTCTCCTTTGACAATCGGAAGACCCGTCGGAGGGTGCTGTTGGATCGTTGATGCCGAAGACTCGAGTAAGCTGACACCAATTGGCTGCTTGGGTGAAGTCGTTCTACAAGGCCCAACACTGCTCCGCGAATACCTCGCTGATCCGCAGAGGAGTAAAGAGGCTATTATTACCTCACTGCCACCATGGGCACCGAAGAAAGACTCTCACTCTCAATCCTGGAGCCGTTTTTACAAGTCGGGCGACTTGTGCTTCTATAATCCCGACGGTACGCTTGAGTTTTACAGCCGTAAAGATACTCAAGTCAAAATCCGCGGTCTTCGTGTGGAATTAGGCGAAGTTGAACACCATATTCGCGAATCACTCGAAGGTGTCAAGCAGGTTGTTGTTGATGTTTTGAAATCAGAAACCGGAACAAATCTGGTTTCATACGTCTGCTTTAACGATGAATCTCGCCCTGTCTCGTCAGATCTCAAAATCAGCGACATCTATCTCCCTCTTGATGTTGATACTCAGACTCGTATTACCGCCATGGTCGGCGAGCTTGGCGTGACTCTTCCGCGCTATATGATCCCTACTATGTTTATTCCCTGCAAATTTATGCCTACCATTACTTCCACGAAATTGGATAGGAAGACACTGAAGGCATTGACAGCTTCTCTTGACAGGGATGACCTGATGTATTATTCGCTAATCAACAGTAAGAAACGGGTCCCCGAGACTGAGATGGAAACTCGTCTCCAGGCTATCTGGAGCACGATTCTGAATCTTCCCATTGAATCCATTGGTCGTGACGATAGCTTCCTCCAGATTGGCGGTGATTCTATTACTGCGATCTACTTGGTGTCAAAGGCTCGTGGAGAGGGTATCTCTCTTATCATCAAGGATATCTTCGACGATTCTCGTCTAATTGCTGTTGCATCTAAGGCGGCTATTTTAGAAGAAAACCACGAGCAAGAAGCGCCTGTTGCCCCCTTCAGTCTTTTGGACGAGCAAACTCGCGCCCTGGTGCTTGGTGGCGAAGTTCGCCAATCTTGTAGTCTTACTCATGACCAAATGATTGAAGACGCTTATCCTTGTACTTCACTACAGGAGGGTTTAATGGCCTTGACTGTGAAGCAGCCGGGCTCGTATGTCGCCAAGTACGTTTATAAACTTGCCAAGTTCGTCGATGTAGATCGATTGAAATCGGCATGGAATCGCACTATTAAGCTTTGTGGTAATATGCGGACGCGAATTGTCCTGCTGAACGGGACACCAATCCAGCTGCTCCTTGAAGAAGACAATCAATGGCAATCGCTAGAAAATGATACACTTACCACAATCACCAACAGTGTTCGCGACTTAGAGATGGGCTATGGAACTCCTCTCTGCTGGTACGGAATAATTGAGGAAAACGATACCAAATATTTTGTGTGGTCAGCCCACCACTCGATATATGATGGCTGGGTGTTGCGCATTTTGGTGACTACCCTATATACAGTTTATTTCGGCGGGGAGGTTGCAGCTTTAAGGCCTTATTCTGGCTTTATCAAATACAATATGGAGCTAGATAATACGGCTGCAGCAGATTTCTGGAGAGAGCAACTGTCTGGTTCTAAGAGGGCTGCTTTCCCAGCCCGCCAAACTAGTTCATCGTCGTCAACGCAAGTGTCCCAGTTCACTATCAGTTTGAGACAGTCTAAGCGGAGCACCATCACAGTGGCTTCTACTTTAAGGGCTGCTTGGGCGATTGTTCTAGCGCGATACTGTGACACTGATGATGTGAGCTTTGGTACTACTGTGTCAGGTCGTCATGCCCCAGTTGCTGGTTTAGAGACTATGCCAGGTCCTATGATTGCAACTGTTCCTGTTCGAGTTCACTTGGATCGCGCGACCACCAAGTCCCAATTCCTCGCTCAAATTCAAAACCAAGCACATGAAATGGTTCCTTATGAACAGTTTGGCCTTCAGAATATTTCTAAGCTAAGCCGGGATGCTAGAGACGTCTGTGACTTCTCGAGCCTGCTCGTTATTCAGCCACCTGCAACCACCGTCTCGGAACAAGACGCTGAAACTAACATCTTAGTCTATGGCGACGAAGAACAGAGCCGCACAGACGATGCCATGCAAAATTATTTCAATTATCCTCTTGTCATTATCAGCAACACCTTTGAGGACCATATTTTGCAGCGCTTTTTCTTTAACCCCAACGTCTTGACTGAGGCTCAAGTATCTGCACTCTCGAATCATCTTGATAATGTTGTACAGCAACTTTTAGGTGCGACTGATGATACACTTGAAAGTATTAATTTAGTTGGAGATTGGGACGTTCAACATGCTCTTGCATCCACTCAACTTAAGCCTTCTACGGAGTCATGCACACATTGGCCTATACAAGAGCGCATTAAGACTCAACCCAACGATCCCGCCGTCGCTTCTTGGGATGGCAACCTTACCTACGCGGAACTGGGCGTATTTGCATCTCGTCTGGCGTGGAGGCTTCAGGCGCTCGGCGTTGGACCTGAATCTCTTATCCCGCTATGCTTCCCTAAGTCTACGTGGGCAGTTGTTACAATGGTTGCTATTGAAATGGCTGGTGGTGCCTTTGTTCCTCTTGACCCTAATGCACCTGTTGCTCGCCTTCGCGGCATCATTGAAGATACCAAGTCATCTTTAGCTGTTGCCAGCCCATCATGCCAAGACACTTTGCGTGATATTGGTATCGAGGTACTTGCTGTCGATGAGGCTCTGTTAATTGAGCTATCCGATCCTGTGGGCGATATCAAATGTGTGGTACAGCCAGATGATGCAAGCGTTGTGTTATTTACATCGGGATCAACTGGAAAGCCCAAAGGAATGGTCATCCAGCACAACAATTTGTGCTCTTCTGGAAATGCTTATGGTAGCGACCTCAACATTGGATCTGGCACGCGTGTATTCCAGTTCTCTGCCTATACATTCGATGTTGGCGTACTCGACTGCCTCGTTTCTCTTATGCGTGGTGCAACTGTTTGCATTCCGTCGGACCATGCTCGTCTTAATGACCTTGCAGGGGCTATCAATGCAACAAAGGCCAACTGGGTATTCCTTACGCCTACGGTGGCGGATCTTCTCTCACCAGCTGACGTGCCTGATCTTAAGGTTCTCTGTTTGGGTGGCGAGGCTATTAGTAAGAGATGTGTAGACCGCTGGATCAGTCACACCGAAGTGCATGGCTTATACGGCCCTGCGGAAGCTTCTATCTGTGCTTGGAATCCCGCTGTTGGTAAGATTGGCCGGTCGACTAACCTTGGAAGGCCAATTTCTTCAGCCTTCTGGGTAGTTGAACCTACCGATTATAAGAGACTTGTCCCTGTAGGATGTATCGGTGAACTTCTTATAGAAGGTCCAATGCTTGCTCGAGGGTACCTAAACGTCACCGCTGAAGTTGCGTCCAACTGGATGGAGAATGTCGACTGGCTTCCAGGGGACAGTAAGAAGAGAGTTTACAGGACTGGCGATTTAGTTCGACGCAACGCTGATGGTACTTTCGAATTTATTGGCCGTAAAGATACCCAAGTCAAGCTGCATGGTCAGCGTGTCGAACTTGGCGAAATCGAGTCACGTATCCACGAATTCCTGCCAAAGAATATGGATGCTATCGTGGCTGTTGTCAAGGATGAACAAGAGCATGACAATTTGTTCGCTTTCTTATGGTACACGGAAGGCGAAGTAGCCGCTCAGTCAACTCTCCATTTGGTGGAAACCGTTACAGATGATGCTCGTTCCACAATTTCTGACATTGACTCATCTCTCGGAATGGTATTGCCCTCATATATGATTCCATCATCTTATCTGCTGTTTGAGGGTAAACCTGAACAGACGGTTAATGGCAAAATCAACCGCAATGCTCTGCTCGCTCACGCCCATAACTTATCAACACACGACCGCTTGCGATTCGCGCCTGTTGTTGGCAAGAGTGAACCACCAAGCACTCCTCTGGAATTCAAGCTTAGAGAACTCTGGGCCCAGGTGTTGCAAATTGATGCTGAGTCTATTGGCAAGAATGATAGCTTTCTCCGCATTGGAGGAGACTCAATCAGCGCTATTAAGCTCGTCTCCTTAGCACAGCAAAACAATATTGCACTTACAGTGGCTACCATCTTTAACGATCCTCGCTTATCGCACATGGCTGCAGCTGCTAACACTGATGAAATCCTACCTGTATACGAGACTAAGCCTTTCAGCATCATCCCTGCTTCTGTCATGGATGCCGTCTTTGCTGAAGTGCGATCTCAGTGCACTGATCTTTCCTCCACCGCCATTATCGAAGATGTCTATCCTTGCACTCGATTACAGGAAGGTCTGATGGTTTTAGCAGTCAAGCAGCCTGGATCATATGTTGCGAAGCATCTATACCGCCTTACTGCTGGTGTCGATATCGAGCGCTTCAAGCATGCCTGGGATCAGACTGTTGAAGCTTGTGCAGCACTCAGGACGCGATTTGTCCTTGTTGATGGCTCTGCTTACCAGGCCGTCATTAAAGACTCTGTTGAGTGGCATACATCTTCCGATCTCCGCTCATTCATCATGTCCGCAGAAAATTCCCAAGTGGGTTACGGTTCGCCTCTCTGCCGATATGCTATCATTCAACAGGACGGAGAAAAATATTTTGCTTGGAATATCCACCACACCATCTTCGACGGATGGACTTTGCCGTTGATAATGAGTACGCTTTACGCGTTCTACCGTGGCACTGATGTTCCCTCGCTCCTCCCATATGCCGGCTTTGTGAAGTATGTGATGGATATGGATTATAGTGCCGCCAGCGAATACTGGACTGAACAGCTTTCTGGCGCCAAGAAAGCCATATTCCCTCCTGGAAGTGAAACAATCCAGAGCCAAAAGTCGGAAAATTCGACTCGCGTGATGCACAAGACGATCCACTTTCCACGCTCTACTGACACGTCAATCACAAAAGCATCCGTCCTCCGAGCCGCTTGGGCCATTGTGCTCGCACGATATAACGATTCCGATGATATTTGCTTTGGAACTACTGTTTCTGGCCGTCATGCCCCCGTTCCTGGAATAGAGCGGATGCCTGGTCTTGTCCTTGCGACTGTTCCCGTTCGCGTTAAGCTCAACCAGGAGCAATCTCTAGATAGCTTCTTGCAAAGTATCCAGTCACAAGCCTCAGAGATGGTTGCTTACGAGCAATTCGGCATCCAAAACATATCCAAACTGAATGCCCAAGCTAAGGAGGCGTGCAACTTTACTAGCTTGTTAGTCGTGCAGCCAGTCCAGCATATTACATCCACTGGCAGCGAGGAGGGAGAGGCCATTCTCACTGCTGCTGTAGCTGAGGACATTCAAACTGCTGAGATGCTCGACAACTATTTCAATTATCCCTTGGTTCTGCAATGCAATTTGCTCGATGACAGCGTCAATTTTGTCCTTGTCTACGATTGTGACATTATTGCTGAACACCAGCTCATTGGCCTGTCTCACCAATTCGAACATGTGGTTTGTCAACTCCTTAGACAGGGTAATAGCTCTCTATCCAGCATTTCAGTGGCAAGCGAATGGGACTTGGAGTTCTCACGTGCCGCAAACCATGACGAACCCGCTGTTATCGATGGCTGCATCCACAATTTGATTGAGCAACAAGCCCTCATTAATCCCAACGTTGAAGCTATAAGCGCTTGGGATGCTAAATTTACTTACGCCGAATTGGATCGTTCTGCAAATAGATTAGCAAATCATCTCATTCAATCCATGGGCGTAAGACTTGGCGACTTTGTTCATGTATGTTTCGAGAAGTCGGCTTGGTATGTGATCTCGATTTTGGCAATCAACAAAGCCGGAGCTGCTTGGATTCCTCTTGACCCGTCACATCCTGCTGAACGCCACCAGCAAATTGTTGGCCAAGCAGGATCAAAATTAGCTCTCGCTTCCACAGCAAATTTTGATAAATGTGTTGGTCTAGTAGCCAGCGTTTTGGAGGTGACAGAAGAGTTTGTCGATGCTTTGGCAGAGCAATATAACGACAGTAAGCCGTTTACCAATGTTACGCCCCAAGATGTGGCTTATATACTTTTTACTTCTGGATCAACTGGTGTTCCCAAGGGCGTTGTTATAGAGCACGGAGCTCTCTGTAGCAGTCAAACATCCTACAGCAGGAGACTCGGTCATGCTCCTGGTGTTCGAATGCTTCAATTTTCCTCATTTGTGTTTGACGCAAGCATTGCCGAAATATACGCTCCGCTTATTTCAGGCTCCTGTGTCTGTATTCCGTCTTGGGAGATGCAAATGAATTCACTAGCAAGCTACATATGCGATGAAAATGTCACATGGGCACTGATAACTCCTTCTTTGGCGCGCACCATAGATCCGCACGAAGTCCCTTCCTTGGAGGTCTTGATCCTCGGCGGTGAGGCTGTCAGCCAGGATGTTTTCGAGCTTTGGTTTGGTAAACTTCGTCTGTTTAATGCCTGGGGTCCTACTGAATCGTGTGTCTTTGGCTCTTTACATGAATGGAAGTCTACAAACGAATCGTATATGACAATTGGACGCCCACTTGGTGGCTACTGCTGGATTGTTGACCCTGAAGATCCGCAAAAGCTAGCCCCAACAGGCACTTTTGGCGAAATTGTTATTCAAGGGCCTAACTTGCTTCGCGAATATCTTGCGGACAAAGACAAGACTGCCTCAGCAATCGTTACTAGTCTTCCTGATTGGGCTCCTCATCGCCACTCTCGCTACTATAACAGGTTCTATAAGACTGGTGATTTGGCAAGATATAACCCGGACGGAACTATCCAATACTACAGCCGAAAAGACACGCAAGTCAAGATTCGAGGTTTGCGTGTGGAATTGGGCGAAGTTGAGCATCGTATCCGCCAAAATCTTGCTGGCGTCCGACAGGTCGCTGTGGCTGTGTTCGAGACTGATGCTGCTGTCAATCTTGTATCATTTGTCTGCTTCAATAATGATACGCTTCCGGCTAGCATGACTAGCTATCTGACGAGCGATGATATTGTCTTGCGATTAACCGGCGAACTTAAAGATAATATTACTAGTTTACTAGGTCATCTCAATGTTGTCTTGCCCGGATATATGGTTCCCACCTTGTTTGTTCCCTGCAAGGCCATGCCGCTCGTTACTTCTGGTAAACTCGATAGGAAGCTTTTATTAAAGCTTACCGCTTCACTAGCTAAAGAACAGCTAGAAGAATACGCTCTCATCAGTGGCGATAAAAGGCAGCCAGAGAGTCAAATGGAGTACCTCTTGCAAAACCTTTGGGCAGTTGTTCTGAATATGCCTACCACCTCAATTGGCCGCGACGATAATTTCTTGAGAATTGGCGGTGACTCTATCGCTGCTATTCGTCTTGTTGCCAAGGCCCGTCAGAGCGGCATCTCCATCAGCGTTGACGATATATTCAGTGATCCTCGACTCCTTGCCATTGCGGCTAAAGCGACTAGCCTAAGTGAGGATATTGAAGAACTTGCTATTATTGAGCCATTTACCCTCATTGATGAGGCTCAGCAGAGCATGATTCGTAGCGACTCATTTGGCATTCAGCTATCACCTGATATGGAAATCGAAGATGCGTTCCCTTGCTCTAAGCTGCAAGAGGGTTTGATGGCTTTAGCTGTGAAGCAACCGGGCTCATACATTGCCAAATTCCACTATCGCTTGCCTGCCTACGTCGATGTAACCCGATTCAAGAACGCTTGGGAACAAACTATTAGACTCTGTGCTAATCTGCGTACTCGGATTGTCAATGTTCACGGCATGGCAATTCAAACTGTGATCAGCAATGATATCGCCTGGGAGGATACGACTGGCATGACATTAATGTCGTATCTACACGCTGCTAAACAGACAGAAATGAGCTATGGCTCTCGCCTTTGTCGTTACGCACTGATTGAGGAAGAGGGCCAGGATATCCAGTTCTTGTGGAGCATTCATCATGCTGTCTTCGACGGCTGGACAACGCCCATGATTCTTGGCGCGCTACACAGCGCCTATAGAGGCTTCGAAATGCCTAGGGTCGAAAACTATGCTAGATTCATCAAATATACGATGGATATGAGTTTTCAAGATGCTAGCGAGTATTGGATGAGGGAGCTACACGATGTCAAGAAGGCTACGTTCCCGTCTACTGCTTCGCTCGAGGCGTCTGACGAGAGCGACGTGACGCGATTCATGGAAACGAGAATTGATCTGCCTCAGACTACTGTGGGCGTCACCAAAGCTACTATCCTCCGCGCAGCCTGGGCCATGGTCCTTGCACGCTACTGCGATACAGATGACGTTTGTTTCGGAACGACAATCTCTGGTAGACAAGCCCCTGTTTCGGGATTGATGGATATGCCTGGGCCAGTCATCGCAACGGTGCCAATTCGAGTCCGTCTAGATCAGCAGAAGTCTGTGGATGACTTTCTTCAAGACATTCAAGGCCAAGCTAGCAAAATGCTTCCTTACGAGCAATTTGGCCTTCAGAATATCGGCAAATTGAGTGCAGACGCGAAGGATGCTTGCGATTTTTCATCACTTCTTGTTATTCAGCCAATGCAGACTCTGATCTACAATAGCGAGGACGAAGAGACTCTGCTCGCTACTCCTGAATCTGTGGTTGAAACCAAGGATGAAGTCATGCAAAACTACTTCTCGTATCCATTAGTTATCCAAGCGCATTTGCATGAAAATTTCATCAATCTTGTACTAATTTACGACTCTGTTGCTCTGCCGGAAGCGCAACTTTTTGCCCTTTCTCAGCAATTCAAACATGTTGTTGAGCAGTTAGTCCTTGAACCTCAATCGGCCCTCGGCTCAATCTCTATCGCTTCCGAATGGGATATCGCACAATGTCTCAAATTCAATTCTGAAGTCCCTGATATTATCGACTCTTGTGTTCATCAGCTTATTGAGAACCAAGCCAAAATTCGTCCTAATGCAATGGCTATTAGAGCTTGGGACATGGACTTGACATATTCTGAATTTAATCGTGCTGCTAACCGACTCTCCAATTATCTTACGGCCAATTATAACATTAAAACAGATGACCTAATACACGTCTGCTTTGAGAAGTCAGCTTGGTTCTTTGTTTCTGTCCTGGCTATAAATAAAGCTGGCGCTGCTTGGGTGCCCCTTGATCCCACTCACCCGGAACAGCGACTTCAACAAGTCGTGTCTCAGACGCGTGCTACGATTGCGCTAACTTCGGTTGCGAATAGAGACTTGATGTCTCATCTGGTCGAGTCTGTGGTTACTGTAAGCTCAGAACTTGATCTACTGCTATCCGAAATTGAGGAAAACAGCCAAAGGGGCCCGGCAACGACTGTGGCTTCAGATAATGCTGCCTATGTTTTATTTACCTCTGGATCAACGGGTATACCGAAGGGCCTAGTTATGCAGCACGGCTCTGTGTGCACATCTCAAACAGCTATCGTCAAAAGACTTGGTCTAACACCTGATGTACGCATGTTGCAATTCGCTGCCTTTGTATTCGACCTTTCTATCGGAGAGATAGTCGCACCCTTAATAACAGGCGCTTGTCTATGCATACCGTCGGAGCACACTAGGATGAATAGCCTTACCCAGTTTATCCGAGAAATGGAGATCAATTGGACCTTCCTTACGCCTTCATTCATCCGTACAATTGACCCAGCAGAAGTTCCAGGGCTTGAGCTTGTTCTACTAGCCGGCGAGGCCGTCCCGAGGGACGTCTTAGCTACCTGGTTTGGCAAGGTTCGTTTAATCAATGGATGGGGACCTGCTGAGACCTGTGTATTTTCAACACTCCACGAATGGAAGTCAGTCAACGAGTCTCCTCTTACAGTTGGTAAGCCAGTCGGTGGTTTCTGCTGGGTCGTTGATCCAGCAGATCCTCATCGCCTAGCCCCGACTGGAACGATTGGAGAGGTTGTTATTCAAGGTCCGACCTTATTACGCGAATATCTATCCGATCCTGAACGGACTCAGTCTTCCATTGTGTATGATCTTCCCAGCTGGGCGCCTCGCCCTGATTCCGAACATTGGAATAAATTCTACAAGTCGGGCGATCTTTGCTATTACAACCAGGATGGCACTATTGGATTCGCAACTCGTAAAGACACTCAAATAAAGATTCGTGGTTTACGTGTAGAGCTCGGAGAAGTTCAGTATCATATCCAACAGGCACTTCCTACGGCTAGGCAAGTCGCTGTCGACGTATATCAGGGCGAAAATGGTACAAATCTCATCGCGTATCTATGTTTCAGCGACGAGACTCGAACTGCAGGCATTAGCAATAATGCTTCTGACGGTTTATTCTTGCCAATTGACGAAGATTTGCAGTCTCGTTTAGCAGCAGTTGTTGGACAGCTCCGCATTTCACTGCCTCGTTATATGATTCCGACCATGTTTATCCCTTGCAGTTATATGCCTTTCATTACCTCAACCAAGCTTGACCGTAATAAACTGAAGAAGTTCACTGGGGTATTAGATAGGACGCAAATCGCCCAATATTCTCTCCTCGGTGGTAAGAAACGGTCACCGGAAACTCTGATGGAAGTCTTCTTCCAGAAGCTCTGGTCTGAGCTGCTTGGAATTCCAATTGAATCAATAGGTCGTGATGATAGCTTCTTGGGTCTTGGTGGCGATTCTATAACCGCTATCAACATGGTTAGTACTGCCCGAGAGTCCGGTGTATCACTTTCTGTTAAAGAAATATTTGATGATCCACGTCTATCTGCTGTTGCTGGCAAATCTCGAGAGGCTGGAGAAGACAAGCAGATGTCTATCGTTGATACCACTCCATTCTCCATTGTTGATACTATGGTACACCAACTTGCTGTCAGCGATGAAGTCCGAAGCCTTTGCGGCTTGGCAGTTGACGAAGAAGTCGAAGATGCCTACCCGGCAACTTCATTCCAAGAAGGTCTAATGGCTCTTTCGGTAAAGCAGCCGGGCTCATACATTGCAAGATATGCCTACAGAATATCTCAAGACGTTGACATTGCCAGCTTCAAGGCGGCCTGGGAACGTACTGTATCGCTGTGTACTACCATGCGTACTAGAATAGTTCTGCTTGACGGCAAGTGCGTACAGATAATCACCAGAGATGGTTCTGTTTGGCAGCCCCAAGAACACAAGGATGCCCTTAGCACAATTAAGGCGGCTCAAAAGACTGAGATGACCTATGGTTCTCGTCTTTCTCAAATTTTCCTGGCTGATGACGACAATGGAGACAGATACTTCTTCTGGACAGTTCATCACGCAGTTCACGATGGCTGGACTGTTCGTCTTATAATGTCAACTTTTCAGAGTATTTATCATAACCTGGAGTTGCCTGCACTTAAGCCCTATTCAGGTTTTATTTGGTATCTGAAGGCTATTAATTCTCAAGATACGGTCAATTACTGGACTCAACAGCTTCAAGGTGCTAGCAAGGCACCTTATCCTCCAGTCACGGCAAATTCCATGTCAAAGGGAGTCACACGAGTCACGGCCAGGACAATCCAAGTCCCTGCTTCAGCTAATGCCGCTATCACTAAAGCCACAATAATACGCGCGACTTGGGCTATTTTACTCGCACGTTATTGTGATACCGATGACATAACTTTCGGTACGACGATATCTGGCAGACAAGCTTCAGTGTCGGGTCTCATGGATATGCCTGGTCCTGTGGTCGCAACTGTTCCTGTGCGTGTGCGTCTGGACCAGACACAGACTATTGGAAAGTATCTCCAGGCTATCCAGAATCAAGCTCACGAGATGGTTCCATACGAACAATATGGTTTGTCAAACATTGGAAAGATCAACTCCGACTTCAGGGAAGCGTGTGATTTCACGAGTTTACTGGTTGTACAGCCTCGAGTACACTTGGACTCACGCGGCAAAAGCACCCCTAATGAAAATGAAGCCACATCATCTGCGCTGCTGTTGCCTGCTAATATTGAGGGCAATTCAGCTGAAGACGCAATGCAAGGTTACTTTTCTTATCCTCTTGTTGTCCAGGGCCACCTCCTTAGTGATTCAATTGAGTTGGTTATTACCTATGACTCTTCAGTGCTCTCTGAATTGTCTATGCAAGCATTGTGCTATCAATTTGAGCATGTGGCCTCGCAGCTATTCACTGACGAAGGCCGCACATTAGGCGACTTGGTTTTTGCATCCGATTGGGATCTTCATCGTGCCACCGAGTTTAATTCAGAGTTCCCAGAGATTATGGACACTTGTATCCATCATCTTATCGAATTGCGTGCAAAGGAAGCTCCTGATTCACCAGCCATCTGGGCCTGGGATGGGGAGTTGACTTATGGCCAGCTTAATGAAGCCGCCAATAAACTAGCCCACCATCTCATCAATGATTATAATGTCCAAGTTGAGGATCTTATCCACGTCTGCTTCGAAAAATCCGTTTGGTACTGGGTAGCTATCTTTGCTATCAACAAGGCTGGTGCTGTATGGGCACCTCTAGATCCATCTTATCCTGAGCAACGTCTCCGCCAGGTTACTTCGCAGACTCAATCTAAGTTGGCTCTTATATCCAATAATACCCGAGATTTGATTTCCGGTATTATCGACCGAGTAGTTGAAGTTTCTCCTGCCTTGTACGAGCAGATCAACAGCTCACTCGGTGCAATTGACCCTCAGATCCCAGTCTCATCTCACAACGCTGCCTATGTGCTGTTTACTTCTGGATCCACGGGTGTGCCCAAAGGTCTAGTCATGACTCATGGTGGTTTCGCAACAAGCCAGACTGCTATCAGGAAGAGAATGGGTATAAGCTCGAACAACCGGACGCTCCAATTTGCTTCGCATGTATTTGACCTGTGTCTTGGCGAAAGTATACTACAGCTGATTTCGGGCGCGTGTATGTTCATTCCTTCTGAGCATACTCGGATGAATAGTCTGAAAGAGTTCATCGCTGAGCATGAAATCAACACCCTTTTGCTTACACCATCTTTTGTGCGGACCTTAAGTCCAGATCAAATCCCCTCCGTCACCCTTTTGTTATTAGCTGGTGAAGCCGTTCCCCGCGATATACTTACCACCTGGTTTGGTAGAGTTCGATTGTGGAACGGTTGGGGTCCTGCCGAGACCTGTCTATTCAGCTCTTTGCATGAGTTCCAATCCGTGGATGAGTCGCCATTAACAATTGGCCGTCCCGTAGGAGGCTTCTGTTGGGTCGTGGACCCGACCAATCCCGACAAGCTCGCCCCTATCGGTACAATAGGCGAAGTTGTCATCCAGGGCCCAACAATCTTACGGGAATATCTCGCCGATGTCGAGCGAACCAAAGCCACCACAATGTATGAGCTACCTGCCTGGGCACCATACCGAGATCAACCCTCTTGGTCGCGATTCTTCAAGTCCGGCGATTTGGCTTCGTACAATACCGACGGTACACTGGAATTCTCTAGCAGGAAGGATACACAAGTCAAGATTCGCGGCCTTCGTGTGGAGCTTGGCGAAGTTGAGTATCATGTCCGCAGTGGCCTTGAAGGCGCTCGTCAAGTTGCCGTTGACGTTTTCACGACCGATTCTGGCACAAGACTTATCGCATACTTCTGTTTCTCAGATGAAACACGCATTGCTAGTATTTCTCAATCAGATGAAGATATCTTCCTATCTGTAACAGAAGAGCTTCAGACACAGCTTGCGAAGATGATCAGCCGGCTCAATGTTACGCTACCTCGCTACATGGTACCCTCGCTCTTCGTTCCATGTCGCTACATGCCTTTCATCACGTCCACAAAGCTTGACAGAAATAAACTAAAGAGGCTCGTTTCTGAATTAAATGAAGATGACTATGCTGCCTATTCCCTGCGCAACGGTGTCAAGCGCTTACCCGAGACTGAAATGGAAATTCGCATGCAAGAGCTTTGGTCGGCCGTATTGCACATGCCCAAAGAACAAATCGGTTGCGATGACAGCTTCTTGCAAATTGGCGGTGATTCTATTTCGGCAATCCAGCTGGTTACAAATGCTCGTGAGGCTGGTATCTCAATTGCGGTTAAGGATATCTTTGACGATCCTCGCCTTTCGGCGCTTGCCTTAGCAGCTGCAAACAAATCTAGCCACGTTACCACTTCCACAGTCATCACGCCTTTTAGCTTGCTTGGAGAGCCGCTCAATAAGTCTCTCATCTCTGATGCTGTAAAGGAGCAGTGCCACCTCTCTAGAGATGAACTGCTTGAGGATGCCTATCCTTGCACAAAGCTACAGGAAGGACTTATGGCCCTCGCAATCAAGCAGCCTGGATCTTACATTGCCAAGTATGTCTATCAACTTCCTGACTACGTGGACGTCACAAAATTCCGTGCTGCTTGGGAGCATACTGTTCTGAGCTGTGCCAATCTCCGCACACGTATTATTCTTGTAAATGGTATTACTATACAAGTTATACTGAAGGATGATATTGCTTGGGATGATACCTCTAATATTTCGCTTGGAACTTATGCTCGTAACACGCTCCAATTCGAAATGGGATATGCTCAGCGCCTGTGTCGTTATGCGATCATTGAAGAAGGGGCTAGTAATTACTTCGCTTTCAGCATTCATCATACCGTCTTCGATGGTTGGTCTCTCCCGTTGGTTATGGGCACGCTGTCTGCAGCATATCACGACCTTGAGCCTCCCTCTCTACAGTCATATGCTGCATTTGTCAAGTATACTCTGGACCTTGATAACAATGCCGCTTCCGAGTATTGGAAAATACAACTTGACGGTGCTAAACGCGCAAGCTTCCCGGCACCCAGCGCCAAGCCTGGGGTTTCTCAAACTCGTGTCATGAATAAGACCATCGAGTTCCCCAAGTCAACAAACACGTCTATCACAAAGGCTTCTATTTTACGTGCTGCCTGGGCTATTGTCCTTGCACGTTACTCAGATAGCGATGATGTCTGCTTTGGCACCACAGTCTCTGGCCGTCATGCTGATGTAACCGGCCTTGAATCTATGCCTGGTCTTGTCGTTGCTACCGTTCCTGTTCGTATTCGCCTTGATAAGCAAAAACCCCTCAACCGATTCCTTCAGGACGTACAATCACAGGCTTCCGACATGGTTGATTATGAACAATTTGGCATACAAAATATTTCTAAACTTGGTTCCGACGCGAAAGATGCTTGTGATTTCACATCTCTCTTGGCTATCCAGCCCGCCCAGCATATGAGCGCTGACAGCAAAATCTCCGGCGATCAGAGTGCTCTTGTAATTCCTGCTGCTGCACCCGAAATTAAAGCTGAAGAAATGCTGCAAAACTATTTCTCCTATCCCCTAGTGATCCAGTGCCACCTCTTGGAGGACCTCGTCAATTTGGTTTTCATCTATGATTCCGATGTCCTTAGCGAAGCTCAACTAAGCGCTATCATGCATCAGTTTGACCATGTTGTCCAGCAACTCCTTGCTCAGAGCGACGAAATGCTGGGTGAGGTGTGTGTTTCAGGGCCTTGGGATCTCCAACAGGCTGTGAAACTGAACAGCAAGAAGCCTGATTTCATCCACACTTGCCTTCACGACATATTCGCTGAGCATGCTTCTAACAGCCCGCATCACGAGGCTATTTATTCTTCAGAAGGTAGCCTCAGTTATGATGAACTTGATCATTTGACCGACATTGTTGCTACATATCTGAGCTCGTTAAATGTTGGCCCAGAAACAGTAGTACCGTTCTGCTTCGAGAAATCAATGTGGGCTGTGGTCGCGATCCTGGCTATTCTCAAGGCAGGCGCCGCTTTTGTACCTCTTGATCCGTCGCATCCAATCAGTCGCCGTGAAACATTAGCCAGGGAAGTTAATGCTCGCGTGCTCATTGCGTCTTCTAATGCTATCGCCTCATGCGCTGGTATGGCTGAGCATGTCGTCGAGTTGTCACCTAGCGTAATAAGCAAACTGGCCACTTCTATTACTCCAAAGGTTCTACCAAAGGTTGGGCCGAGGAACACGGCATATGTCTTGTTCACTTCTGGGTCGACGGGTAAACCAAAAGGTGTTGCCATGCAGCATGGCTCTTTCAGCTCTACAACCATTGGATATGGCAAGGTTTATAACCTTTCCCCGTTGTCGAGAGTCTTCCAGTTCTCCAATTACATCTTCGATGGTAGTCTTGGTGAGATTTTTGGGCCATTAGCCTTTGGTGGAACCATCTGTATCCCTAGTGATGATGAGCGCCTTCAATGCGCTCCCGACTTTATGCACAAAGCCAGGGTTAACACAGCCATGTTGACGCCGTCCTTTGTAAGAACTTTTACGCCAGATAAGGTGCCACACCTAAAGACTCTTGTTCTCGGTGGTGAGGCTGCTTCTAAGAGCATTCTGGAGATGTGGGTTGACCGCATTACTCTGTTCAACGGTTACGGACCTGCTGAGGCCTGCAACTACGCCACGACACATAAGTTCAAGTCCAGTGCTGAATCTCCTCGTATTATTGGGTCTAGTTTCAATGGTGCCTGCTGGATTGTAGAACCAGATAATCATAACAAACTCACGCCTATGGGCTGTATTGGCGAACTCGTCCTTCAGGGTCATGCTCTAGCTCGCGGTTATCTCAATGACAAAGTAAGGACAGAAGAGTCATTCGTCAGCGAAATTGGTTCGCTTCCATCTTCTCTCCTGCACGAGCCAAAGCGATTTTACCTCACCGGAGATCTTGTCCGCTATAACGCAGATGGTGAATTGGAGTACCTCGGGCGAAAGGACTCTCAAGTCAAGCTACGAGGCCAGCGTCTTGAGCTTGGTGAGATCGAGTACACCATTACCCAATCACTTGAGAATGTGCGCCACGTCGCTGTTGATGTTCTTCATAGGCAGGCTGGTGATGCACTGATTGCTTTCATCTCATTTGCTGGCGATGCGAGCGCGGAATGGGTCACTGACGACCTGCGCCTTAATCTACTTGTTTCTGATGATGCGATGAGATCAACGCTTGGTGGTCTGAAAGAGAATCTGAAGGCCACTCTCCCGGGTTACATGGTTCCCAATATCATTCTCCCTCTCCAATGCATGCCTTTTATCACATCTATGAAGCTTGATAGAAAGCAGCTACAAGCTCTTGCAGGTTCTCTATCATCTGAGGAGCTTGCCACATTTGCTCCTAACAAAGCAGACAAGACTGAGCCGACAACTGATATGGAATTCAAGCTGCGAGATCTCTGGGCCGAGATTCTTAAAATTCACACCGAAGAGATTGGCAAGTATGATAGCTTCCTTCAAATCGGAGGCAACTCTATCTCAGCCATTCATTTCGTTACCCTGGCTCAAGAGCATGGTATCCAAATCACTGTGGCAAGTATTTTCGCCGATCCCAGACTGTCTTCAGTCGCCGCATCTGCCAGTTTTGGTTATGTTACCGACACGTATGAGGCCCAGCCTTTCAGCTTGATTTACCCTCCTGAGCGTGAATCTATCCTTCGCGAAATCAAGCAGCAATGCAACCTCTCTACCACTCAGTCAATTGAAGATGCTTACCCTACCACTAAACTGCAGGAAGGTCTCATGGCTTTATCTGTCAAACAGCCAGGCTCCTATACAGCACAGAACGTGTACCGTATTCCTGAGCACGTCGACATTGAGAAGTTCAGGGCAGCTTGGGACAAGACTGTCGAGATCTGCCCCAATCTCCGAACTTCTATTGTTCTTGTTGGCCTTAAGACTATCCAAGCCGTTATCAAATGCAGTTCGGAGTCTTTGTGGGAGCCTACCGAGAATGTATCGCTGCAGTCTTATATGCAAAATGCAATCCAAGTTTTCAACATGGGCTATGGCTCTCGTCTCTGCCGCTATGCTCTTATTGAGGATGGCGGTAATAGCTATTTCACCTGGCATATTCACCACTCTGTGTATGATGGCTGGACACAACCACTTATCATGTCCACTTTCTATGCCGCCTACTTCGGCACGGAGATGCCTCCTCTGCAGCCTTTCGCCCGCTTCGTCAAATACGCGACGAACATCGATCAAAATGATGCTGCAGAATACTGGAAACAGCAACTTCACGATGCCAAACCGGCTTCATTCCCAGCCGTCAACCAGCAACTAGCTGCTACAGATAGTGACGTCAATGTGACCCGAATATTATCAAAATCTGTCAACTTCCCAAGATTAACAAACACCTCTATCACCAAGGCCACCATTATGCGAGCTACCTGGTCAATTGTTCTAGCTCAATACTGTGGCACTGATGATGTATGTTTCGGTACAACAGTCTCTGGCCGTCACGCCTCTGTTCCTGGTTTAGACTCTATGCCTGGCCCTATGGTTGCCACTATGCCAGTCCGCGTCCGTCTTGACAAGGATCAACCAACCTCGCGGTTCTTGCATGAGATGCAAATACAAGCCTCAGAAATGGTTGCGTATGAGCAATTTGGTCTCCAAAACATCGCTACTCTAAGCACTGAGGCTAAGCAAGCATGCGACTTTTCTAGCTTGCTTAGCATTCAACCTGCTCAGCAGCAGACTGCAGACGAGAACGAAGTGGCTGGTACTGATGTTATCTTATTGCCAGCCAGTTCTGAGTATTCCGCCGAGAGCTCTTTGCAAAACTTTTCCAACTATCCATTGGTCCTTCAAATCATCATCATGGATAGCCATTTCGAGTTGTTACTTATTTACGATTCCAATGTTGTGACAGAGTTCCAAGCTTCATCTATCTCTGAGCAATTCAGCAATGTCGCCAACCAACTTGTTGCTCAAAAAGAGACAATGCTCGGCAATATCGACGTGGCTGGATCCTGGGACCTCCAAAAGCAGCTTGAGTGGAATGACGAAATTTATGACTCTGCCAACACCACTCTGCACGATCTCTTCTCTGAACAGGCAGCTCGTAGACCAGATCACGAAGCCCTTTACAGCAGTGAAGGAAGCATGACCTATGGCGAGCTTGACCATCTGACAACTAAGCTTGCTGTGTACCTCAGTCGTCTGGGTGTCCGACCTGAGACCATTGTGCCATTCTGCTTTGAAAAATCTATGTGGACTATCGTAGTGATGTTGGGTATTCTCAAAGCAGGTGGCGTTTTTATTCCACTTGATCCATCACATCCAGCAAGCCGTCGCTTGGCTTTGATTGACGAAGTTTGCGCCCAGTTTATGATTGTGTCACCGATGACTGCCTCCGGCTGTCAGGACATGGTCAAGAACACAGTCGAGCTCTCTTCATCTTTGATTGCTTCTATTTCCGCCATCGATACCATCGATCAGGATTTTACAATGCCAGGTCCCAATAATGCGGCCTATGTTATGTTTACTTCCGGTTCAACCGGTAAGCCAAAGGGTATCATTATCGAGCACCATTCCATATCTGCGGCGCTCCTTAGGCAACGTGACGCCTTTGCAATCGACGAGGACTCAAGGTTGCTTCAATTTTCTAACTATGTATTTGATGGTTGCATCATTGAAATCTTCACTTCGCTCATTGCAGGTGCTACTGTTTGCATACCAACTGAGGATGAACGTATGCACAACACTGCAGCTTTCATTCGTGAGGCTCGCATCAATCATGCATTCCTGACACCTACTTTTATCAAGACTTTATCTCCAAAGCAGATTCCTGGAATGAAGACCATCCTTATTGGAGGCGAAGCCCCTTCAAGAGATATCATCGAGACTTGGGTCGACAAGGTAGACCTTCACAATATATATGGTCCAACAGAGGCGTGTGTTGTTTCAACCAATCACACATGTTCTTCATCCAACACCATCCCACTTACCAACATCGGCCGCAGCTTTACTCATGGTGTTTGGATCGTCAATCCCGATAACCATGATCAGCTTATGCCAATCGGATGCGTCGGTGAGTTATTGTTACAAGGTTCGTGCCTGGCCCGCGGCTACATCAACGAAGAAAAGAAGACTAGAGAGTCATTTATTGAAGAAGTAAAATGGTTGCCACCTGACGCCAATGTGGGAGAGCGCCGCTTCTATAAGACTGGCGACTTAGTTCGCTACCTTGCAGATGGCTCCATCGAATTTATCGGTCGAAAGGATGCTCAGGTTAAGATTCGCGGCCAACGTATCGAACTTGGAGAAATTGAGTACCATGTCAAGCGTTCCAACACAACTATTGAACATGCTGTTGTTGACATCACTCGAAAGGATGGCCGCGATTCTCTCCTCGCTTTTATATGCTTCAACTCAAAGCAAGAGACCGAGAGCGCTTCGATGGAGGCTCACTTGACAGAACTTACGGACGAGCTTCGTGAAATGTTCTCTGATATCGTCACTACCATCAGCTCCTCTCTGCCTAGCCATATGGTCCCCACATACTTTGTTCCTGTTGACCACATGCCTCACAATTCTGCTGGCAAATTGGATAAAAAGATCCTTCACGCATCTATTGCCAATCACACGACTGACGATCTCTCGAAGTACCTCGCCGTCCAACGTCTACCATTCCGCGACTGCTCGAGTGATATTGAATTCTGGATTCGACACCAATGGGCCACTACACTTGACCTTCCTGACGATACCATTGGCGTCGACGATAACTTTTATAGCCTCGGTGGTGACTCTATTCGCATTGTTACCATTTCCAAGGTTATCCTCAACCAGTATGGTGTTTCCCTTGGCATGTCCCTCCTTAACTCAAAGCACACCACGATTGCAAATATGGCCAAGCACGTCGACAATGAACTCGCCGGACAAGAAAAGGAGCAATTAAGCAGCATCGATTTCAATGCTGAAATTTCGTCTCTCTCTCGCTCTGTATTGGATACTGGTGCCCTCAATGTTGCCACCCATCCTAAAACCGAGCTGCCTGACCAAGCTGTTATCTTCCTCACTGGTGCTACAGGCTTCCTCGGTCAAGAGATCCTCAGACAACTCATCTCCAACGATGCCATTACTTCAATCATTACTCTCGTGCGATCCAAGTCTATCGAACACGGCCTAGACCGTATCCGCGAAACTGCCAAGATTGCTGGCTGGTGGCGTGAAGATTACACGAGTAAGATTGAGATCTGGTGTGGTGACTTGGGCAAGAAGCGAATGGGCCTCAGCGATGCGCAGTGGGCACGACTAGCCGGACAGTCTAACAACAATGTCGATGCCATCATCCACAACGGTGCCATCGTAAACTGGAATGCCGACTATGACAAGATGCGTGCTGCTAATGTTGACTCCACTATCGATCTCCTCAAAGCTGCTGTCAACTCCTCTGCTTCTACCAAGTTTGTCTTCGTCTCCGGTGGTATCAAGTCTGATCCTACTCAGGATCGAACTCTTCTCGCGCAGTATCTCGGTCATACCACTGGTTACACTCAGACCAAATTTGTCTCCGAGGGCGTTATTCAAGAGGTTATCAATACTCTCCCCGCTGATCAGAACCGTGTTTCTACTCTCAAACCCGGCCGCATCATTGGATCGCCTGAGACTGGTGTAGCTAACGTGGATGATATGCTGTGGCGTGTTGTTTCTACCGCTGCATCCCTTCGCGCCTATCCTTCAGAGCCGGAAGAGCATTGGCTCTCTGTCGTTGACGTTACTACTGTTGCATCATCTGTGCTCAGCCAATTGTACACAAAGGAAGGCATCGCGCCCTTCGTCGGTGTCAATGGTGGTATGCCAGCCGCAGTCTTCTGGGACCTCATCAACAAGGAGCTTGAAGCTCCTTGCGAGCCTCTTCCTTCAGATGAATGGACTCACCGAGCCTTGGAATCAATGAACCAAATTGGCGACAAGCATCCTCTATGGCCTGTGCAGCACTTCCTTGGTAACCTCGGCCTTGTTCGGTCTGCTGAAGAAATGGAGATCGAGGGGAGTGAACATGAGCAGTGGCACATGGCTGTTAAAATGAGCATGCGCTATCTGATGGAAATCGGCTTCATTCAGTCGTCTACTGACGGTTTTGCTAAGCCTCGTCGCGCTGGGACTTTCCAGCGTATACATGGTTAAATGGCTATGAGTTTGGATGTGAAGGGATTTTAGATTTCTTGTCTTTCTATCTTTCTATTTCTTTATCTTACTTTCCTTACTTCTATTCTTGTCTTCGCACTCATTCACTCATTTATGTAGTGCATTCTATTCTGCTGAATCTCGAGTATTCGTTGACTTCCTACATTCTATAAGAAGGATTCTGCTCCTTATCTATACAAGCAGTTTAGTCATATTAAATTTGTTCGTTCAAAGTTCATCTGTGCCATATGTAAAAGTACGCTTGATCAAGGTGAATGAATGAATCATCAGAATACTAATACAGCTAGTATACATCACCCTCGCTTAACCAACATTAACAGTCTGGAGTTTCCAAAATTCCCTCTTCAACGACATTTACCTTGACTTTCATACCCCATGGATCGTCTTTTCCTATCCAGCGCTTCTTCTTACCGACTTTTTGAATCACTTTGACGTTATCATCCAGAGCCTTCTTAAGGTGTGCAGGATCATTTTTCAACTTCTGCACTGATAGTGTCAAGACAAGTCCCTCCTTGTTCCTCTTCTTCCCCATGGTCCAGGACCACTCAGCAGAAAATACAACCCGGGGCTTCGCAGTGTCAATTTCTCCAGATGGATACAGTCGGGTGATCATGTACCCTACTCTACCTAAATAAGTAGTCCACCACACCTCTTCCGGTGTAATAAGAGAGCGCAGTGCTTCGCGGAATTCCATCTCTCGTGGCGGCAATTCTCCACGATATCGGGATTCGAGCATCAGCGCAAGTCTAGCGCGGTCTTGGTGAGACACTCCGTGAGTAGACGACATGATCCCAACACTAGTTGAGTAAAGCGCAGTCGTTGATGCTGTCTCTTTGGACATGAACATGTGAACATACATGACGTTAGCAAACGAATCAATCACATGCTCTCCGAATTCTTCGGGAAACCTCTTTGTTTGGTTCTTCGACGGTTTCGGGATGGCGCTCTTGAGCAGTTCCTGGATAGTGCGATAGGAAGTCGGCGCAAAATTTTGCGTTGCAACTGACAGCGGAGAAAGTTCTCTGACCTCGGGACTCAGAGTCCTGAAGAGATACCCCTCTCGCACTCCACCTTGACAAAAGTGAGCCTCTCTGATTCCATGAGGAATAGCTTCAGCCAAGACATTAACCAAGAATGCGACTGCGGGAACTTGTGACCGGCGGCGATCCGAGACCCGGAAGACATCTTTTGCCGCCTTTGCAATCTGTTTCACAGTATCTGTGTCTTCGAATTGTTCTCTACCAACTGTGTATCCATTGATAACAGAGATTGGATAATGCTTGCCGTGGGACTGATTGAGATATAGCAGCAGATAGCCCCAGCCTCGGAACCCACCGCCAGACAGGTAGATACGAAAGCCTCCCTGTTCTTTGGCCTTTTCAATCATAGTTTCGGGGATTTGCAAATGATCATATGCGTCTCTGAATTCTTGAATCATTTCCTCTCGAAATCGAGCAACAGCTTCTTCCCCTTCGTCTTTCTTCTTGCCCTTCCGCAGATCACGAAGCTGTCTGGATAGAGCAGCCGCGCCATACGGGAAACTAAAGCTCCCGAGCGGGCTGATTCTGATATGACCGCCTTGGCTGACCATCCAAGTGATTTGGGTGCTGCCACCTCCTAGATCCATCACAAGGCCAGACAGTTTGGTGAATCCGCTCGCAATACCCAACGCTCCGATCTGGCCCTCAATTTCCTTGGGCAGCATCTCGATAGACAGTCCAGTCTTTTCCTTGACAACCTCTATAAACTGGGCCGAATTGAGAGCCTTGCGGGTCGCCTCTGTTGCAACAATATGGATATTCTTTTTGTCAACTCCCATATCATGGCAGACAATGAGAAAACGATTAAAGAGTGTAACCACGTCGGCGATAACATCGTCTGGGATGGGAATCTGTTCCCCCGTCTCAGGATCATATTGGGAATCGTAAAGTGATATACCCGATCGATAGGTCAACACTGTCGGTAGAATACGCGCCAACCCAGCAGATAAATCCGTGATCGAAAAGCGAATGCCGTTACTACAGATGCATTGCAATTATTAGCACACGGACTGTAGGAGCCTGATAGCGACGATGGCTTACCTTCCCATATCCACAATGCCGACAAGTTTGTCTCGGTGCCCTTCCCATGGAGGATGAGGCCTGTCGCCATCTCTATGAGATGCTGGCATAGTAGTTTTCATCCAGTTTCCAGGACATGATTCGTTCGCTTCTTCCTCTTCCTCGAAATCAGATATGATTCCTAGGTCTTCAAAACCCCAGATATCCATAGTGGCCCTTGACCGTTTTTCTGTCAGGAATACCAGGTAAGATTTTGTTTTTGCAAAATTTCGTCACATGGAGAACTTCATCGTCTTTATAAATACAGCTGAAAAGATGAAACTTTATTTCAATGGCCTCGCCATGGTTTCAAGCCTCAGTGACGTCACGCGTAATAGATGAAGTTACGAATATTGGGCATATTCTCTAACAATGTATGGATTATTATAGTATTATCGGAATCTGTCATCGTGATGTGTGATTCTCATGTTTACAATGCAATGATCACGAAATCCGCTCCCTCCGAGGCGTTCAAGTTGACTGATTTTTGGACTCGGGTGGGATTGGCGAAGCTCTCACAGCTTCACGAATGCACTTTTGACAATGCGGGGAGAGAGTTGGCTGGACGCCGGATTCAGCCTCGATCAAAATTCCAGCCAATCGCACTATTGGGTCAATCAGTGAGTGACAGTTCATGCTAAAGCTAACATGAGAAACCCGTCGTTCGTTGATGGCAAAAGCCAATGTAATGGGAAACCATGGTAAACTCAATTCTCCCCGCCTCACGCCACTCACCCAATGGCGTTGATTCATAACCACGGGTGAAGATCAGGTCTTGTGCCTCAACCCACGACACAATCCGACCTGCAAAAACACCATGGGTTGACACAAAGGGATACCTTATATCGTACATCAAAGGGCATGGAGAATTCCTCGTCTAATGTCAGATATTCGGCCGCCACACTGCCGGCTCCAGTCATCAGCGAAGATGTTGACGAGCAATCTCCTCTCTTACGAGGCTCCGACACATGCCGTCGAGATCTTCGGATCGTATTAAAATTGCTCACCCCTGGCAGCTACTCCAATCTACTTCTGGTCTTCATCCCTTTGGGGATAACATATGGTGTCCAGAATAGAAGCCCAGAGCTCATCTTTTGGTTCAATTTCTTGGCCATCATCCCGCTCTCAAAATTAAATCTTCGGAAGATCCGCCAGTTGTCATCCATGTTAGGCCCAATGGGAGGGGGATTCTTACACGCGATACTGGATAATGCACCTTTGTTAATTGTATGTATTTCTGCAAACGGTGATGTTCGCTAAGTATGTAAGTGCTCACCAGCGATCAGGTAGGAATTGCCGCCATCCAGCACGGCGCTGCTCATATTGCACAATCCTGTATCCTTGGAAGCGTCTTGGCCAACCTGCTTCTCGTAAGTGCCATCAATGCCCTCTCCACTTCCAAGTATTAATACGCGAAAAGGTTGTGGGATGGTGTTTCTTGGTTGGCAGCATTCACAACCGCGAGCTCATATTTAACGCCGCTTTTGCTACGACAGCATCTTCTCTTATGATAGTTGCGTCGACCTCTCTAGTTGTTCCGTCTGCGATCTCTGAGATGCACTGCAGAGCCGATCCTGACTGTGAAGACAATTTGGTGCGAATGTCGCATTCAGTATCCCTAGCCCTACTATTTCTCTTCGTTATATACCAGCACTACCGATGGAGATCACATCGCCAGCTATTCCTAGAAGTCACACCGCCTGTCCTGGCTGACAGCTCCGATATAAGTCGAATACTGTTTGGAATCGTTGAAGGCATTCTTCTCATCTCCGTTTTGGGTCTGGCTTCGATGTCTTCCTACTTCCTCATGCGTACCTTGAGCTCAGTGACCGATTCCCGCTTCATCAGCAGCAGAGCTGTTAGTTTTGTCTTCTTACCGCTGGCAACCGACGGACCAGGTCGAATTGAAGCCATCGTAGCCGCATATAACAACCACATGACGACGGCTCTCGAATTTGCAATCGGCCGAAGCATGAATGTCGCCTTGTTCATTACGCCTGCGTTGGTCCTCTTCTCATGGGTAGCTCAATCCAGCCCTCCCATGACTTTGCATTTCCCTACTTTGGAGACGATTTCCATCTTCCTTGGCACATTACTAGTAGCCGAGCTATGCCGAGACGGCAAAAGCGATTACTTGGAGGGCGCCATGTGTCTCGTCACGTCAGTTTTGTTGGCCCCCCTTTTCCACTTTTTTGACTATTCTGCCCCATATACGCCCCAGCTAATTGCTTATATCTACAGGTATTTGATACTGTCATTCTCTTTCTAACGCATCAGGAGACTCTGGATGGAGATGTCAATGTTCTATAGGCCTCTTGTAATGATCTCTAAGCAAAGTTAAAGTTGCAGGCTCTTGCATTGTGGAGGGGGGTTCTTTTTTGCATGCGAATCTCCAAAGTGTAGCTGAAAAGAGCACCAGTTATGGAGTAATTGTATTCTTGTGAGACCTAGTAGGAATTTGGCATGACATACTGTGTAATCTCATCTTTAGACATGCTTATGGAACCACATGTGAGATTATACTGCAGACTGAAGTTCTACTGAGCACGCCCTAGATGTACATATGTTATCTGGGCGCCACGGCCAGTCATATGACGATTGAGGCCGTTCATTCCTGATCCACAGATGCTCCATACCATCTTGTCTAGGGATAATAGTTCTATGCCGCGTTACCGGAAAGACCAGCTGGTCGCTTAGCGATACAAACTCTACCGCTGTCGGAAGCAGTCCCTCTAGCTTTCTCAGATTGAGGCGTTTCTCGGCCTCCTAGTTGCATCAACATACATGGACCTAGGTGAGTAGCGGAATGGCTAGTCCGCCACAGGTAAGCCGATCTTCAACACTCGGTCTTCTAGAAGGAGGCAAAAGCCACTAGAAGCTAGGTAGTTGGCCGGCATTAGGCAATGTTGTAGACGGCTGCATACGGCTTTCGGCGGACAATGCCTCCACTCCTAGTCAATATCTCCAATAATCATTGGATTACATATATGTTATCACTGGGGAAGGGCTTTCAAGTGTCTACCTACGTACTGGGTGTATGTATCTCACAAAACGAATCACAACTGGATTCCTGAAGAGCAAATGACAAGCGTCTGTCTAGTGATTGACATGAGACGTCCACGTAGGACAAATCTTATGATCAAATAAACTGTTATCTGCATCACCACATTTAACGTTATGTTCTCCGAAACAAGGCGACAACTGGTCGGGACATGCCGGATTTCGGGACCAAAGCAGGTGCAGCTCAGCTGCGCAATATGAAGACACGGACTGATGTGTAACAGCTCCGATCAGAAGCTGGCGCAAAAGGGATTAGTATCTCGGTGGAAGCCAGCCAGTATCAAAGAGGTAATACAGCCCTGGAGGTGTATATCTGCGCCGTCCGGATTGCGTGACTCGCTAAGGTACTGACCGAGAGCATAAGCTAGACTACGAACACTATGAACATCTACACACTATTAGAGCAAGAGGGCCCGCACTCGAGAAGTGAGGCATTTGTGATCTTCTAGTTCATCGCGTAAGGGAACCATATGACCGCATGTCTTCAGCTTCATCTCTCATGGGCTGATTTCGACATATCCCAGCTCTCGCTTCCCCCGTCTTCTGGCCCAGATATGGTTGGAGATGATGGACTTGGGGAAACCTGGGGGAATGAGGGGCTTTGGAGGCGGTCGAACCACGAGCTAGTGCCAGCTTCTGGAATCTTTCCCCAACTAAAGAACAACCCAAGTGGACCATGATGGTTGGCAAACGGGATCTCAGTGGCTGAGGACCGTTTTTTTTTTTCTCCCTCGTACACCTTGCGCAAGTTTGATCCGTACGTGAAGGATTGTGGTCAAAGCGGCGCACGCGCGCCCTTTTTAGGACGATACGAGGAGAGGTTCGGCCGACGGCTTTTGTCGGCTCGCCTGGATGGCTTGATTGTGCTTGAAGCTGAATAGCCTTACGGGGCCTTGCGTAGGATGTAAGGTGGACATTGGACGGAGTGTTGTGGAGATTTTTTTTCACCTTGGTGTGCTCGTTGGTGCCGGCTCTCGTCAATGCTCCATGATAAGAGTGAAAGCCAGCGTGAAGGGAGCCTTGGCGACTGGGCTGAGTTCAGCTGTTGTAGAGAGAGAGGAACAGTATGCCAAGATTGCATGTGGCCTGTGGGCTGTGGAAAGGTGAGGCCATAATCACAAGCTTATTCTGACGATGTAACCACTTGCTGCTGTACAGTTAGCATAGAAAGGTGTGTTAGTCTCCAGTCCTCCGTACTCGTACCTGTTCAGCAATCATCATCATACTCGGACCAATATGCCCATTGGGGAGAAGAGACGAGACTCTTTCTCATGCGCTACCATTCGATCTTATCCTGATCTCGCCAAGTGGGGTGGCACAAACCTCCAAGGTTGATCATCTTTGTACGTAACAGCTGATGTGCCATGTTGGCGCGCAACTGAATCATGTCTCTGCCACCCTAGTCAATCCGTCTCTCCTCTCCGCATCCAGTTCCCCATCCTCGCCTGTGAAAAGAGAGACGGGAAAAGATAAGCATTCGCAACTTTGTCAAGTGGGTGGAGAGGAGAGTCAGAACACCAAATGTACATGTACATGCACATGCGCCCAGCAGATCAGGCCGGGATGAAACTCTCACATGCAAACGAGGCTGCCACTAATGCATTTCGACGCAGGCACAGCATCAATCAGCCGTCAGAGGAATTTTCTTTTTCTTTTCCTTGTCCAGCTGGGCGCGTTCTGGAACATTTCCGCACGCGGCCACGCCCTTCGATCTTCAAGTTTGCTCGAGGCGGGAGATGCAAGAAGAGGATTGGAGAGATAAGCCAGATGGGGCTCGGGGAAATAAATGCCGACGCCACCAAGCGAAAGCCCGTACATGTACACCGCAAATAAGGCACTGAGGGATTGTAGGCATTTCAGCTTCACTAACAGTACAGCATGGAGAGATAAAGACTCAAGAGAGAGCATTGAAAAAGAAGACGAAAAGATGAAGAGATAACGTTCTTATCTTGATCATCATCACCCCCCCAATTCATTCGGGGTCAGGCCCCAGTCTGGTGATAACGTGAACCCAACATCCATCTCCCCACCGTCGCATGGAACGAATCATGGATCCCAAACAGCGCTGCAAAGTACCGGTACCTCCATCCTCAACGCCCGCTCCCTGTCCCTTAGCCCCCCGCAGCAAACTACGCTGAAAACAGCTAACAGAGGCGTCAATGTGCCGGGGATCTGCTCTCTAGGGTGCTCTCTAGGGTGTTCTTTAGGGCCTTGAAGGCGCTGGACCAGCGATAAACAAGGCGGTGGTTGCCGCATTCGCTGCGGTTCCTGCTCCTTCAGGCCCTCTCTATATCTATACCCTGTTACCTTTCCATCTCTTTTTTCTCTTCTCCTCTTTTCCTTTTCTCATTCCTTTTTTGTCTCTTCTTTTCCTTCTCCATCATTTAGAATCCCGTCGTCAACTCCGGCGCTGTGACAATCATGGAGAAGAAGTACGGTTCTGGGCCCGACGAGGCCTACGACGTCAACATCGAGGCCAGCCCACCAGGTGACAACACCGACTTCACTTTTGCCCACGATGGCGAGCAGCTCAAGCGTGGTCTCAAGAGTCGTCACTTGCAGTTCCTGGCCCTGGGAGGAGCCATTGGAACCGGTCTCTTCGTGGGATCCGGTGGCATTCTCGCAGATACCGGCCCCGCGCCACTCTTCATGGCCTACATTTCCATGTCCATGATTGTCTACATCGTTATGAACGTCCTGGCCGAAATGACTGTCTATCTCCCATTCAGAGGTGTCACCATCCCCTACTACGTCAGCCGCTTTGTCGATCCCAGCTTAGGTTTTGCTGCCGGTTGGAACTACTGGTATGCCTACACAATGCTTGTCGCCGCAGAAGCTTCAGCAGCTGCCATTGTCCTGGACTATTGGAAAGCCCATGTCAATGTTGCCGTCTGGATTGCCATCGTACTCGTCGTCTTGTTGGCACTCAACTTGTTTGCCGCCGCCATCTTTGGAGAGGCAGAGTTTATCTTTGCATCCATCAAGCTCATTGCCTTGTTTGTTCTCTGCATCATTGGCATTGTTCTGTTCTTTGGTGGCGGGCCAAATCAGCATCACGTCCTCGGTTTCCACTATTGGAACGACCCTGGCGCATTTGTAGAATACAATGCCAAGGGTGCAACTGGCAGATTCTTGGGTTACTGGCACGCCTTCGTCAAAGCAGGTATGTTTAGCCTTCCTTCGCTAATACCCATCTACTATATGCCACAAAACTATGTGCAATTAAGCTGACAATTGATCTTTCACAGGATTTGCTTTTATTACCAGCCCTGAATTGATCGCAATCGCCGCCGGAGAGGCCGTTTCCCCCCGTCGAAACCTCAAGAAGGCAGCTCGTCGATTTACCTTCCGTCTGGCACTATTCTACGGTGTCTCGTCACTCATCATTGGCATCATTGTCCCCTCAAACGACCCTAGACTGCTCGGAGCCTCAAACGCCAGCGCCTCGCCCTTTGTTATCGGCATTCAGAATGCTGGTATTCCTGTCCTGAACCACATCATCAACGCTGTCATTCTTACCTCTGCTTGGTCGGCCGGAAACTCTTTCCTCTATTCCGCCAGTCGAGTCCTATACTCCATGGCCATCAACGGCCAGGCTCCCAAGTGGTTTGCCCTTACCAATCGCTTGGGTGTCCCCTGGGTTGCCGTTCTATTCACCTGGGCTTTCTCCCTTCTCGCCTTCCTCAATGTCAACAACTCCGGTGCCACCGTCTTCAACTGGTTTGTCAACATTTCAACCATTTCTGGCTTCCTTGCTTGGATTGTCATCATGGTCACCTATCTTCGCTTCCGCAAAGCCATCATTTTCAACAATCTCTGGGGAGAATTGCCGTACAAGACACCCCTGCAGCCTTACGGTACCTATGCTGCGCTCTTCGTTATTTCTATCCTCACCCTCACCAATGGTTTCCAAGTCTTCATCGGTGACAACTGGAACGTGAGCGACTTCCTCGCTGCCTACATCACACTGCCCATCTTCCTTGCGCTTTATCTTGGTCACAAGATCTGGAAGCGAACACCCTTCTGCATCAGGACATCTGAGGTTGATGTTATTACTGGCAAGAAGGAGATGGACGAAATGGAGGCCATGGATCAGCCACCTGTGCCCAAGAACTTCCTGCAGAAGGTGTGGTTCTGGTTGGCATAGTTGAGAGTCGGAGGTAGATGGGTTAGTTGCATATCCCGCCGCAATTTTTAATGTATATAAAAAGCGATTCAAGATGAAGATGTTCTCGTTGTATATTGCCAGAGGCTGCTAGGATCGCTAGAGGCGTTGCGAACCGTTGTCTTGGGCATCTTACTATTCATGATTTAGATGAGAGCCATGTTGATGAATATATATCCAAAAGCTAGTTTCGATATAAAATGTCATATCAATTTGTTTAAGGCTGGTGAAAAAGAGATGTCTTTGAAATCTGGCGATCGGTCGGGTTTTATCCAAGTCGACTTACAAGCTGAGAAACTCTGGCCCTCGTTGTAAATTTGTCAGCTTATAGGAACAACGCGCGCTATTACGCATTGGGCCAATGCTCAATCTATTGTACATGAGCCACTGCGTCACCGGCTGACAGAGATCAATCGTTTTAGGAAAATGTTAATATATTGCTCCTCATCTTTCATTAAAGATAGTCCTAAAGGAGACAACGCTGTGCCGGTTGCCTTACTATAGTGTTGCTATGTTACCAGTTCCTTTCTGGACTACCGGCTACTAGGTCGACACGAGAATGTTGTGACGTTCGGTCTACCGCGATGGCGCTGAAGAATACATTTGTAATATACTTGAAGTCGGCACGTTTCTGATGTTGCAGTAATCAGAGCTGTAGAATATTCGGCAGACGATACGGACGGAACCAATGCTCTCATCTTCGTTGGCTCTACTATAAGTAGTCCTGGCATTCCTCGTAATAAAGCATTCAAGATTCCTTATCCTACAGCCCAACTTCCAATAACTTATACACCTCATCACAATTGATCTAATCAAGATTCAATTTTCCAATCGATCAAAATGTCTACTCCCTTTGAATCTGAAGTCCTCAAAGCCAATGCCAAATACGCCAGCACGTATAAGCACAGCGGTCTTGAGTGCCCTCCTCTAAAGAAAGCCGTTCTCAGTATGTTTTCCTCAACTCCTATTCTGGCTCATGCATCTTAAATAACCATTCTTCCTAGTCACATGCATGGATTGTCGTCTTGACCCAAAATCCGCCTACGGTTTCGATCTAGGCGAAGTCACCACTATTCGTAACGCCGGTGCCTCTGGCCGAGATGCAGAGCGCTCGGCACTTCTCGTGACTCATGTCTTGGGTGCTGAGGAGGTCCTCCTGATTAAACACACTAGATGCGGGCTGTTGGGCGTTCCATCTGAGGTTGTGCAAGATATCATGAAAAAGAATCTGGGATTGACGGAATCCAAGGATGTGGATAATTTCGAGGTCCTCACTTTTCATGATTTGGAAGCGTCTACCCGAGAGGAGGTGGAGTATCTTCGAAATCACCCTTTTTGGCGCAGTCATATCCGAGTGACGGGTTGGATCCACGATACTGATACGGGAGTTCTCAAGAAGATCGTTGAATAGATGGGAGTCATAGGATTAGATTCTTGGTTGAGAGATTGTTTAAAGAGCACAGATTTAGAAAATGATATACCATAAAACAGTCCATTATACCATTAGTTTTATTGTTCGTAATGCCGTTTTTGTTCACGGCTTCTTATAATATGTCTGTCTCTCCTGAATCATAATATCTATGAAAATCACAGCAGAAATTCATCATGCCCCGTGAGTCGTAAGTAAATTAAATACAAAAAATAACATGAACGCTTATGGTTGGAAATGATATTGTATGGTTTAAAAAGACGAATATTAATACTCCAACTGGTTCTTTCTTAAATCTTCAGATCTGCAACTACTACTACTTATCATGGTATCAATTTTTATCAACCGTGGTAAGATATCATCAGCCCCATCATCGGGTAGAAAATCCAAACTTCTTTGCTCTACATTGCGTTCAACCTTTTTGACACTGCGCAATTCCCTTTCTGACATTTCCTTCGTGGGTTTTACATTCTGACCTCTGTGTGATCTCGAAATTCCGTTTCTTCAGGGATGCAGGGTAGAGGGGGTACCAGTTCTTTTTTTTTTTTTTTTTTTTTTTTTTCCAAGACCTCAGAAACTCCATCCTTCTTCTTTCAGATATTCTCTGTCTTCGTCAAGTTTGGTCTTTTCCTAAAGACCAAATGCTGAATGCTGAATTATTATCTGATGAATGACCCACCGGAGTATTTGACTCAGAGTCCCCGTCCATCTCTTGTTTTCCTTCCGATGTATTTTTGCAAAGTGAAACCCATGTGTCGACTATGTCTTCCTTGTCGTTGTTGCCTTTTGTCTGCTGTTTGGCCATGAGATGATTCTCTGGTCGCCCAGATAGAGGATCGACCTCGACCACATTGCTGTCATGGTTCCTTTTGGCTTTTTTGCTTATTCTGCTCTTTATACCCTTCCCCTTGACTGACTCCTCTGCTTTACGAAAGGCTTGCCTCTTAGCCCTCTCTTTAGCTTTTGCCTGGAGGAAATCGAGCCTTAGCTCTGCTGATCTATCGATGCCCCAAAGTGTATGCCTCCTCGCCTCAACCAGTTGAGCAATTTCTGCTTCTTCTTCTTCAGCAATTGCAGCCTCCTGGTTAATTTGTTCTTCAACTGTTTCTATTGCATGTTCGATTCCTTGATTGACTTGCTGTTGTGTTTTCGGGGAAGCCTGCTCTTTTCTTTCGTCTTCATTCAGTTGACCCACGCTGCCAGAGATTTTTTCAGTCTTCTCATATTGACTCATCCCAACATCTTGCGTGGATATATCCTCTGAACCGTTCTTCTCCAGTACCTCGGGCGTAGTATTCACTTGTCCGCCTTTATTCTTGTTCAACCAAGGAGGGACCCACATATTATCAGGATTGAATATATTGCCCTCGAGTTCTCCAATATTCATGTTGCATTTGACGACTGGCTTGGCAAATAAATAACTCGATGCTAGCGGAAAGCCTGAACAATCCCCCGCCGCTACCTCGAACGTGTCGTGGATCTTTTCGAGTCGTGATTCTTCCTGTTCCCGAAACAGTTCAAGCATACCCTTGAAGAGGATGTGGCTGATTGGTACGGTCTTGTGCGGAATACCCGTCTTGCTCTGCAGTGGTTTCATGACACCACCCCTGAGGAAGCTCTTCAGCCGGTTCTTCAGAAAGTTGCTGAGCCACACATCACCAGTGCCTGGATTTGGGCAGACTTCTCGTAATATATCGAATACTAGCGAAACTTGGAGCGTCTCGCCCAGCCGCTCAATCTCAGCTTTTGCAAGCTCCGCCAAGTTGGGAAGTTCATAAGTCTCGGCAGCATTATAAGCACGAATACTTGTTGAAAACTCAGTAGCCAATGCCTTTTGAAGCTCCGAACCTTCTGGTCGAAGGGACTGATAGGTACCGGTATAGAGGTAATGAATGATGACATGGCCTACATCATCAGAAACATCGGGAAATTTGAGCCGAGTCTCTTGATACATTGCCTCCAGCTTAGGGCTCTGGGAAAGTAGATGAGGTGGTATATTAAGTGTGCGGCCATCTGCAAATTGTAACGGAACAGTAATAAGCATATAAGGGCTTTCAATGTTAGTGTTGGCGCCATAGAGAGGAGCGAGGTGGTGAACTTACGAATAGAAAGGTCGCGGATCTTCGTCCATTTTGCTAATCGGACAAACAAAAAATATTGGGAAGTTCAGTGGCTGAGCCAAGGGTGGCATATTCAAGGGAGTATATAGGATAGAACACTGAAACGTTTGACTGGCTTTAGGCCTCTTTCTTAAGAATATGTATATGCCACAGGATTACGGCTGCCTTTTATAGCCTGGCGGAACGATTTTATCTGGTTGGTTCAGTCATTTAGCTATAAGTTGTAGGCTTGAAACCTGCGCTGTGCCTGAACCTTGTTGTTCGGGCCTTTTTGCGCATTTTGAGTTTGACCTTGAACCTTTACTTATCAGTGGTCATATTTTGCGACCTGGATCTCTAAGGTTTGATCTGGTTGGCTGTAGCGGCCATTTTAATCTGCGGATTGATTCTAGAATTTGAACCGAAGACTGGGGCATAGCCTTCCTCTGAGCCAGCCCTGAACTGATCCTCTTATCTGGATTATGATATAACCCCCATACATATGCTACGGTTCACAGTACCATCTAGAATTGATAGTAGCATCTTGCATTACGACTCGTAGTTTCACCACCGTCAGCAATTGGAAATTAGAGAACGATATTCTGGTAAGTAGATTGATTAATACGAGACCAACCACCGTGACAAATGAGAAGACAAGAGAGCGGCAAGGAAGAGATGGAGATGTGGTGGTCTTTCTCGTAAAAACATCTATCACTCCGAGTGAATAATGCCTCGAATGACGTGGCTGTAACTGCTTCCTAATTCCCTCGCAGCCGCCACATCTTAAGTGAGCCATACATGTACTGTTCAGTCGGCGCATCTCAACAAATCATCGGAATACGCAGCCTCGCATGACGAAAATAGCAACGCTGATAGATGTACCGCTTTCTTCCTTAATGCTGCCGACAGTATCTGTGAGCTTCACATCGGCACTTCCCGAGATCTAGCGTCTAGTGACCTCAGATGATCTAATATTGCATCTGTCTGTGGATTTTTGTTTGAAGGAAGAATTCACTATGCATTGCGGAGGTTGGTCATCAATCCGCAGCTCAATATGTCGTTTGTTAGAGCCTAAAACCCGAAGCTGTACCTGAATGCCGCTCTTCTCCGCATCGTTAAATCCACCAAACTCCGTATTTACGATGCGAGAAGAGGAGCCACCGCCAGATGCCCTAATCTGGACATTGGTTACCTACTCATTGAGCATCAATCTTGGATTCATCGCCTCTCATTCCAACACTTGCTGGCGTGATGGGTCATTAATAAGCTGGCGGGGCCCTCTATGAATTGCCTGATGAGGTTAGTGTCCACTATGTCATACCCAATGCGGTATATCAACCAGAAGGGAACTATACGGAAGAGGCTTTACAGTGATATAGGACAACAAGATGAACAATGTGTCAAAATGTTGTTGAAGGGGGTATTCGATAGATATAAAAGCAGCTTTGAATCCCTTCAGATGCAGAAATTATTCTCACCATTAACAACAATACCAATTACTCGACTTCTCAAATTTAAACACCGCGAACAAAAATGGCATCCCCCAAGCCCAGAGCTATACTTGGTCTCATGACCTACGGCCCCGACAACTTTGCAGACAACCGTGTAACAACACTTGAAGAATTCAAACTTCATCTAGATGATCTCCAAAAGCATGGATACAACGAAGTTGACACGGCCCGTATCTACTCTGGCGGTGATCAAGAAGCTTTCACCGCAAAAGCTGGATACAAAGAACGAGGCCTCAAGCTCGCTACAAAGAGCTACCCTCTAACTCCTGGACAGCACACTGCCGCCAACCTCCGCAAGGATTTGGAGACTTCTTTGGCTGAACTTGGTGCTACATCTGTAGACATTTTCTACCTGCACTCGGCCGACCGCTCTGTCCCCTTCACCGAAACCCTAGAAGCAGCAAACACATTGTACAAGGAGGGTAAATTCAAGCAGCTCGGAATTAGCAATTTTTCTGCATACGAAGTCGCAGAGATTGTCATGCTGTGTCAACATCGAGGTTGGGTGAAGCCCACTATTTACCAGGGGGTGTACAACGCTATCAGTAAGGAACCTCTTCCTCATAACGCCTCTAACACACATGTATACATAGATGTAACCTAGAGAGACTGACGCCATAATTCCACAGCTCGAAACCTTGAGACAGAGGTTATTCCTGCCTGTCGCCGCTTTGGATTGGAAGTTGTCATTTTTACCCCCCTCGGCGGAGGTCTCCTGACCGGGCGCTACAAGACCCTTGATGACGAGGAGCAGCAAGGTCGTTTCAGCAACAGCACGTTCTTGGGACCTATTTTTAGGGCCATGTACTTTAACGAGAGTTTGTTCAAAGCTCTCGATATCCTCCGACTTGCGGCTGAAAGCCACAATCTGACTATGCCCGAGGTCGCTCTCCGGTGGCTCGTGCATCATTCTGCTTTAAAGTTGGCCAAGGATGGAGGAAACGACGGCGTTATCTTTGGAGTCAGCAAGATTTCTCAGTTGGACCAGAATATCTTGGATCTGCAGAAGGGTCCTTTGCCAGAGGAGGTTGTGAAGGCGCTCGATGCTGCTTGGATCATTGCAAAGGGCACCAGTCCCAACCCGTGGCACACACCACTTGAGTACACCTACGAGGGACATTCATAGATATGCGCTCCATACTGTTATCTTATGGCTTGTATTCTGCGATAATACTAAGCTTTCATGGCTTATGCTATCTAGAAATGAATTTCAGCAGAGTTTATTTAAAATTTTACCTGAGCGCCTATCGTTGGTAGTTGCGTCATAGACAAGAATAGATAAGTGAGAGATATGAGTATATAAATGCCAATATCTCCTCATCTTCTCTACAATCCTTTTTATCGTTAGTTGACCTATATACAAAGTCGTAGACCATTGCACCAGGTTAGTCGTGGGAGTTTTGATCGCAGGAGAGATCTTGTGTATAAACACCATGGGTCGCCGGTGAAGACCCCAGTTCACAGAGAGCGTGTCATCTGTATCTGGAACTCTGAGGCAGCATTGGTAGGGTTTGATCCCGGGCGCTCACATCCAAAAAGTCGTTATAAATTGTGGCCAATGATGAAGCCAGTTCACCGAGAGCAATGATAAGGGGGAGACCATTTGCTTCTGGAATCTGAGGCCAGCATTAGGAATATTAAGCCTTTAATGGGTGGTAACAAGTGTTACGGAAGAAGAAAGGAACGATAAGACCGGGATTGAAGAAGAAAGCCATTGGTTGAGCGGGAGAACATCTGTCAAATTTATATCCTCATCAATACACAATGGTCTTTGCCTAGTACTTAACCGGCGATTTAAGTTCAGACTTTGATCGCCCGGTTTCCCCATGCCTTGGCCAAATCTTTGAAGATCACCCCGGCACCGCTCTGAGAGGCGGTGACAGATTTGCCAAAAGTCATCCAGGCTAATCTCTAGTCTCTCTTTGCTTATGCATTGATATGACTTTCTCCATCGCCTCCTGGTAGCTACTCAAACCACTGAGAATTCCTTCTAATTTGGCGTCAGGCTCGTCTGGTACAAATTCCACGCGAGTATGATGGCGTAGGAAGATAGGGATACAGCTTAATCTTTATGGATGGAGGGGGAAACTTTACGGCTCCATTCGGCTCGAGGACACATTGTCGGTATCGAAGAAAATGAAGATGATCACTCTTCAGGATAGCTATTTTGCATATTTGTATGCCAAGGGAACCAATATGGCCGCAGTCATTCCGATGGCTCACTTTTGCGGTGCCAAGGGTTGCGACAAGCCGAAGATGCGCAAGTTTGTCGATCAGTGCCCGGAGTCTGATTTATGTCTGAATTCAACTGTAGGAGATAGAGGGTTCACGGCTAGAACCTCGAGAATAACAATCTCGTTGAGTATCGCCTTGTAGAATAGCTTGGATGAGACGCAGCTATTTGCACCAATCAGCTCGCCACAGAAGATGGACTTTGGTAGTGTTGCTCTTGGGCTCTCAAGGTCATGACCATTGTGACAATCATTCCCAGTTCATCAGAGCCTTCTTTCCATTCTTCGATTGGGCAGTCGTCCAACGGTTTTGCTGGAGCATGTAAGTCTTTCCACGTCAGTTGCTTATATGGCGATAAACCGTTTGTGAATTTCGTCCAATCTGCAGTGTCCTGGGCAGCCCACGAGGCCTTCGAAGCCGGTAGCAGCATACTATCGATGTTCCAATCATCTGGACTATTGCAGGGCAGCCCGAACTCCATTGATACAACCACGTTTAGTGTAAAGTAGATGGTGGCAATGCGGATGAAGGATTCGACAAACACCCACTGTTTCCAGTCACTGCTGGGATGATGATAAAGGTCTAGTAAGCTTTCAGAATGAAGGCGTCTATAGATGGCCTTGGGAGAAGTTAGCTATCTACTTCGAAAGGCTCGCGACAGAGGAAGGGCACAGGACATCTCACCCCAAGAGTGTAAAGAAGCGCAATGTCTCCATTTGGAAAGGCTGGGCTGTTTTCTCCCAACTTAACCCTCAATAGAACGTAGATGGCTACAGTTTGCGCCGCAGATAGTAGCTCGCATGTGGTAAACGTATTGATCTTGATAGCATGTTAGTTCTAACGGATCTTCAAAGTGGACAAGCCCACAACTCGAAAGATGTGAAGCTAATTAATTTTCTTACCTTTGTATATATCCATTCTTGATGTTGGTGAATCATTTCCCATAATGCCTCTTTATTCACAGACAAGGAGGAAGAGTTGCTTTGATACGAGCCGTACGCCCGCAATAAGTTCTGGCATGTCTTTAGAGCACTCAGCTTCATGCTAGCGTCTTCAGAGTCGCTTTCAAGCTCGTGCTCAGTAAATGGATGGCAGAATCCCACCAGGGATATGTCGTGTGTCGCTTTCGAAGCTTGGCCGCATAGATATCGCAATACGAAATTGCTCATTTGCATCATTGACGGATCGGAGAATCTCCTCTGTTCAAAGAGGCTGAACTTGGGTATCTTCAACGTATCACCAGTTAAGATTAAGCCTCGATCATTTTTCCTATTGATGAAAACTAACCAAGGCATGATATGGTGGACCCGATTGCCAATCAATTAAAGCGCCTGGATCTAGGGGTCCATTTTCGAGAGTTATTGATACTGTCCCGGCCTCACGCCTCATAGCCTTCTTCTTTTGGTTTCGCTGCTTGTGGAAGTTTTTCATCACCGCCCGCCGAATGTACGTGCGCCTCGCGCCTCGGCCTTCAGCAGGATCATCGGTCAAGTTGACAAACGTGCGATCGAGTTCAGCTGATTGGGGTGCCATTCTGGTTGTTTTTCAGTGAGTTGATCAACAATCGGGAGGCTTGAACGATGAGAATGTACAGAGCAAAGGGGATGAGCATCCGGTGTTAACGATGTGGAGACTCAAAGAACTGGGATCTCATAGGCTGCAAACTCCGACGCCATTTTGGAACTGCGGGCTTTGGCGGGTATTCGGGGGTTATGAATGTTACTCTGGGTTTCATGACATTAGACAATTAATTATTAAAATACTGTCTAGTTCATCTATATAGATACATCCATTTATTCGTTTGACAGCTGCATGCTCAAAATGCACCATGCTATTGACAACATTACTGTCAATTCTATTTGTGATTAATACTCCGCGCTTGAAGTTAATACCGATGCTCTCTAATAGTGATGCGCCCCGCTCCCCAAAGTCTTGTGTAGAAACGGCAACATAAAGTGCAGAATATCCTTGAGATTGCTGATCAGAGCGAAATGCCCGGCATCAATCAGATGAATCTCGGCGTGTTGCAAATCTCGCTTGAACGCTTTCGCGCCAGCAGGAATGAAGCTGCACATCGTACGGTTAGAAGTCGGTCTCAACAAAACGTTGCGTTTAGTTATAGGTTAGAACGGATCACACTTACAATTGGTCGTTTTCTCCCCATACAGCAAGTAGAGGCACTTGAGACTGACGGAAATACTTTTGATATTGTGGGTATTGTGCCACATTGTTTTGGTAGTCGAAAAAGTAATCCAGCTGGATATCGATGTTGCCGGGCTGGTCGTTCATCAGCGCATAATCAAGCCACCAAGACTCTGGCTCCAGGGCGTCAGGGTTCTTTGTTCCCGTCGTATATTGTCCCTCGGTTGCGTTCAAGGTAAAGAACGGGATCAATGCATCGCGATCACTAACGAAATTAGCCCCAAGTCTATCAAATAAAATTGTAATACGACTTACGTTTGGCTTCCAGATGCCCAATATGTTCTTATAGCGTCGAATCCAGGTCCAATTCCTTCCAAGTAAGCATTTCCGTTTTGCGACACAATAGCCTTGACCGCATGGGGTCGTCGCACAGCGAGACGCAATCCAACAGGTGCCCCGTAGTCGATGATGTATTCGGCAAACTCCTGGATGTTGAGAGCGTCAAGGAACCCTTCCATAACATCGGCTATGTTGTCAAATGTGTGAGGAAAGTTTGCAGGCGACTTTGTAAAGCCAAATCCAGGAAAATCCGGAGCGATAACATGATATGTTAGAGCAAGAAGGGGAATCATGTGTCGGAAAAGGAATGATGACGAGGGAAAGCCATGGAGTAATAGTAGAGTTGGGGCATTGGCCGGACCAGCCTCGCGATAAAAGACTGAATAGTTGCCGACTTCGACTTGGTTGATAGTCGGCAGTATCTGGTATGCTAATTCCGCCATCGTGATAGCAGAGGTTAGAATTACTTGTTCAGCAACTGATAGGTAGATGACTTGATGATACAACCTACGATAATTCGACGATACCTAAGCTATTATATACAAGTAGACACCATTTACATCTTCATAATGAGAAGAATACCGCAACTCAAATCTTGCTTTAGTGAATCGATAAACGATCCATGACTAATACCGGCATCCTCCTAAGCTTGAAGTTTTCAGCCTAGGGGCATGCGGGCCTAAAGGCAGCATATACCGCATATGGACAGTAGTGCTGACTATGCCGTCATTTACTCCCGGATATAGGACTCCTTACATACACAGTGGATCATAGAATCTCCTCGGCTTCACCCGGCGCCCTGTCGTTATAGAAGAGATGCCGTAGCTGATCTGATCCTTCGACAACGATCTAGGCGACTGAGGCGAGCTGTTATTGGTAATGCCATCTCCATCCCACGTAGTACCGAGAATAAGCCTATTTCTAACTACTCCGTGATTATTCTCCGTTTGGAATCATTGGGCACCGCACATGTCTCCCCCAATGAAGATGGAATCAACAACGGGGCACTTCCCACAATCAGACTAGACTTATTACGAGACAACATGACTTATTAAAGTCAACAATCATTAGTAAATATTTCAGCTGCTTACATATTGAAAGAAATGTCTAGAGAGCATTTACGTATACATCGGCTCTCGTCTATGCAAGCTCCATAGCTTGTCAACGGACTAGGATGCGAAAAGCATCACAGATGGTACTTGAAATCAACAGCCCGGTCGCCAGTCTGGACCTTCCGAGTGTCTTCCATCTCTCCGTTTGCAATCTTCTCCTTCTGGCTGTTGCGGTGCCTGATATAGAACCACTTGGCAATAATAAGCAGCTGCGAAGCTCCCAGCGCGCCCACAGAGAAGCCATTTCCCAGGACAAACGGTGCGGTCCTGTAGATCTGCCCTGCAACAATGCCAGCCGTGTTTGCAAGGCCTTGCTGCACTCCAATCGCGGTAGCACGGCGGTAATGCGGCGCGACATTGACATTGAGCCACGTCAGGTTTAATCCAGGGCCGTTGTAAACCGCAACAGCGCAGAGGAACGTGCCAAAGAACTTGACGGGATTGCTCGTAGGGCAGAGGATAAGTATGTAGCCGATGATGCCCGGGATGTTGGCGAGAAACACCATTGGCCCGCGAATACAAGTCCGGTCTGAAATATACGCAAATGCAATGAAGCAAATGCCGCCAAACAAGAATACCGGAATACTGAGATATTGGGCTTGGATGGAAGTGTAGCCCATGCTGACAATGATGGAAGGGAGGAATGTGCTGAAACCGTACAGGAGAATATCCTGGCAGAATTGAATGGCGGCACTATAGTTCGAATGTGAGTATGGTTCTTTGCTAATACCAAAGATGAAAGTTATGTTATCCTTACCTGAGATATAGCTTCGGGTCCTTGAGACTAATCCGAATCTCCTCCCAGCTAAACTCCTCGCTGCCCATGTACTGAGCCCGCTGTGCCTCACGAACCTTCATCATAGCCTTCTCCTCTTCACTAAGGAAGTAAGCATTGGAAGGATCGTTGGGCAGTCCGAACCAGATAATCGGCGCAACGATGAAGCTGAAGATGCCTTCAATGATGTAGACCCATCTCCAGCCCGCATAGCCCGCAACACCGTCCATCTTCAGAATGCAAAACGCAAGCAATCCTCCAAAAGCACCCGAAATCGCTGTGCACACAAACAGATACGACACCCTTATTCCTTGCTCGTGGCGCTTGTACACCATGGTGAGGTACAAGTTCAGCGCAGGGAAGAGTCCGGCTTCGCAGGCACCGAGAATGAGTCGCACGGCATACAAGCCAGCTACGTTGTGGATGAAGCCGGAGAAGATGGTTGTCAGAGACCAAACAGTGCAGAGACCCGTGAGCAAGATGCGTGGCGTGACCCATTTCATCAGGATACTCCACGGAGGCTCAAACACCACGTAGGTCGCATAGAAGATGGAAACCGCCGTCGAGAACTGCTTCGGGCTGGCGCCGATATCTTGGGGCATGCCGGCAACCTTGACGTTGCCGATGCTGCTTCGATCGAGAAAACAAGTCAGGTAGACAAGCATGATGATAGGGACAAAGTAAGTGTCCAGCTTCAATAACAGGCGCTTCTCGGCGTTAGGGTCGAGCACCGGAATGGACGAGGCTGACTCGTCAACTTCACGAGGAAAGTCATCGCTGGAAGACGGACCCTTCTTGTCGTCGTCGTATCTCACGTCGACTGGTTCCGAAGCCATGTTTACGATAGGCTCACTTCAGTCAAGTAAGAACTTCAAGAGATGTAATGAAGGAAACAAAGTTGGAATAAACGAGGAGAAATATCGAAATTCTCAGCCCCGCGTTAACAAAACATCAAATTATGAAAACCCCACTGGGAATCTGCATTCAGATGCAACTGTCAGGTGGAGTGGTGTCGCATCACGTCCCATTTAAACAAAATCGTAGTCCCAGAGAGAGAATCGGAGCTCGAATCCGACGACGCGAAAAACTACCACACACATCTTCGTCCATCTCGACAATCTCCAGCACCAATTTCTTATCGCTTACCTCCAGCCTCCATGCCTAGTTCGTCACTGGTTCACCGATAGCAGCATCCAAGATAGCTTGATAGCCTCCAAAATCGAGTATGACAGTGGAGTTTGCGGGGCTGGTCGGAGACCCTCACCGACCCCTGGAGGTGGCGATTGGGTTTCTGGTGAAAAACTAGGAGGAGAAGAGGATAGCTTTGTGCGGGGAAGTTGGAGATAGCAGATGGACAGCCGGTTGGTAAGACGAAAGAGTTTTGGGAACATGGCGTTGTCAGTGGAGATGTGGTGACAATCATGATGTCGCATTGCATGTCTATCACATTACTGAATCGTACAGTACAGCAACAAGCAGTATGAAGTAAAGGCTTGTATGCATGAGGCAGTTGATAGCAGCACCTCGTTTCGATATCAACTCTTGTGGGTTTACAATGAACACATGATCCCTGCTCGGAGATAAGAATGTGGAGGCGGAATCAAGCGACATATCTTTGCACTGGAGTTCAATTCAATTCATCCATCGTCTCTTCGTGATATCTCATGCTGAATTACCCTGTCCCATAAAATCAAGCATCCACTCGCGAATATCTGGCCCGCCAGTTCCCCCAACCGTTGATGTACGCTGCGCCAAATCTAGGTCTAAATCCATGGTCGGATACGCAAATCCCTCTTCCCAAAGTCCAAAATCCATGCCCGTGCTCACGCTCTCGTCATAAAATGGTTCGTTCAGTGCATCATTATTGACCGCTGGAAAGTTGAACGGTCCATTTGCACTGCTTACGGCGGTATTGTATGCTGTGATGGGGTATGGAGCCATCGATATGCGTGGCGTAACTGTTCCCTTGCCATTCATCGGAGTGGCAGTTTGAGAGACAGGCGTCATCATAGCAAATTGCTGCTGATGAGCGGTGGGAGAGAAAATACTCGAGCCCGAGTAGATGTTCGCCAGCAACTCATACCGAGCGCCCATATGGCTATTCCCTCGTTCGCCCATGTTCCTCAACAGGCCAAGCCCAGCTGCCATGGCCAAGTTGTTGGCGGCATTGTCAGGAAATGCCGTGCATACCATGACGAGCACGATTGTGGCAGAAAAGATGTGCTCCCCGTCCATGTAGCCATATGTTGCTAAAGACAGCAAGTTAGAAAGTCCGTGGTCAACGAACAGAAGCAAAGGGAGACATTTGTTTCTATAACTTACCCACCAAATCTCGTTGTGCCACAATGGCCATCATATTGATAACATCCTGCGCCGCTCCAATGCACATGTCAATAACTCTCACCGTCGTCTGCGAGAGCCCTTCTTTCCAGTCGCGCTCCTTCTCAGCCGGACCATCGCCGCTCCGAATCGCCTTCAAACGCTTCTGAACCACATGAAATAGCAGCGGCCGTACAGTCATGTTGATGCACTGATAGTAATGTGCAAATGCACCAACACTCTCGCGACTGAAAGTTAGCTGTGCAGGGTCGAAACGCAACTCATCGGGCAATTCGCGGTTCCATTTTGAAAGAGAAAAAATGATACTCTGGACTGACGCCATGAGGCTCTTGCCGGATTTTGGTGCAGATTTGTTTGATCTACGGTATATCGTCATGTGGATCTGGCCAAGAATGCGAGACAGCTCGGTGTAATGTCGCAGCACCACGGCGGGACAATACTCGGCATCCCCTGGGAGTCTCGAGGGCATGTCTACTCCGATGTCCTCATCCTGAATAGTGATGGGATTACCGGACTTGACGCACAGAATTCTGTCCAGGCTGTAGATAGACCACCAGACTCGACGACGATGCTCTCTCTCCGCCTTGTCCAAAACCGGACCTTGCTGTGAGCTGTAGTGAGGGCTCACTTCTTGATGCAGGCCAAGCGAGATGGCCATCCGCAAAGCTTTGCCAATATACTGGAACGCAGCATCTCGTCGATTCATGTTTTGCATGAAATAACCTGCAAGCGCCAAAGTCTCAACGCATAGAATAGACCCTTCTTCATGGGTCTCGGGAAGCAAGTTCAGCGCATCTCTAAAGTAATCGAACCCGGGAGGCCCTCGAAAGTCTACCCACTGATTCACCGAGTACAGTTGCCCAAATGCAAGAATAAGAAGCACCTTGGCGTATTCCAAGCACGCCGTCTTATCGGAGGGATCTGGCAATCCGCTATAAGCTTCAACAAGCAAGCGCTCAAACGAGTCCCTCGGATCGGTAAAGGCAAAAATGGTGCCGATATACATGTACTGTGCTGAAAAGAGCCGTCGTGCCATGTCAATAGGCGGCAGACGCGAGCGAATGCTGAACACGACTTGTCGCCGTGAAGGCAAAGCGTCAGGCTCATAGAAATTGTTCACCAAGTCGAGACTCCCATCATCACCCTGGAAGCCAGACAACTTTCTCACATTGCGAAGGAAGTTGTCTGCTGACGCAGGGCCCTGGAAACCTGGAAGAAGGTTAGATGTTAGAAGATTTCAGATCATGGAATATTGTAAGAGCTGCTCACTTGTGGAAGGGTTGTCTAGACTCAGTTGAGTAAAGGGCTCAAGTAGAGGCTGCTCATCTTCAAAGTCGTCGTCTTCATCATTGGAATTGCGGTGGCGGATCGTGGTAGTCGAGCCACTGGGCTGCATGCCTGCATAAAATGTCTTGTTAACAATATCCATCTTTTTGAGAGCTTGCATCAAATAAAAAGAAGCATATGTGGACTTACTGTCTAAGGCTTTTGCTTTCGCTTCGAGCTCTCGCAAATAACTATTTGACCAGAATTAATCTTCCTTTGATGCAGATAATGAGGTATCAATCAGACATACGATTCATTAACCAGAATCTTCCGCGCTCCTTCATAAACACATTTTAATCGAGAATCACGACATCTCGAGCATGTAGGCTTTTCCTTGGAGCAGTATGAGCGTCGCTGGCGACAGTTCAGACAACTAAATGAGAAGAATGCGAAATGAGTATATATCCCAAGTATGCATGCCGAGAAAAAGAGTCCACTCACGCAACTGGTCTTGAAGTAAACTGCTCCGCAACTTGCCCAGGTGAATCCTCTGGAGTTTCCATCGTATGACAAAATCTTTAAAGTCTATGAAATTGCAACACGAGTATCACCACTCGTAAATCTGCTTGACTCGGACGATCGCTGCGAGATGTGGGCCATCGAGGAGAACAAGGCCCTGTCGTCTTGCTGTATTTGACTCTTCCAGACCGAAGCGAGCTCCAGCATAAGAGCCTCAGCCTGATCGCGAGCCCGCTGATCGCAAAGGCCTCCGAAAACGCGACGGGCTTCTATCCCGAGATAGACGCAGACATCAATGATGGAAATCTGCCTACCCCAACTTCCTTCGCGCACACAGATAGAGAGCCAGCCGCACTCAGCCGCAGTCCCAGGTATCACAATCACCAGCCAAATGATAAGCCTCGTCGACAGGGCTGGATTCCCGGCAAAGGTGAGCCTTGCCTTGTTTCGTTCGGCAAAATCCAGTGTCACCTGCGTCGGGAAATCCAGCGTCATCTGCGTCGGGAATCGACCCCGACAAGACTCCTCATCTGCAGCGCACATTAACCTCTTCTTGGTTTAGACCAGCTCTGGCGATTCATTCCGGGGCTGCGACTCCATCTCGGGGACCCACACCGGCTGCCCACCGGATTTTGTACTTGCGCACTCGCGAATCAACGACCTTGGATGTTGCGTCTGGGGGAGCGCGGAGGAGATTCCGACATGCGGAGATGGAATGTGAGATCCAGCAGAGAGATGGAGACAAATTCAAAGTGTTGTGCACGCTCTCAACTTTGCCTCCTCATCTTCTTGGCAGAGAGAGAGAGAGCGAGCTTTGATATAAAGGACTAGCTGCTTGCTGCTCTGCTGTTGGACTTAATCAACCACAACACCCAATATACCCAACCATGGCCATCAAATCACTCCGTATCCGAGTCTCAATCGACAGAGGCGGCACCTTTACTGATGTCCACGCCTCAATCCCCGGCAGAGACGACATCATCCTCAAGCTCTTATCCGTTGATCCCGCCAACTACCAAGATGCCCCAACAGAAGGCATCCGGAGGATCCTGGAGCTGGTGACGGGAGAGCAGCTGCCGCGAGGCCAGCCCCTCGACCTCTTCCACTTTGAGTCCATCCGCATGGGAACCACCGTCGCCACAAATGCCCTTCTAGAGCGCAAAGGCGAAAAGGTCGCCCTCGTCACCACAAGGGGCTTCCGCGACCTTTTGGCCATCGGAAACCAGTCGCGACCGCAGATTTTCGATCTGTCAGTGTCACGACCAGAAGTTCTCTACGATCATGTAGTAGAGGTAGATGAGCGCGTCACTATGGAGGACTACACAGAAGACCCGGACTCCGTCAAAACCACCCCCACAGCCCAAGATTCACAGCTTGTTGCCGCAGTCACCGGCGAGACTATTCGGATCCTGCAAGAGCCTGATCTCACTGTGATCCACAAACAGCTGGCAGAGGTATGGAGCCAGGGCTTCCGCTCCATCGCCGTAGTCTTCATCCACTCATATGCCTACCCCAACCATGAGCTTCTCGTCGGCAAGCTCGCTTTGGAGATGGGCTTTTCCGTCACCTTGTCATCAGAACTCCAGCCTATGATCAACGTGGTGCCACGAGGAACGTCTGCCATTGCAGACGCCTACCTCACTCCTATCATCAGAAAATACATTAGTTCCATCGAGGCAAACTTCCGCGGCGGATTCTCTTCTGCAGACACCAGAATCGAGTTCATGCAGTCAGACGGAGGCTTAGCGGATTACCGCAAATTCAGCGGCCTCAAGGCCATCCTCTCAGGCCCTGCGGGCGGTGTTGTTGGCTACGCCCAAACGTCGTGGGACGAGGAGGAGAAGCGGCCCATCATCGGCTTCGATATGGGCGGCACATCGACAGACGTGTCCCGGTATGCAGGTGTCTATGACCACGTCTTCGAAACCACCACAGCTGGCATCTCTATTCAGTCCCCGCAGCTCGACATCCACACAGTCGCCGCAGGAGGCGGTTCTATCCTCTCCTGGAGAAACGGCCTCTTCAACGTGGGCCCCGAGTCTGCATCTGCTCATCCCGGCCCAGCCTGTTACCGCAAAGGCGGCCCATTGACCATCACAGACGCAAACCTGTTCCTGGGCAGAATCTTACCAGAGTACTTTCCCAAAGTATTCGGCCCCAAAGAGAATGAGCCGTTGAATCGCGAAATCGTCGAGCTCAAGTTTACCGAGCTCACAAATGAGATCAACAAGGACAGAAAGGCCTCTGGGCTCTCCCTGTTCTCGTCGGAAGAGGTGGCCCTCGGATTCCTGAAAGTTGCCAACGAGGGCATGGCGGGACCTATTCGTGCTCTTACAGAGGCTCGTGGCTACGATGCCGCAGACCATCATCTTGCCTGCTTTGGTGGTGCCGGCGGACAGCATGCTTGTGCGGTAGCCAACGTCCTGGGCATTTCTCGAATCATCATGCACAAGTACTCTTCCATCTTGTCTGCATACGGCATCTCATTGGCAGATGTCGTTCACGAGACGCAACGCCCAGCCGCGATAGTCTATAGCTCAGAGACAGAGAGCGAAATCCGATCTCAGCTCGAGGGTCTAGCCCGGCAGGCAACAGATGCACTCGTGAGCCAGGGATTTTCAGTGCAACAAATCACACACAATTCTTACCTCAGCATGAGATACGCCGGTTCAAATAGCTCTCTCATGATCCTCAAGGGCCAAGATTGGGATTTCAAGCGGGAGTTTGAAGATGCTCACAAGCGCAGCTTTGGATTCCACTTCCCCGAGAAGGATATTATTGTGGACGACATCCGCATCCGAGCTGTCGGCGGAACCGGCGCAAAACAGACTAAGACTCCGTTTGCTCAGATGAACAAGATTCAGAGCCTCCGTCTCCCTTCACCCAGCGCAGATGGATCAAATCCAGTATACTTCGAAGGCGCTGGACGTGTGGACACCCCTATTTACGAACTTCAGAAACTCCCAGAAGCATCTCGAATTGCCGGTCCTGCACTCATCATTGACAACACTCAAACCATTGTCGTTGCTCCCGGAACAACAGCCACGATCCTAGACAGCTACGTCGTCATTGACGGTGCGCTGAACACCAAGGGGTCCAAGACAAACGGCGAACAGGAAGAGTTTAGTCCAATCAAGCTCACAGTCTTTGGCCATAGATTCATGGGCATCGCAGAGCAGATGGGCCGCACGCTGAGGCGAACTGCCGTATCAACCAACATCAAGGAGCGTCTTGATTTCTCATGTGCCATCTTCAGCCCCGACGGTGGCCTCGTCGCAAACGCACCTCACGTGCCTGTCCACCTGGGATCTATGCAGTTCGCAGTCCAATACCAACACCGCCTTTGGGAGGGAAAGCTCCGTGATGGAGATGTGCTCATGTCGAACCACCCTTCTTGTGGTGGCACGCATCTCCCCGACATTACAGTCATCACACCCGTCTTTGATGGAGACAAGCTTGCTTTCTATGTTGCCTCTCGTGGCCACCATGCTGATATCGGCGGTATTCTTCCAGGCTCTATGCCCCCTACCTCGTCAGCTCTCTGGCAGGAAGGTGCAGCTATTCAATCTACCAAGCTTGTCAGCGAGGGCCGTTTCAACGAAGCAGAGGTGGTGAGACTATTACTAGAGGAGCCTGCCCAATACGAAGGCTGCTCAGGCACCCGAAGACTGCAAGACAACATCTCGGACCTCAAAGCCCAAATCGCCGCCAACGCAAAGGGCATCTCGCTGATCAAGGGTCTCATTGAAGAGAATGGCCTGGCTTCTGTACACAGATACATGTATGCCATTCAGCACACCGCAGAAGATGCCGTCCGTGCTTTGTTGAAGGACACGCGCGCCAAGTATGGCTCTGAGCCTCTTGTTGCGACTGATTACATGGATGATGGAACGCCCATCCGTCTGTCTATTAGTATTTCCCCTGATGGATCTGCCGTCTTCGACTTCACGGGTACCGGGCCTCAGGTATTGGGTAACACAAACGCCCCCATGGCCATCACGCACTCTGCCATCATCTACTGCCTGCGTTGTCTGGTATCATCTTCCATCCCCCTCAACCAAGGCTGCCTGTCACCCATCAATATTGTCATCCCGGAAGGCACCATTCTGAACCCCGGAGACGGTCTCGCTGTTGTTGGTGGCAATGTGCTAACATCCCAACGCGTTACCGATGTCGTCCTCCGCGCATTCAACGCCTGTGCTGCCAGTCAAGGTTGCTGTAATAACCTCACATTCGGCACCGGTGGAAAGGATCCCAACACAGGAGAGCATAAAGAGGGCTTTGGTTACTACGAAACCATTGCTGGCGGATCCGGCGCCGGGCCTGATTGGATCGGACAGAGTGGCGTCCACACACACATGACAAACACGAGAATCACCGACCCCGAGGTTTTCGAGAAGAGATATCCGTGTATCTTGCGGCGCTTCGAGCTACGCAAAGGCTCAGGAGGAAAGGGTCGCAACGGAGGCGGCGACGGAACCGTTAGAGAGATTGAATTCCGTGTTCCCGTGCAATGTTCTATCCTCAGCGAAAGAAGATCTCGTCGTCCTTATGGTATGGAGGGCGGAGGCGACGGCGAGGCTGGTCTCAACAGCATCAAGGTTACAGATGCGAAAACAGGGCTGAAGAGAGTCATCAATCTGGGAGCAAAGGCCACCACACGACTCAGCGCTGGAGAGAGCGTCGTGATTGAGTCTCCTGGAGGAGGTGCTTGGGGGCGAATCGAGGCATGAGCAGAAGAATATGTACCAATAATTCATTGCATTGGGTTTGTTAGTATGGCATGATAAACAAGGCTATCATTAGTAGAATCCTGGATGTCGGATATCTGCCAGATATGTAATAGAGTTTCTTTGCTTTTTCGGAGTAACGTGCACTTTTTTTCGTTGGTGGAATAAACTCTCTGCTCTACAGCTAGATCAGATAAGAAAGCCACGAGATGGATCTGCAAACTTGAACCCACTGCTTCCCACAGAATAAACACGAAACGCCAAAATAGAGACGTGGGTAGATCACGATGATCGTTGGGTAGCAATTAAAGGACAGAGAACCCGAGGCAGAGAAGATTTCAAACACCTGTGCCTTACATAATACACCTGCTGAATGTACTCGTATGCACTTATTCATTTTACGGTCTTGCCTTTTCTGCCCTCCGCTTGGGTAGGTAGTTGGAAATGGAGGCAAAAAGTCAGCACTGTGTTAGTGTTGGTACCAGTATTACTCTGCAGCACTAACAGCAATTCGCCAACTCAGGCTAGCCGTCGATAATTTCACGCGAGATCTCGGAGGGGCCCGAAAGCCGCTAGAATGCTGATGATTTGCTCGTACGCGAGGCGGCCCAAGCTCTGCTGTTGAGTTTCAAGAGCAACGTGGTGCGACATGATTGTGTTTGCCGCCCTTGAAAGCATGAGCCAGAAGGGCGAGCTGCATTGTTGTTTTCGGAGCAGATCAAAGCAAAGGATGAGACAAAGAAGAAAAGCAGATGATCGCAGGTGATTCGTTCACGTGCCTCGTATTTTCTAGCCAGGGTGAACAGAATTCATCCTAGACCATCCAAAGATCCGAGTTGAATGCGATGGAACACACAAGAATTGGATCATCTTTTCAGGCTCATTCAGGCACCGTCAAAGCGCTCGCTAAAGTGCTGCACTAAAAAGTTAGCGGCGTGGCCTCTGCCCAGTAATTTTGCCCGCTAGCAAACCAAGTGCCAGGCACCATGCAGGAACAGACTCAATGGCCACCAATCAGCTGCCGGCAGGAAATGAAGGCATTTTAAGGTGCACACCAAAGGAGCGGCCGCAACAACCCCTGATGGGTCTTTTTTCTCTTCAACTTCTGCATCGCATGTACTTGACCATTATGGTTTATATGTAGAGGTACATACAACATCGGCCGCACAAGGGTGCAGCAGCACGTTTGAGCGAGGGCATGACATCGCGACGAGTCAGGCTTTCTTTCTCTCTTCTGCTTGGACCCTGGACAGCCAGGGGGGATGAATCGGTTCTGAACAGTATTGCGGAGGAGGGGCTCGCTTTGGACCGTCGAGCGCAGATCGCTCTGCTCCAGCTAAGAAAGATCTGCCCTGTCAGCCCGTATTTGGATGAATGGAGACGGCAATGTGACCAAGAAGAGGCGGCTGCAGCGGTTGGGCTGGGACAACACGACTTGGAACGATATTTTGCTAGGGATGGCGGTTTTGGTTTGGCGATGCCTGCAGAACTGACATGAGACTGTAATACTAGCTGAGGTGATCAATTCATCTGGGAGGACATGGCGAGGTTAACATGCGGAGTAGGCGGTCAAGATACGAAACGAGAAAGGGAATAAAGAACACACTCGACTCATGGAACTGAAAGGAATCAAATCAAACAAAACAAGAGGTGAAACCGCGGCATCCTCAACCGCATTAACTTTGCCCTCTGCGACAAGCCTGGCAAAAATTTGGGCCCGGCCTCGTACGAAGTACCAAATATGACACACCTTAATTTCATCTGCGTCCAAGCGCGACTAAACCCCAGGTCGTGTCTACCTGCTGATGCCACCATGCCCCCCCGATCCCATCATGTCTCCTCTACCTGCACGGCCATCGATGCCGGCCCCATATTTGTTTGGGTGGCACTTGAGAGCACTATTGGCTGCTTGTCTTGGATCAGTCGCCCTCCAAGCCAGTCCGCCCTGCGATGGCGCCTTAGCTGGGCTGGGCTCGTTTTTCTCAAATCGTTTTGTTTCGCCTCCTCGCTCTTCTTTCTTCTCCTTCTCCTCACCATCTCCTCAAACGTTTCTGCTCGTTTCACAAACTCCATCAACAAAAGACTTCGTTGGCAAAGTCTTGTCCATTCCTTCACTTGACGCATCTCTTGGATATCGATTGTCCATTATTATACGCTCATCACACTCATTTACATCACGCAACAACAACAAACCACATACCACACCATAACCGCTCCCTCCAGCGCATCTCAAGGTTGGCAGCACACACATCGTTCTAGACGGTGTCATTTGCTAACTACTCGCAGTATTTCGAACATTTCGAGTGAATCACTCCAGATATCCATCATCTTGCTTGATTCTACTGCTATACTAGCGCTTCACTTTCACCCATCTCTTCGCGACGCTTAGATAGCCTGTGCGCAGACCACACCAAAACATCAACAAAAACACCAAACCTCGAAGAATCAAGATGAAGTTCTCCATGTTCGCCGTCGCCGTTCTGCCGGCTCTTGCTCTCGCTCAGTCAACCACCACTGAGACGTCGACGACCATCCTCACCAAGACTGTCACTCTCAAGAAGGTCCACACTGTCACTTCTATTTCCACCACCGCTGCTCACAACACCACCACTGCCGCTGCTACCACCTCAGCCAGCCATCAGTCTGTCGGCACTGCTGTCAGCTCGACTGCTTTCCACCCTACAACTGTTGCCACCTCTGGCGCCCCCATCGCTACTGTTACCAAGGGCCCCCAGAACGCTGGCGTTGCTCTTGAGGCTAGCAAGATCGCTCTGGCTGGTGTTGCCGGCATGATCATGGTCGCTTTCTTGTAAACCCCTGCGGCTTTGCAATGTATGGAGTGTGGACATCTAAAGAGGATGATGTGGATTGCTTCTTGATCCACTGAAGCCATCTTGACTTCTTCGCTCGTTTCTTCGTTTTCCTTTGTCAGCTTGAAACAAAAAATCCATTCTTCTGTATGACAATCTACGAATATCTACGACCCGCCGACGACTTGGCAACGTGCTTCCGCTGGAAAGGGACGGGTTCTTTTCGTCCACAAAGGCCTGGCGGTCTAATTCATTTCTCATTTTACCCTTTTTGCCTGTGTTTACGCGCGCCAATGGCGCTGCTGAGCTCACAACCCCTATTGATGATTTACTTCTTGGATATCCTTATTGTCCTCGCTGCCCCTACTCCATCATGAAGCAGACGCTGGCTGCAGGTTATTCCCACCAGTGGAGTTGACTCGCCCTTCAAGCAAAAGTCAGTTGGTGTCTCTTCAGATGGTTGGGGAGCAGCACCCAGTGTGTGCGAGCGCGCTGGCTGGGATCTAACTTCAATTCAATTACCATTTTCACCCCAACTTGTTTCTGTCATCACCTTGCACTAGGCGATTCTTCCATTCAAAAATCTTTGGATCTGATACCATGGGCATACATTCAGCATGCTGATGTACTTCTATTTCACGGGTGAACGGGCACTTTTTCGCTTCTGTTGGTGATACCCCTTTTATATATTGGTGATGAGATGGTCGAGGCTCGGTGAAGTCTGAAGCGATATTTCTCATGCACCGCTTGAGAAGAACTCGCACAGCTGTACTGTTGTTCTCGACTTGATGGCTTGTAGTCTTGGCGTACGTCCTCTGGGGTTTCATTCGGATGCTGGAGTTTTGGGGAGAGGAGGCTTGGTGTTACTGTGAATAAGGAACTACAATACATACACATTGCCGTAGATTGCACTTTTGTGATTTGTTTGCCATCATTTGACTGTGACTGTGAAATGCTTTAGACCTCCAAAACGGCTACTAAATATGGCAAGATATCGGCGCATTCAGGGCACTGATTCGGCGCATTTGGCCGCTCCACCAATTCCACAGAGACAGTAAAAGCCCAGTCTTGAATGCACAACCATTATAAGAGAATCAAAAGCATAATACGCCATATGGCATGAAATTAAAAGTCAAGGTGTCATAATTGCCGACTCAAAAAGGCTTCTTCATGACTGATTAATAAAGAGAAATCCCTATTGGCGCACCCGGGCCAAGTCGCCGGCTTGCGGCGCAACGATGCGGGTCCCATCGGCTCTCCAACTTTTTCTCCAGAGCTCTTCACTAATCAACTAATTCATCTTCCATCACCCACAACTTCACCAGGCGGGATTCTCGGAAGAGCTCTCGCACCCAGAAGCTGCAGCCTCGATACTCTGCATACTCACAATGGCTTCAATAGCTCCATCGCTGCAGCGAGCCCAGGCGCCCATGCGAAGGGCTCTGGCCGCTTCTCCCGCCCTCCGATCGTTCGCCACTCTCCCCGACGCCAGCGAAGCTCCCAAGACCTCCCGACCCCGAACATACTTCAAGGATAAGACTGTTGCGCCCTTCTCCGACTTTGTTGCGACGTCGTCTCCCGCGCAGGCTCTGTCGCCCAGCGATGCGTACGCTCTCAAGACGGCCGAAGTCGGCCCTGCAGGCAAGAAGAGAACCATTACACGACTGCCCGAGTGGCTCAAGACGTCCATCCCCGCGGGCAACGACAACTACAAGAAGATCAAGAGCGATCTGCGCGGCCTAGGTCTGCACACCGTCTGCGAGGAGGCGCGATGTCCCAACATCTCCGAATGCTGGGGCGGCTCCGACAAGAACGCCGCGACGGCCACCATCATGCTCATGGGCGACACATGCACTCGCGGCTGCCGGTTCTGCAGCGTCAAGACGAGCCGTGCTCCTCCTCCTCTGGATCCCCACGAGCCGGAGCACACTGCAGAGGCCCTCGCACGATGGGGTCTTGGATATGTCGTGTTGACGAGCGTGGACCGTGACGACCTCCTCGATGGAGGCGCCCGACACTTTGCGGAGACAATTCGCAAGATTAAGCAGAAGAAGCCTACATTGCTCGTCGAGGCACTGACGGGAGATTTCGGCGGCGACTTGGACATGGTTAAGATTGTGGCGGAGAGCGGGTTGGATGTGTATGCACACAATGTCGAGACTGTGGAGGGCCTGACGCCGTATGTGCGCGATCGCAGAGCCACGTTCCGCCAGAGCTTGAAGGTGTTGAATCACGTCAAGGAAGTGAGGGGCAACGAGGGCATCATCACCAAGACTAGCATTATGCTTGGTCTGGGAGAGCAAGAGCACGAGGTCATGGATGCTCTCAGAGGTACGTCTCTGATTTCAAATCAGAAACCAAGAGAACAAGCACGATATCTAACAAACAACAGAACTACGAAAGGCCAATGTTGACGTCGTTACTTTTGGACAATACATGCGTCCCACCAAACGACACCTCAAGGTCGAAAAGTACGTCACCCCAGATGAGTTCGAGATGTGGCGCCAGCGTGCTCTCGACATGGGCTTCCTCTACTGTGCAAGTGGACCTCTTGTTCGGTCATCCTACAAGGCCGGCGAGGCGTTCATTGAGAACGTTCTCCGAAAGAGAGCTGGTGACAAGGCTGCCGCTATTGCGGGTGAGGGTCTTGGCAAGGCGGTGGCACTTGATGCTACGAAGACGCAGTAAGATACTTATACAAAGAAGAAACAATCATTTGCTTGGGAACAGGGCGTTTTTTGCGAGGACGGATTCCTATTTAGAGGGTTCACGATTCAACGATTGAAATAGCGAGAGTCTTCAACAATGGCTCTTATAGATGCTGTAGAATTATCATGTACCTAGGGGTTTAATATATGAGTATCGTCCCTCTCTGAAAAGAATCATCAACAATGCAATAATGTAAGATGGCTGAGCAAGATAGAGGGGGTATCAGCTCTATTCAAGCAAAATTACTCGTTATCCCATATCCGCTTCAATGCCGTCAACGCAATATACATGGCCTCCTCCGTCCGAATCGTTCTGCTCCCTTGATTCGGCATCACGTCAACCCAGTGATCAAACAACTCCCTCGTTTTCCCACCCTGGATGCCCATCCCGCCAAGCTCCTCATCATTCATCGCCGCGTACTCAATGCCGCGTGGGCCACCAAACACAATGAGAACGTGGTTAAACTGCACACGCTTGCCATATGGAAACTCTTTACCCACGGGAGATCCTCGCTCAGACGTGCCGATGCTGACGTCGTATCCACCCTCGTAGGGAGACTCGGTGAAGACGGCCGAAAGGGAGTTTGCCTGTCGGACGGTGTAGCCCCAGTAGAAGCCGGCTTCCGTGCGAGGCGCATGGGGGTGAACACACTCTGCAGTCTCAGACCCGTCTTCCGAAATCTTGAGCGTGACTCTCGTCTTGGGAGGAATGTCCTCTTTGATCTCGACGGGCTTATCTAGGCCGATTTCTACCAACGTGCCATCGCTCGACTTTGTCATTCCCGCAATGGTAACTCCTTCTCTGTATATCATCGACTCCTTGATATGCGGGTGGTGCGGCGTATCAAGACCAGGTAAGGACGACGTCAATCGCAAGTTGGGATGCAGAGGGAAAAGCGCCTTGCGCATAAACGGCGGCGCTTCAAGATATGACAGCACATGCGTCAAGAAGTGGCACGGGTCTGTATCTCCGGTGTAGACAGATTTATCGGTGTTGTGCGGGCGAGTGTTGACGGGAGAGTCGTCAAAGACAATGACTTCGTCGATGGAGAAGATGGCGAGAGCGCGGGCAATGCGACCCGGCACAGCGATCCGCTGCTCGGCCGTGGCTAGGCTGGAGGCATTCTGTCAGTAAGTCTGTTTTCTGGAACTGAATAGTTCAAAGTGAAAGGGGAATTAAATACATACGTCGCGATTGTGCTGCTGGGGAATGCTACAGAGACAGTCCATTCCCTTCCCTCTGAAGCTTGGAGACTGACGGGGCGGAACGCCTGCTGAGAGTTACCGCCATTGTGGGCAGTTTTTCTCTTCTGTATGCTCAATTAGAATTCAGTTTCGTCTTGGAAATACTCAAGAAATAATACCTTTGCCTCGCGCTCTTGATATGACATGGCGAATGTATTTTTTGTCACTGAAGTATGCAGCTCATATGCCTGTCAAATCTCGGCTCAAAATATTTCGATGGTAGTATTCTGCCGGCAGCTGGTCCACTTTATTTTATACCGCCTACTGCTTCTGTAACTGCATCATCATCGGTCGTCGCTCACCCATTCTGATGCATTCGTTTTCTTACCCTATAGGAGTTGACGTTAGAGCAAGTATGGTAAACCAGATCATGCAAATATCGTGGCCACCGAAAATTCGAGCGGGAGAGAAAATGATATTCCAATGATTGTATTTGTTCATGTCTGTTAAATGTGTCGAGCAACTGATGTATCCTAAGACATCTCTGACATTTTCAGGTTGGGGAATCACGATTTGCTGGACAATTGGTTTTATGGGCAGCCAAAATTCATTTGAAATAGGACCAGCACAAATTCTTGTATAATTCATTCTACGTTAGTGATAATCAACAGCTATCCAGTGGCCACAGTCAGCCTGACATACCAACAAGCACGTCAACGATCAAAGAGTATACTCACATTCCGTCATCGGCCTTGACCGCCTTCTATATAAGGATCAAAATTGGCAGAACGCCCCTCCATCCGCCCCTCCATTGGAAGTTTTGTTCCATCTGGGAAGTACCTCTAGGTATTCCTTTGGCTGGACATTTGGTTTGTAGATGGGGTGTTTTGTCCTTGAATCTTTGTTGTCCTTGGTATAGATAAATTTGTATATATGGAAAAAATTGACTTGTTTTGCATAAGCTTGCGAGTAAAAGATGTACAGTTTTGGTGGTTGGAAATTCTGCATCTCTGACTTTTGGCGCTTGTACTTCAGGAACCAAGCTAGCTCCCTGTCCATCAAACTTCGACGCCGATCCTGCGTTTTATATTCCTCCTAGAACAGTCACAGGATTCTCTCTCGCCCTCTTGCTCAACACCACAGACAATTGTCTTCAGCCGCACATCATGCCTATCAAGGTTGTCCTGGGAGCCCAATGGGGTTTGTCATTGCCTTCCCTTGCTTGGTGCCCCGCGCGGGTTGTAACGCAGGCGTCTCGTCACTAACTGCGTTTCCATAGGCGATGAAGGAGTGCGTCTGACCATCTGATATGTCATATTGAACTGTCAACTGACCTATTAAACGTCAGAAAGGCAAATTAGTTGATATTCTCGCACCCGAAGCTCAACTCTGGTACGTTCTTTACGGGGAAGCAGGTTGTTGTTTGTGTTGTTGTTTTTGTTTCTGGATATGAGTGAGAGCTAACAGAGGGCGAATATGGCAAGGAGTCGAATATTATGCTAGCAATATGGTATCACTCTGGACCATATTTCACCCTCTGTTTATGTTTTTTCTGTATATTCAGGAACTGCATCTTACTCCCTCCTAGCAAGTTCATTTTCACGACCAATAGACGCTGACTTGATGATAGCGCGAGGGCCGCTGTAAGCCAAATACCCTATGCAACGGCGCATACAAAAATACTGAACCGAGATTCCAGGGAGGTCATAATGCAGGTCATTCTATTGTGTGAGTCTGGCACACCGTGCTATTCTGCTACGATTTATGAACTATATCGCTGACTGCCATCGCCACAGCGCCAACGGTGTCTCGTACAGGTATGCAGACACCGAATCAAAGCGCCGGTTGTCGACTAAACGAATAATTGACCTTCAATAGCTTTCACCTGCTCCCTTCCGGTCTCATCAACCCGAACTGGTACGTTGTCGACAATTGCCCACCTTTGACGAGCAGACGCTGACTTGACGGTAGCATGAACTTCATCGGCTCCGATGTGTAAGTCGCTTGAACTCACTTGTCTGAAAGACGAGTTAGTGTTAAGCAAGCATTGAACTTGTACTAACGGCATCCGCCTGCGACAGCGTCTTCCATGTGTGAGTCTCACAAATCCAGTGTTCCGTGCCATCATGCCGCCCAGCTCAACATGCAATCCGCTTGGCGTATCAATGCATAGTTGCAATGCTAACCATTTCTAGCCCTTCGTTCTTCTCAGAGTTGAAGCAGCTTGAAGAGGTAATTATTAATCTGGAAGCTCTCAAGAAATCATTGCTGACATCAGAAATAGAAAGGACTTCCCAATGTCTATGATCGGATCCTCGTGTCTGACAGAGTCAGTGATCCACGCAATGCTCCTGCGCCTGTCATGCACTTGCTAAGTTGTTACACCTAGGTTCATATCAACTTTGACCTTCACGCCGCCGTCGATGGCCTCGAGGAGATCGAGCTAGGAGGTAAGCGATCTATAACCAGTTTTCGTGTTCACGCCTAACTTAATCAGAGCGCAAAATCGGCACCACTGGCCGCGGAATTATAAGTTCACCTTGTTCACATCCTTAACAACATAAGCTAACATTACCGTGAACGGACCCTCATACAGTGTAAGCATTTATTCATAGTATCGTCCGTGAAAGCAGTACGTTTATACTGACAGTGAACTTGATAGACCAAGGCCGCAGTAAGCATTTAAAACCCCAGAGCACCAACTATGTCACTAAACCGGGACTAGAGAAGTGGAATCCGTTTGGCCGACGTCTTCGACCAAGAACTCTTCGAATCAAAACTGCGTCGACTGGCACATGGCTACAAGGCCCGTTACGGCGATCTGCTCAAGTACGATGTCGAGGAAGAGATTGAGAGATTCCGAGGATACCGTACGGAGCTCGCAAAGTATGCCATTGATGGCTTGAGCTTTATGTATTCTGCGTAAGTGACCTTTGGGGCGCGATATCGAGAGAAGCAGAGGAATGGATCCATATACAGGATAGTTCCTTGGTCTTTCAACGAACCTTTCCCCATAAATATGACAAGAAGCTAACCTTTATAGTCAAACGAGCAACATGAACATCATTATCGAGGGTGCAAATGTTCGTCTTCAGCTCCCAGCAAGTTGGTTATTTACTAACCTGACCGGGCTGGTAACCTGCCTATCGTCATGTACTTGAAGCTCTTAAACTCTACGTTAAGGCTTCGGGGTATGACCAGGTGGTTTACTTGTCTTGGTACCAACAGGCCGTAATGCTCGATCTTTCGATGGGATCATACCCCTATGTTACTTCATCCAACACCGCAATTTCTGGCATCATCGCCGGCTTGACGCTCAACCCCAAGAACATTACAGAGACTATCGGCGTGGTAAAAGCCTGTAAGTAATATGAGTATTCAACTGGGCCTTTTAGCCAGTAATCATATCGAAACACCCCCTTACTCCTCACCACCCGCAGTGGTTTGTAGCAGATGCTGATGACTGTAGACACCACGCGTGTTGGCGCGGGCGCTTTCAAGACGGAAGATCTCGAAGAGTACTGTCACCCTATCACTATTCAGCTTTGGAATCGAAGCAGACTGACCATGTGCGCAACAGGGTCGGATCAAAACTCCAGGAGGTGGGCCGAGAATGGGGAACATCTACAGGCCGAAAACGCCGCTGTGGCTGGTAAGCCTCTCTCTATAAAAAAATATTGGGTGCATAGCTAATTGTGTAGGCTCGGTTTGTCAACACCTCGCCCTATTTTCAGTATCAAAATCGGTCGATACTTACTTGGACTTTATAGATCTCGTTGTTGTCAAGCACGGCCACATGGTCAACTACTACACTGCGTTGAATTTGACTAAAGTAAGCCTTGCAAGAACTACTCTAAGGAAATTAAATGTTAACGCTTGACGTAGCTCGATGTACTTGATTCCTTCGAGACAATCAAGATAGCCATTGCGTACAAAGATAAGAGCACAGGCCAGGTAGGAAGCCGTTGCTGTCTGAGGTCTTGAGGCAACGCTGATAGTATTAGGAACTTGACTATTATCCTGCGGACCACAACATACTAGATAACGCCGAAGTCGTTTACCACGAAATGCCTGGGTGGAACAAGCCGACGACCAACGCCCGAACATACGATGAGCTTCCCAAGCAGGCCCAGGACTACATCGAGGTACATCTATTTTCAACCAGAATTGGATCTGATCATATTTACTGACTGTCTGTTTAGTACATTGAGAAGTTTATTGGAGTAAAGGTTGGTTAGCTCCTTTGCCTAAAGTGGCTTCGTTTGCACCGGCTTCAAAGAAGTGTGCACTAACTTTGAGCAGGTAAAATGGATCGGCACCGGTCCTGACCGTGAGGCTATGATCACACGTAACTAAGTGATCCGGTGAGTTGCTTTATATTTGTTACCGTGACGAAGTGGACTTTGGAAGCTTTTCGGCGCATCAAGCGCTTGAAGCTCGTAACCGAAGCACTGTGATCGGTGTATACTCCGTATAGAGAATCGATAGTACGCAACCCAATAGATGAAAGTTTTTCGCTCTTATTATCCCACATACGCTCTAGATAGATTGTATAGCCTATGATAATCGTTGGTAGCTGTAACATGAAACAATGAATGAATTCGACCTCTCATCAACCGTATGGGATATCATGCTGCTGGCTCATGTTAAAAAAATTAGTCATCAAGTTGCCTTATTTGCCCATCCTTTGATGTGTCCAGTGACATTCTTAGAGGACCTAGCGCGCCAAGGTACCTGGAATATTACGCCATAGACCTAGCCGTGGCGCTGTACCACCAATTACTCAGCAAACATCCATTGATCAAGACATTGAGGCGAATGCGCAAGCTGGCCTCGTTCAAAGAACCTTCAGTCACCAACAACAGCAGAGTCGCAACCACAGCAATCAATAGAATCGTCCGGAATCTACGAGCGCATCTTTACAATGAGCGGCCCTATCAACATCGGATCAGACGGCGAGTGGCAGTCGCTGCTGTCGGGAACCACCGTCGTCGTCGCAGATTGTACGGTATCTCGTCCGGTCTTGCGCCAGCCCGACTAACAAAGCATCACAGTCTACGCCGATTGGTGCGGTCCCTGCAAGATGATTGCGCCGCACTTTGAGCGCCTCTCCAAGGAGCACTCGCGCCCGAACAAGGTGGCCTTTGCCAAGGTCAACGTCGACAACCAAGCCAACATCGCCCGCACCCAAGGCGTCACTGCCATGCCCACGTTCAAGATCTTCCACAACGGCACGGCCGTCGAGACCATCCGCGGCGCGAACCCGTCGGCCCTGACCGAAGCCATCACAAAGGCCGTCTCGCTCAGCGACGGTGGCAAAGTCGAGGACGTATTCAAGACTCCCGGCAGGACACTCGGCGGCGAGGGTCCTATCCCCGGCCAGGGCCGTCACTGGAGCGTGACGCTGTTGCTCAACATCATTATGATGTTTGTCGGGCTGTATCTCACGTCTTTATTTTCGGCACGTAACAAGGAAGCGTAGGAAGAGAGAGGTGCGAATTTACTGACTGGCGAGCCAGATTGATTCGTACAAGGCGGCGGAACAGTCCATGTTCAATCCGAAGAGACAGCAGCCACCGTTGAAGCCGGCATCGGCTGGAGGGCCGGCACCAGCAGGAAGCGCCCGGGCGCAACAACAAAAGTCAGCCATTAGGACACTAGCTGATTTGTGATTTGTTATAATGCGATGGAAGTTGAATGGTCGGAGAAGCTGTCTGTGATTCTGTGCGTGAGCGTTCTCTACCTACACTGTGTTAGCTATGCCAGCATACGAGGGACTATGCTGCTATATAATTTAGCGACAGCTATTAGTAGCAACCCATAATCTGATTTTGAAACCGGGAAGGAAAAGACAAATACATGTTTGTTTTAACGACCCCGTTGCAAGCAGCAAAATCCTTTGAGGGCAAAGAGGTCGGCCCGAGTCAGCTATCTAACGTAGTATCGCTCCGTATAATACATAGCCATTCTGGGTACGCCGGCTGATATAGGAAAACCCTAGGCAAAACCCTCTGAGAAAGAAAAAACCTAGGAACGCAAAGAGTACTTGGGGTGGATTCTATTGGAGAGAGGGTTTTTCTTAGGCTTTTCCTATATCAGCCGGCGTACCTAGAATGGCTATCTATTAGGCCTATACGGAGTGATAGAACGTTCTATGAGGAAGAAGCAACATGAGTGGCATTTGATGTCGGGTGTTAATGTCCATCTTGTTAAACTGGTTCAGTGGGCCTAGCGCTGATTGACCTCTCACATGCGAGCTATCTCCAATCATAGCATCACGTGACTGCGACAGCTTGAAAAAGTTCAAGAAACCTTCATCTTTTGAACAAGCAGCAGCTCTTCTCTCGTGCCCAAATTGTGTACAAAAAAAGAAGATGCTGTCATTAAATGGGCTCAAGAATGCTTGCCCAAAGTGCAGCTACACATATCTTTTCACAGCACCAAGGCAGTTTTCTTCAGCATCAGTGCGAAGAACAGCTGCCCCACGCATACAAATTCAGCGAAGCTCTCATCAACTAAGCAGACGATGTTTTTCCTATTCCAGGGTTGCTCTTCATGAGCCAACAGGTGTATCAAGAAGCCAATCCTTGGAGGATATTGAAAAGGTTGTTCGAGAAGCGAAACAGCGCTTTCGAGACACACTTCCGAAGGGCTATCTCAACGATGAGGAGTATGCGCTCTACGAACGGCTTTATGGCCCACCACTTCGTGAGACTGCTCCTGAAGATGTTGGAATTCCAACTCATGCCGATATGGGCGGCCAGTCATCACGAGTGAATGATGAAAGGACGTTGTTGCGGCAATTGGAGGAAGGGGGCTTTGAGGAAGTCACCTACGAACTGCCTTACCAGCAGAGCGATGTTGCGGAGGCAGCTTCAGAGTCTGATCAACCGTTGGCATCTGATTCTGCACTAGACACTATTGAAGAGTCACCAGGATACGTCGATGTTGTGGCGAGAAACCCAAGGGAGCATGATGCATTGCAAAGATTGATGCAAGACTTCAAGGCCGCGCAACAAAAACAAATTGAGGATGAGATTGCAGCAGCGAGGGAAGAAGCCGAAGCAGAGCAGGAAGCATATGAAATGGACGAGGAGGATGAACTATTTGAGGAACCAGACCAGACTACGGATAACCTGGAGAGGGACATGAGCCTGGGCGAGACACGACGATTCCATCCTTTCACTTTGCAGGGCAGATTCCATGGAAGCCCAGTCGAAATTGCACTACCTCAAAGCGCACTCGTTACACCTATTCGGGACCTTTTGGATCGAACTCATTTGAGCCACGTCAAGACGGCCGCCGAAGCAGCCTTTGGCGGGCAAGGACTGCCGACTTCACCATCAACACCGGAAGGAAGAAAAAACGGGCAGATGGGTGGCGTTGGTTTGCCCCCTGATCAGAGACACATGACGGAAATTGAGGCAGATGCGTTCCTAGCTGGTTATCTCCCCCCTGCTTATGCCTCTGTCACCTCAGTCTTGCGAGAAGTGCGGAAGCGGCTAGGCAGTGACTGGATTCAACAACGTCTCAAAAAGAAGGAAAACGCAGGGCTCAGTGTATTGGATGCCGGAGCTGGCGGTGCTGGCCTCGTTGCCTGGGAGCAAATCCTCAATACGGAGTGGGATCTATTAAGAGAAAAGGGCGAGGTAGCAGGTTCGCAGCCCCCAGGGAGGAAAACCGTCATTACTGGATCAGATCGTCTGCGTCACAGACTGAAAAGCTTTCTCCACAACACAACCTTTTTGCCTCGATTGCCAGATTATGAACACTCAGGAGAGATGCAAGGTGAGCATCTCGATGCTGGCAGTAAGCCGCAGCCACGGAAAAGCTATGATCTCATCATCGCTTCTCATCTCTTCCTTAAGGAGAAGCAGGATCATTACCGTCAAGCCATCTTGAACAACCTCTGGACTCTACTCAATAAAGATGGCGGTGTGCTCATCGTTATTGAAAAGGCCCATCCCCGAGGATTTGAAGCTGTCGCCCATGTCAGAGATACGCTTCTGAAGCAGTTTCTCTTGCCTCAAAGCGGCGAGCCCAGTATCCCGACAGAGGAACTGAACCCAGCATTCCACAAGGAGCGAGAAGCTGGTCATATTATTGCACCATGCACCAACCACGGGACGTGCCCTATGTACAAGGAAGCTGGCAAAAGCAAGGGTCGCAAGGATTATTGCTACTTCAACCAGCGATTTACACGGCCCACCTTTTATACCAAGATGCTGGGCAACAGCTCAAACAACCAGGGCGAAGTAGAGTTTAGCTATGTGGCGATACAGCGTGGCCGCTCAAAGAAAGACCAGCTTCCAGGATGGAAGGCCACTGAACTGGCATTTGCCGGATACGAAAACGCCCAGGAAAATCCAGACATGCAGACATTGCCCAGAATGGTCTTGCCGCCATTAAAACGCAAAGGTCACGTCACTCTGGACGTCTGCACGCCTGAAGGCAAGATTGAACGATGGACGGTGCCCAAGAGCTTCAGCAAGCTCGCCTACCACGATGCAAGAAAATCGCACTGGGGCGATCTCTGGGCCCTGGGTGCCAAGACGAAAGTTTCTCGAAGCGTGCGAGTGGGCAGCGGAGTAGATGATGGAGGCAAGCGAGCCGAAGGTGGCAAGAAGCCTCGCAAGGTCGAGATTACAATGGACGGAGGCCGTCTGTCGGCAAACGAGAAGAATGCGCGCAAGGAACGCCGGACCAAGGGCAAGCGGGCTAAGCAAACCGACCTGATTAAGGAGATTTTGGAGATGGAGGACCTGGAAGAGCAAGAGATTGAGAAGGAGATGGACTCAGAGGTGGAGGAAGAGCTGAGGTTGGAAGAGGAAGACAAGCGGAGGAAGAGGTGATGGATAAGATGAAAGTGTATGGTTATAAAGGCACATTGTATAACATGGATGGGACCAAACTGTATAATAGTCTGAGCATTGTCACGGAGATTTTATGAGACATTTATGGATTACAGAACAATTGACTGGGCAGATCGCGTCTTTTACCATCACAAGCTTTGCAGATCAAATTAGTCTGCCAACTTGAGCTGATCATTAGCAGCGGCCATCTTCATCTCAACTCCACTGTTATTTTTGGGCTGGCGGGGGGACCCTGAGCTGGAATAGGGAATTAAGCGTGCCGATTAGGCATAGTGGGAGCCAAGCTTGCCAAGGTCAGGGACCGACCCGCGCATGGGCTGAAACAAGCAACTGAGCAATCCATGCTGTAATGGACTGGATTGATCCTGCAAACGCTGTAATAAACTGATGCGAAGATTTACTGCCTGTATTCCTGCAGATAATATTACACATCAATAACACATACATGCAGCCTCATTCAATAGTTGGGAAAAAAGAATTAAGAATAACCGCGCTGTTTAGGCTAGTTTCAGACAAACTATAATTCATTCGTCGGGACACGAAAGGGATATATATAAATAGCCTGGACTAGATACGAGTCCTAGATTGATTCCCCATCTGGAAGCTCGCGCGCCGTTCAGGAGAGGGGGGGCGAGCTTGAGTCGAAGGGGGCCTGGAATTCGAAATTGACCATGGAACTAGTATCAGCAATGCAGCGCTCCAAGCGAAATCGGGGAGTTGGCAGGCACAGATGTGTCTGTCTATTCCTGGTTTATATGTAGGGAGTCATGCGGAAGAACGCTTGAGGTAGAGTTGTTTAGTTGTTTAAAACTCTATTCTACCTTGTAACTATTTTGTGCTTCCTCTCGTCTCATGCCTTTTGCTTCATACAGCGTTGAAGGGGGTCGGTTTGGAATAGCGTGCTAATAGGCGTGTCTCTCATTCTGTCTCATCAATTTCCACCAATTTTTTATCCTTCGAATACGAGGACTGGCATCTTCTTTTTTTTTTTTTTTTTTCATGTCCCATCTTATCTAGGCTTGGTTGGTTGGGGGAAAGTCGCGCCTCGCGCAAAACCTCTGTATCACAATGTTTCCCGGCCGCCCACGAATTGTCCGCAATGGCATCCTCTTGATGGCCGCCATCCTGACATTATGGCATCTCCAGCTCCTGCCCCGGACGGCATCAACGGCATCACCAGAATGGGTCAAGCTTGAGCGCTTCATGAACCACAACGCGTCTTCCAGTCGGTATCCCGAGCCCAAGTCCAGCTTCGACTGGAGCAGCATCAAATTCCGCTATCCTCCTCACAACTCCACACGGCTGCCAGCTCAGGGCAAACCTCTCCCCCAGATTCAGCACCATTTTTCGGGAGTCGAATCAGCAGCTGCCGCTAAGCAGCGGAAGCAGAGGCTGCTCGAGGTAAAGAAGGTCTTTCTGCGGGCGTGGCAAGGATACAAGAAATTCGCCTGGAAACAGGATGCCCTGCTTCCCATTAGCGGCGGTGGGAGAGAGCAGTTCTCGGGCTGGGCAGCGACGCTCGTGGATGCCCTGGACACGCTTTGGATCATGGGCCTGCGGGATGAGTTTGACGAGGCGGTGGCGGCGGTGGCAGAGATTGATTTCGGGTCCTCGACAAGCAACCGCATCAATATTTTTGAGACAAACATTCGCTATCTGGGCGGCTTGCTGGCGGCGTACGATCTAAGTGGAAGGAAAGTGTTGCTGAAGAAGGCCGTTGAGCTGGGAGATCTCATCTACGCTGGATTCAACACCAAGAACGGCATGCCCGTCGACTTTCTCAACTTTCACTCGGCTAAATCGGGAGAGGGCCTGATGGTCGAAGGCTCAGTTGTATCTGCTTCACCGGGAACACTCTCTCTAGAGCTGGCGCACCTGTCCCAGGTCACAGGAGACCCGAAATATTACAGCGCCGTGTCGCAGGTCATGGATGTGTTTTACGAGGGCCAGAGCCAGACCAGCGTTCCGGGGGTTTGGCCGATGAGCGTCAGCATGCTGTCCAAGGATGTAGTCCACGGCGGCACCTATACACTTGGCGGCTGTGCTGACTCTCTGTACGAGTATCTACCCAAGATGCATCAGCTGCTACGAGGCGGCGAGCCCAAGTATGAAATCATGTCCAAGACGTTTCTCAAGACTGCGGATAAACATTTTTTGTTCCGTCCAATGCTACCAAAGGAAGACGACATCCTCATGTCTGGCAACATCAATGTCGATGAAAAGGGCAATCCAGTGTTGGACCCAGAAACGGAGCATCTGACCTGTTTCGTAGGGGGAATGTTTGGCCTGGCAGGCAAACTCTTCAACAACGCAGACGACGTCGAAACAGGCATCAAACTGACCAACGGCTGCATCTACGCATACCGCGCCTTTCCCACGGGCATGATGCCCGAGAGAATCGACCTGGCGCCATGCAAAGACCGCTCTCACTGCCCCTGGGACGAAGATTACTGGCTGCAGGAGCGCGACAGGCGGCCTGAATGGAAGACGCATCTGCCCAAGGGCTTCACCACCGCCAAGGACCCGCGATATCTCCTTAGGCCGGAGGCCATCGAGAGCGTGTTCTACGCATACCGAATAACAGGACGGCGAGGATTCCAAGACGCTGCGTGGGACATGTTTACGGCCATTGCGAAGGGGACGCAGACGGCGTATGCGAATGCAGCGGTGCTGGATGTAACGATTGCGGATGGAAAACTGCCGTTGGAGGACTATATGGAGGTGAGCCATGCTCTTTCTGTCATTTCTCTTGTCTTTATACTAACCGTGATCCTTGGTGTAGAGTTTCTGGCTCGCCGAGACGTTGAAATACTTTTACCTCGTGTTTACGACGCCCGACATCATCAGCTTGGACGACTATGTCTTGAATACCGAGGCCCATCCATTCAAGCTTACGAAATGAATGAGTAAGCATATCTACGAGTACAGTACAGTACAGTAGAGAAGCGTAGCCAATCACGAGCTGAGGACGGTCAAGGGATTACATCACAGCGATGAGACAGCCTGGTACTCTGTATCCAGATTATTCTGCCACACAAACAGGGATCAGAAAAGCTAAACGTGCGGTTCTCTAGACCAGCGTGTTGCTTCATGTTTTGGACCAGTAGAGTAATGATCAGCAGCAGCATTTGCTCAAGCTTCTAGACTAGATGAGAGGATGGTTGAGTTATGTCAGTTTAGGTGGCGATGTATACTAGCCGAACTAGGTAGGTCTGTATTAACATTTGTGCGGTCCCCAATGGCGGCGTGCTGCCTCGAAAGGAAACTCTATCAATGTCGGCCATGGAAATTCTTCTCCATTGAGCGATGATACGCATGCATACGGAAGGCTCTCCGTACGCCAATCGCGAGCCCACGATGGCGAGACGCATAGATCGAATCCAGCATCGGAAGAATGGGTAGTTGGGACTGTTTTGGAAACAAGGGCCTACTAGGTACTAGGTAGTAAGTAGGCAAACGCAGAAAGCAGCAAGCAAGCCGCTTGTACCCATCCGTGCCGGTTGTAGATGCAGATGTAGATTGTAGATGCCGGCTTACGGTAAAAGGACGAGATGTCATGCGGAAGCTCCTCCGCTCACCAATCACGCGCAGGCGACACGGGAGATGGGCTTCCAGCCAAGCCAGCCTACGGAAGACCTTTAGCTTGATGCTTTTCAACAACACCGTCGAACGACACACACACCGAGCCCGGCTCCTATGATGGCTGATTGACTTCCAGTCGATCTGATCGGCACACGGCATACTCTCCGAACGTAATGCTAGTACATACGCCAATGACGATGGGCAGCATACAAGTACCGTTGTGAAGGAATGTGATTGGGGTGTGGAGGTTCTCCGAATCTCTCCAGCGTGGAGATGACGTATGTACCAAAGCCAGATCGCCGCGCACGCGTCCTTTCTTCTTTCTCTTTTTTCTTTTTTTTTTTTTTTTCTCTTTTTTTTTCCCCTTTAATTGGGCTTTTGAAGAACTTCCAATGGCACCAGCAGACGCCCTTTCACAAGTTCCTGCACGGATACAGTTTCCATCTATAAGGTACCTAACTGGATACGAGTACATACCATGCCGTGTGCAAACGTCTACCGCGTTCTCATTATGCTATCAGAATAAAAGAATCCCCTCCGGCGCCCGGAGCAGCTCCGCAGAACGCGAGCAAGTGGCGAAGACTCCGCCATGCGCGTGCCTGGAAAACGAAAAGCCAGATACTGCCTCGACAACGATGATCCCGCACGGGCTGACGTCAAAGGCAGCGCCTGCCTTGGATGCCATTATTCGGAAACAGTCACACAGTGTGGGCATTGCCGGGACCCCAAAGTTTCGGCGGCCGGAGCTTCTGGTCCGGACTGTGTCGCGAGCCGCCAACGCGCCACACGAGTTTTCTCTTGTCGGCCGTTTCTGCGCACATCATCTCGAGCGGCACGCAGGCGGAAAGTCAAAAATCGCAAGCCATTGGCCAATCAGCGCGGATCACGGCCAACTTTGGCACACGATGGGCCAAGTGGCGTTGGTTTTGTCTGTGGCGGTGCATGTGCGTCTCCCTCTGGGGCGCTTTAACAGCCGTGATGTCGCGAATCCTGATTGCTGCCAGCCACGCTGCTATCCGCTGCCATCCGCCCAAGTACTCGCTGGAAAGAAATCATGCCTGCCAGACCTGCGGGTTTGCTTCTCAGATAAAATGAAGCCGCCGCATTGAACGGCATGGCGAGTAGTAGTTGCAACTGTCGTTTAGAAACCCGTCCGTCTCACCTCCCATCCATCGAGATACTCGCATAGGTACCAAACACACAGCGGCGGCAGAAGCAGAAGCAAGTAGCTCCAGATGAAAAGCCCCGCCGGTTCCTGATCAAGGCGAAGCTAGTTTTCCCAGAACAACTAGAATTGGAGCGTTGACGAAGGCGATATGACGAATTGGTCCCCCCCCATACCTTAACATGCAGCCTGCTCCAGCTTAGTACCTACATATAGTAAGATATAGTAAGTCAGTACCTCTTATGCTAGGCCGTACTGTGCTACAATTAGAGCTTGGCCATCCGGAAAGACGATACAGCTGTTATTCAATTCCCCATCCAAGATCTCCAAACCAATATATAAGCATCGCCACTTACAGCTCGTCTTGGACGGCCCTCCCCCCATTCTTGCCACACCATTCATTATTTCTGTCACGCAGGTTACAAGTTACATATCTTAGTACACATCAATTCGAACAAACCATTACCAGTACGCTGCACACTCTCATTTCTTTCCAAGCTTTTTGCTCTTTGGATCCTACGTGTGCACGCGTGTATATCTGCTTGCTCAGTGTAATAACACTACCTACTAATTCAAGGCCAACCAACGTACTCCTTGAAAGAGAGTCGATCCAACGGCGTCTTACCAGCCGGATCTGGACCACACTCTTTTGGACTAACACGTCTACACAACCACATGAACTCCAAATCTACCATGGCGGCAACACTCATCGATCCGCAGCTCGAGCTGATGGATCAGGGCATCGCCATCGAAGGCATGCAATGCCAATATCCCCTTCCTACCTCGGCTTTTGAACCGTGGGGTTCCATGTTCGAATCAATGGGCGAATTCCCACGGTCCGCACAAGAGGAGGGCATGATGGACTCGGACTTGCACAGCGACGAATCGTCTTCCGTGTCCTTGTCCCTGTCGCGCTCCCTCGGGGCCGATCAGGACTTGCTATTCCCATTGTCCCCGCCGGAGGGCATTGCCAATGTGGACGAGTCGCCCGGAAATACCTCCATCTCCGCGGGACTCTCCGAGGCTGGCACCAACGCAGACAAGAAGACATCGACGGCCACCAAGGCCAAAAGGACACGCCGGCGCCGCAGCGAGGTGGAAAAGAAGGAACAGATTAAGCAGCGGAACAGGGTGGCGGCTTCAAAGTGCCGGCAGAAGAAGAAGGAAAAGGTGGATGAGCTCAAGGAGATCAAGTCGAGCCTCGAGGCGCGCAACAAAGACCTCCTCATGGAGTACCGGCGTCTTCGCCAGGAGGTTGGCCAGGTCAAGAGCCACCTGATACACCACACCGAGTGCAACGATCCCAACATTGACAGCTGGGTCGAGAACGAGGCCAAGGGCTACGTGCAGAAGCTGCTACACAACGACAACGAGCAGCGCATAGGGAGCATCGGCAGCGCCGACGGTTTTGCCGGCGCGATGCACATGCGCTCCGTCCCTGGGGCTGGAGATCCGTACATGGGGTTGGGTTGAAGCTGATAACGATACTCTTCGCTGCCTGCTTCAATCTCGCACCTCTTGTTAGACGATCTAACGGGCTTTCCTATTATCTCCCCCTCCTTCCTTTTCTCTATACGATGGCGAATCTCTTAACGGCATATATAAATCGACGGGGAGTTAAAAAGGACATTTGCATTTTCTCCCCATTAATGCCTTTTTTTTCATGTTAATTTTTTTTTCTTTTTTTTTTTAATATCATTTTCTCATGAAATCACAAAGGATACCCAACGCTTCTTTATCCCTTCTATTGATGGAAAAGTCGAGAAGGAGAAGCACTCAAAAAGGCCGGGATGGCGGCTTCATAAGCATATAAGATGATAACACGGAACCGTTCTTGGAAACCGTTCTCATGAGGACGTGTTTTTTGGTTCTTTTTTAAAATCCCCCCACAAACAGAAAAATGAAGGATTGTACAAGGGTGAAATTCGACATACCATTCACAACTCTTATATAGTACTGAGAGCCGTAGAGACCTAATTTGAGCCACAAGCTCATCATACCTTGATATTCTTGTCTTTTTTATGCGAACCGAAGCGAAGGTGACTAGGAATTTCCCCGCAAAATGATTTATTTTTGACCAAAGACGGACAGATCTAGAGAAACGCCTCGGAGATGTTCAGTTCATCACAGCTCATAATCCGGTCAGACCTGCCGGCTCATCTATCAGTCTGATAAGAAGCAGATTTGAACAAAACCTCGGAGATGCTCATCGTGTCGACACTCACAACGAATTGCAATCGATCCGATTCACCAGATAAGCAGCATTTTCATGAGCATCGCCTCGGAGATGTTTCATCTGCCTTGTGATATTATAGCTGCTCACATTCTAATCAGTGCTGATAAGGCCTGGTCTTATCAGTCCGATAGCGGCCCCACATGGGGAAAATGGCGTCAACTTGGTGGCAGATTGATCATTTCTGCAGAGCAACCAAGAGCCCCAGTCCAACCCACGAAAAGCTGGCCAAAGGTGTAATAGAGCTGAGCGGATTGGACTGGACTGGGCTTGACTAATTGTAATCTAGTCAGACAGAAAAAGCTCTCGTTCGGCCGTTCGGCGTTGGGGGCGTCGGGCTGTCGGGAGGGAACATGACTGGTGAGATTTTGTTCAATGTGGATAAAACGATTCCATTCAGACGATATTTAATAATACTCAAGTAAGAGCAGAGTAAATATCACTCTTTTTGCTTCAAGTTTTGTGAAATACATGGCAATATTCCGTCTCAAAAGAACGTTCGAGTGGTGATAACCTTCAAAATCTTGCTCCAACATCCCCCCCGGATCTCGGGCCTCCCGACATCCCGCCATATATCAAAAAATGGCTACCTCCTCACCTTCACTCACCAGCAGCAGCAATAGCAACACATTGCTCGCCGGCCTCAATTGCACAGGCAACATCCATCTCGTCATTGGCACAAACCCGCTGGCCGCAGCTCGATGCGCGCAATCTCTAGGCGCCGGGGCGCATCCCATCGTCGTTGCGCCAGAGACGGCTGAGCTGCACTACGGCCTGCAGCAAAAGATTGACGACGGCAGCGTCAAGTGGGTGCGCGAGGAGTTTGAAGATGAGCATCTGTTTCGACTGGGCAGAGAAGAGGTTGGACGAGTTGTCGATGCCGTGTTTGTGACGGCGGGGGCATCACGAGACGAACTCGGTGCGTTTTTACTCTTTCTCTCTTCAACTATCCATCACATAATACCCAATAACTAACACACATCTCCAAAGCATCACACATCTCTTCCCTCTGCAAGCGCAACCGCATCCCCATCAACGTCGTCGACGCCCCCCATCTCTGCACCTTCTCCCTCCTCTCCGTCCACTCCGACGGCCCTCTCCAAATCGGCGTCACCACAAACGGCCGCGGCTGCAAGCTCGCCTCCCGCATCCGCCGCGAGATCGCCTCCTCTCTACCTCCCAACCTCGGCGCCGCATGTCATCGTTTCGGCGAGGCGAGGCGGCGCATCCAGCAGCACGACGAGGGGGGAAGCCTCGGTGATCTTGATGATTCCGTTGATCAGAGCGCGCTGTTCAACAAGCTCGTCACTGAGGAGGACGATGCCCGGCGGAACAGGAGGATGCGCTGGCTCAGCCAGGTCTGCGAGTACTGGCCCCTGAAGAAGCTCGCCTCCGTCACCGACGACGACGTCCATCGTCTTCTCGAAGCCTACGCCAGCAGTAGCGCCGTAGAGTCAGACCTCGCAAAGCGCAGGCCGAGAGACGGCGACTTCGACGACAACGCCGGTCTTGAGCGGCCGCAGGGCAAAATCATCCTCGCCGGCAGCGGGCCGGGTCACCCAGACCTGCTCACCCGCGCAACCTACAACGCCATCCAGACCGCCGACCTGATCCTCGCCGACAAGCTCGTGCCCTCGGGCGTGCTCGACCTCATCCCGCGCCGCACTCCCGTCGAGATCGCCCGCAAGTTCCCCGGCAACGCAGAGCAGGCCCAGGACGAGCTCCTCGCCGCCGCCCTCAAGCACGCCAGGGCGGGAAAGACGGTCCTTCGCCTCAAGCAGGGCGACCCCTTCATCTACGGCCGCGGCGGCGAGGAGCTCGCCTACTTCCGCCAGCACGGCTTCGCGGCCGCCGGCGCCGTCACGGTCCTTCCCGGCGTCACCAGCGCCCTCAGCGCGCCCCTTTTCGCTGCCATACCTGCTACCCAGCGAGATGTCGCCGACCAGGTCCTCATCTGCACCGGCACGGGGAAGAAGGGCAAGGCCCCCTCGCCGCCTGAGTACGTTGCCTCGCGGACAGTCGTCTTCCTCATGGCGCTGCACCGCATCGTCGGCCTAGTGCGCGAACTCACCACCGCCGTCGAAGCAGACCAAGACAACAAAACCCCCGAACCCAGCAACACCACAATTCCGTCGTTGTCGTCGTCATCAAGGACCCTCTGGCCCCTCTCCACCCCCTGCGCCGTCATCGAGCGCGCAAGTTGCCCCGACCAGCGCGTCATCCGCACCACCCTCGCCCACGTCGCCGAGGCCATCGAAGCAGAGGGCAGCCGCCCGCCGGGCCTCCTCGTCGTGGGCCGCTCATGCGAGTTCCTGCACCCCAGGGAGCGAGGCAGGGCGTGGGTCGTCGAGGAAGGGTTCAGGGGCCTGGACGACGAAGGGATGCTGCTGCCCGCGCAACTCCAGGGGCTGGCGGCGCCTGTGGGAGCGTAAGCATTGGATGATGTTTGGAAGGGGGGTTGGGTTTGGTGAGCAAGGGGTGACAAACAGGGTGAACGGCGTTTGAACGGTGTTTTCTTGGCCTTTCTTTTTCTGGGGGGAGTTTTAAACATTTGGTGAATAGGGAGTTATTATTATGTGTACATTACCCAAGGGTGAATTGGGAAAAGCATGGCAGGCAATTCTTTATTGTATATCAATGACTATTTCAATAAAGAGTCTTAGTTTATCGCAAAAGAACAAATGAAAATTCTATAGCATCTCCAAGTATAATATTACAAAACTCATATGGGATGGGAGTCACACGACATACACACATGCATAGTCATGAACACAAAAAGAGTGAAAGAGAGAAGAATTAACAAAAAAAGAAAAATAAATGTCAGTCCAATTTCCCCAGATGCTATGCTATGGAACAAAAAAACACAACCGTCTTGCGCCGTTTCATCTTGTAAAAAAGAAAAAAGAGTATAGAGAAGTGATGCAGATTCTATACAACGTCTGATACATCCCTCTTCGTAAATGCTATAATCTCCGCGTCGCAGATTTAATAAAATATATACACGTCGAATGGCAAAAAAAAAACCCCGTGCTCCTTCGCCGGCTAGCGCCTCGATTCCCCTTCCCATCTAGTATAGTATAGAAAGATTCTTTTGCAAACATCGTTTCATAATACCCAGATAAAGATAATAGATGGCGTTTATATATATGCGCACATCACCAAGTGAAGCTCTCTTCAATGAAATCGACGACAGTGTGGCCTTGCACCGATCGGACGGCGCCGCGCACGTCGTCTGCCAAAGCACCAGGCCCGCAGACGGTGACGACCATGGCGCCGACCTGCTCCTGAACTTCCTTGGCCAGCAATAGCGGCACGTTGGGACGTCCGGGGAACATCTTGACCGTTGAGCTGGAGCTGGCAATGTCGCGGGGGTTTTGGGGTCGCGTCACAAAGACTTGGATGCGAAGGATGTCTTTGCGGTTCGGGATTCGCAAGATCTGGTCCATGAATGGGCGCACCCACTCGAGGGATTCATACTCCCGGATAATCCAGACAAGCGTTACTCGCCGAGTCGCGACTGTGCCCTCGTTGTAGCCGTTTAGCAGATGTCGGATGTAGGAAATCTGATGCGTGATGCCAGTGGAGCCGGCGAACAGGACGGCATGGCCATACGAGTCGAGGCTGTGATGTCCAGCATACGGGCCCTCAAGCGCCGCCTTCATCCGAATGCCTTGCTCTGATTCCTTGACCGTGTTGTAGAGTTTCCGTGTCATGCCGGTCTGAGCGCCGATGAGGAACGACACCGTTGTGAATGCATTGCTACGGTCCATCGCGGTGAGGGGCTCCTTCTCGGATGTCGGCAGGGAGTGTTGGATCTCGTGGTCGACCCAGGCAATGGAAAAGGGGTGGCTCTCCCATACATTGACGTTCCGGAAGCGGAGGTAGGCGTGGGTTCCCGGCTTGATGTTGACGTATCGCGGTAGGCGGAAGGTGACTCGGGTGACCTCGCCGGGCATGGGCTCGCACAGAGCGTCGGAGAAGCCCTTGTCGGACCAGTTGACCCACGCCATGCGGACAATGCGAGCCAGGCGGTCGGCAATCCACAGCGCCAGGATGGCAATGACCCAGGACAGCTGCGGGAGGCCACCGGGAATGCTGGCAGTGACGCAGTGGACCCAGGTGCAGGCGAATGCGATGGCGGCGAGCAGGATGTGAAGGTTGAGGAACGTCTCGTAAAAGGCGTGTCGGAGGGGCGAGACGGCGAGGATGAAGATCAGAGTAAAGGCGAGCGTGCCAAGGCCTCCATATCCGAGGAAGGGCGACTTAAAGATCGATTTCCAGACACCAGACCAGCCGCTGTTAGCAACGCTCGGGATGGCCCAGGCAATGGTGTGGATGATGACCTCGACGGCAACAATGCGGCCCATCCATCGGTGCAGGAGGTTGTACGTATCGAAGCTGATTTGCAAGAGGCCAATAAGGGGGTTGTTGCGGCCCGCCATGATGATCAGGGGCACCATGTTGACGAGCGCCAAGGTTCCGGCACGGCCACGCAGCTCCGCGCAAAACGAGTAGTAGTTGACCTGCGTCCAGTCGAGGATGAACATGTACGCAATGTTGCTGGCGAGGTAAAGGAATAGCAGCGTGGCGTGCAGCCTCGATGGCAGAGTGCCGACGTTTATGGCAGACG